TTTACGAATTAGTTGTTAACGTAAGCAAAATTTTAAATTATGCTAAAACTCAGTCAACATATTATTAAAATTATTAATTTATAAAACAGATCGTATATTCCATGGCTAATGAAAATGTCAAATGACTTAATAATAATAATAAAATTCTATTATATTGTAAGCAATAGTATTTTAATTTATATTTATATGGCATAACTGCATAAAATATACAATAATTATTTATTTGATAACCGCATAATTTATTAATCTCGACTTCAATTGCAATTGCGCTTTTTAATTAAAATTAGTGCTATATATATATATTTATATATTTATATATTTATATTATATTGACTTATTATATAGTATTACAAGAGTGAACATTCAATTATAGTTTATAAGTAAAGATCTCTTTTGTATAACAGTTTGTCTCTAAATGTCTAATCTTTTATACGTCCTATGAATCCATAAGAAAACATAAATATTTATAGGATTTATTATATTAAGAGAGTTTAATAATATAAAAATAAATGACAACAAAAACAAAAATAATTTAATCTAGTAATACATAAAATTTTATTTTTTTTTATTTAATATTGTCTTATTAGAGATATCTACTAATTTAAATGAATATAAAGTAGTTTTATAATATCATATACAGTATACTGTACTGATAATTTGTTGTGTAGTTTTATATTATATTTAATTTTGGATAGTATTATATGATATCTACTAATAAGTTTAGTTGAATTAATTGAAATATTACATAACTACATTCTTAATACATATAGTATTGTTTTTTATATAAAAATTGATTATTTGTTTGTATTATACAATTAATTATATATTTTTATGTTTTAAAAACACTTCTCCCTCTCAGTAAATGAATGAATGAAGTAAATTAAGTCAACATTATTTGGTTAATATATAGACATACTGTATATATATATATATATATATATTAAGAATTGTTTTGTTAAGACTAGTATTAATATTAATAGAAATTAATAGCAATTCATATGTTTAGAGACAATAAATAGCAGTTTTATATCCATAAGAAAATAGTCGTCCATTGGCTACCATTTGCTACTATTGGCTAACATTTGCTATAGTATTAGAGTAGTGGCACTAAAAACAGCACATATTTTGTGCACAACTTTATCGTTCATATAATATAATCTGTTGTGTAAAACATATGTTGTATATTAACAGTTAATATTACGATTCTATAGTATAATCCCGAAAACATGCACTTAGATCACAGTTATATCAAAAAAATATATGAGTTTTAGTAAATATTGTGTTTTTTGGCAAAAATGGTTGTCAATAATTTCTACCATTAATAATTTATATACCTATAAATATATATTTTTATACTAATATATATATATATATATATATATAAATTGTAAAAAGCAAAACTTTATTACTTTTAACTAAATGTATAGTTTGTCAAACAAACAAAAAAATTATTTACGATATAAATATGAGTTTTATTTAAGTTTATTTCTAATTTTAAATTTTAATCATATAATAAAGTGATTGCAGTACAGTATAAAAACTGTTATCTTAATGTCTGTAAAGTTATGCTTCATTGTTAGTAAACAGCGGTATTGGAAAAGACTAAATGTTTTTATTAAATTAATACAAAGCGTGTTATACAGTACAGTATAATACAATGTATAATACATGGCCAATTTTACATACAAACAAAATTTAACGCCACCTAATTGTAAAAGCATTAAAATAAGCAAAGTATACCATGTTTAATAATAAATATAGATTTTATAATTTAAATATATAAAATTATTTTTTAAAGTAAGTAATACCATATAATTGTGTAAATTATATATATAAAGAAATCTAGAGTATTGTAGAAATCTGTGTAATTATGCCCTTGGTCATTTTTACTTGAATATATGGTTTATCATATATTTAATATAAATTAATGAGTCGATTACCTGTCTAACCGAATACTATCCCAAATGAAACACTACTTTCCCTATTATTTTATACAATACATATAATAACCAAAGACACTACTTTCTGGTAAAATCCATTTTTTGTAGTATATGTAAACACAAGAAAAAAACGTTTTTTTTAATTTTTATTAAAGATATTATACTCTACTATCGTATTATTAATATAATATTATATTAAAATTGTTTTGTTAATCTGTAAAAAAATATTATTATATTGCTATTTGATTTTTATGACTCAATTGAGAATTTTATATTTTTAGCAAAATTATTATAATCTGATTAGTTTTATAATTGAAATATTATACTCCATTAAAATGTTTTCTATTAAAAAGATTAAATGTTTATTAGACTAATACATCAACTAATAGATTAATATAAAAAACAAATTTTTTAAAACTCGTATATTAAAAAAACAATTATGATTTTTATTTCATAATACAATATACTTATATGCCATCAAATATTTAATCGCAATCAACAGGTTGTCTAACAATATGTTTAGCTTAAGATTCTCAATAAGTTTTTCTCTGACTGTCAACTATAATGTCATTATATTAAATATTTTGATATTTATTTTTATTTAGTAATCAAGTAGTTATTGATATTTTTATCAATATATTATTATATATATTGATAAAATATAAATTATTACAATAATTTACAAATAATTAAATGAAAACAATATATGTGTTTCACATGAGCTTCATTAAAATTTTGTATATAAAATGACAAATTATTTATATATCCACAAAATTATTTTAAAGTTGTAGTTTTTGAATTTATTAAGTTAACAATTAATTTTTTAACAAAGTTTGTTAGTTTTTTTTGCTATTTATAAATTTTGATTTCGAATAGAAATAAATGAATAAAATACTAATATTTTTAAGCTGCTATCAAAAAATATTGAAATAATAAGCAAATAATAAACTGTGAAATAGGTTATAAAAATGCTATTAAATGCATAATATATTATATTATATATATTAATTGTATAATTTTATTATATTTACAAATCTTTCATTTAATATTAGCATAAATTGAATTCTCAATCTATTTGAAATATATTTAAACATAATTGGATTTAAAATGCTTTACAGAATTTTATTTGGCAATGCTAGACTTCCAATCTAGAATTTTTAACAAATTAAATTTATAATAAAATTTTTAAAACATTAAAGATTATTATTTAACAATAATGCAATAAATAGTGTTGTTTTTAAAAATAATAAAGTAATATAAATAATGTGAAATTGATGTTTGTATAAATTAAGTTAAACAGAATAACATTAATAAATATTATAATTTTAATAGAGATGATGTCTATTTCAATAATTAGTATTTTATTATATAAATAACATTTTGTAAATAATATTTTGTTGAATAAAAATAAAACTAATTAATAATATTTGAGATTTTATTATTTTCTCGTTTTGTTGACTTTAATTAATATAATAGACTTTCAATAATTATCTTCTATCTCATTATAATTTATTTTAACTTCACATTTAATTTAGACATTCTATAAATTCTATAAATCACGTGTAGCCAAAAAAATATACCCAGGTCTATTCAAGTATCTTTTAATGAAAATAATACAATTTGTATTTAAATATTTTAAATATAAAATGATATATTTATTGTAATTAATATTTTAATTAACAAAATATACTTGTGTTTATTATTATTTTGAAAATAGCACCTGTATAAATTTATTATGTATTGTTATATATATAAATTATATAGTATTATTAAATATATCATATACTGTACTACACAATAAGTAGATACTGTTTATTTATAGATATATAGTAATATGATATAAATATGTTTTATAAATATTGATTAAAAACCATATCATTATTAGCTAGTACATTTATGCTTACATAGCTATACAGTACATTATTTGATAATTTTAATAATTAAGTGATAATTTTACAACACTTTAATATACCATATTTAATTGAAAACAAATTTAATGATATCTTAATATTTTATTAAAACTTTTTACTTATTTAATAATTGAGTGGTTTTGATAAAAGCGATTCTTAGTAATTGATATTTTTTTAAAATGAAACATTTTAACTATAAGTAAAAATAAGTATATTATAATTTTATAATATTTTTTAAATATTAATGAATTTCAAAACAATATATTATTTATCAATAGTATGATGATATACAGTAGTTATACTGTATATTATTATACACTAAAATAAATATCAACATTAAATATATGTGTTATTAAACAGTGTGATAAAATTTTATACAATACTTTAAATAATAATAAAAATAATTATATTATATGTAAATTTATATAATATATATCATTTAAATTTAAATATACCTTGTATATCAAAATATTAATTTTTATTTAATAATAGTATTCTTGTTTTAATAAAACTAAAACAAACTAAAATTGAAATATAATTATTATGTTATATTAAACATTGTTATGTTATTTATAGTTAAGTTTGTGAATTAAATATAAAACATTTAAAACAACTAATTTTGAGATTAATTAATTCAAACAAGTGTTATATATTTATCAATTTGTAATTTGATGTGAAACTGAAATAAAAATATAAAGTAAAATGTACTCAAAATAAAAATAAATGTAATTTTTTGAAACTTTTTGGTGAATATTTCTCTCGAGACTTAATTTTGCTTTACTTTTAGTATAAATTCAATCGATTTTATCAAAATAATAGGTGTTTTGTTTCGTAAAAAATTAAATCGTTTGCTATAACCAAAGCCATCCTTTAATTATTAGACTTAACTTCAGGTGATAAATGATAAATACATTGTTACTATTGCTAATTAAAGAGCATTATTTTTAATACATATAAATTTGTTTTAATCAAAATTAACCAATGATTTATATTATTACTAAATTATAAATACTTTATTATTACAATTATAAATAATATAATGTATTTTAAAAACAATTTATAATTATAATTTAATAAAAATTATTTATATTTTAAGTTTTATTGTAAAATTAATGAATATTTGTTTATTTAACTCATATTTCTCGATAAGAAGTGGTCGCTAAATAGTGGCTTAAATTGTGTTCAAATTCGTGACAAATCTAAAGTCAAGTGAATAATGAAGTCCAAGAGTTCAACAAATCTTCCGACGAGTTTACGTAATGACAATACGTTTGAATCGGTTTCCATTTGGAGGGAACAGAAATCATTAATTCAGGTAAATATCATTTCATTTTATCTTTTAATTCTTATAGATTTAGAAAGAGTTAGTTAGTTAGTTAGTTAGTGAGTGAGTGAGTGAGTGAGTGAGTGAGTGAGTGAGTGAGTGAGTGAGTGAGTGAGTAAGTGAGTGAGTGAGTGAGTGAGTGAGTGAGAGTGAAAGAGAGAGAGAGAGAGATACTTCAAACAAAAATAATTTATTGATGATAATGATAAAATTATAAAATGATAAAAAAAACTTAAATCCTATTATAAATTATATTAAAAATTTATTTACAGCAAAGTTTAAATTATTTGCGCAAACGTAAGATTGAAAGCGCCGGTAATAAAACCGGTGTCGCGGGTGGTAGTGGTGGTAGTGGTGGTAGTGGTGGTGATGACCAATCAATAAATGGTAATGAATCGACTGATTCCAGTTCAACGTATGACGATTTGATTCAATCAAATAACAAATCCAAAAGACATCGGAAAAGCTTGACTTCAAACACATCCCGCAAAAGAAAGAGTACTGTATGTCATATAATAATGAAATTTTTATACTCTATTTATATTTTATAATTTAATTTAATAATAGTTTGCATTTTGTTAACATTTATTATTATTGTGACATTAATTTTATTAAAATATTTTTATGCTTTAAATTACTGTTTTTATGATACAATATCTCTTTTTTCTGTTTTTCGGCACTAAATTCATATTTAAAAGATTTTTGCTTATTTAAAAAATTTAATCAAATTTTCATTTTTGATAATAGTTTTCAATACAAATTTTATTAACTTTTCTGCATAAAGACATTAAGTAAATATAAAATTAAGAATTAAATAATACTAAACTTCTCTCAAAGTTTTCTAATGCTGTTAAAAGTTTAAACAATTTTTTTTTATATTTTATTTTAAGAAAAATATAAGTATATAATTTAATAAAAGTAAATATTTTAAACCTTTTGTTTTTAATTTAATAAACAATTAGAAAATACACCAAATTTTATTTAAATATAAATTATTAACTTTTAAAAATATTAATGGAATAATGTTTTATTTAATGTAAAACTAAAATACAATATTTATTGCAGATAATCATTAATCTATATCCCTTTCCTCCCTTTAGTAATGTTTTGTCCCTCAAACCCATCACTACATGTAATTGTTATAATTATCATTAATAAAATCATTTCAATTAAACTATCATTTAATTCATTGTTGGTCTCTTGGCTGACAATATATATAATTCTATTTTAATAAATGATAATATATTAGTTATTTTTGACTATTTTTATTAAATGCCTAAATAATATAATTTAATATTAAATTAAATAAATTGTTTTTATTTGTTTTAAAAAGCTTTTAGAAATGTCAAATGAGACTCTCTCTCTCTCTCTCTCTCTCTCTCTCTCTCTCTCTCTCTCTCTCTCTCTCTCTTTTATCACATTATCATTATTTTATGTGTATTAAACAAGAATAAAGAGCTATATATACAATAAAATAATGTATATATTATTCATATAAAAATTTTATTTGTTAATTGCATTTCACATATATTTCACATAAAAGCTATAAATAATAATTGAAAAATCTTTAAATACTTGTATGCAAAATACATATTTGAAGTTCATTTAATTAAACGGGTTTTTAAGCAAAACAAACAAACATTATGTTGAATACAGTGAATGATATACTGTATAATATAAATGAATTTTTATTTGAATGAATTGCTTTTAATAATTTTGATACTGTATTTGAAACGATAAGTGCACTCAAAATTTAAACCCAATTTTATCTTTGAAAACTGTTTTGTGAATTAGTGTTTACATTATCTGTATAAAACAGTAAATGTCTATATACTGTATTTATGTGTCAAATAATGTAGTTATAAGAGTTGCAGTCTATTATAATGATGTTTCAAAACTACCTGTTATTATTAAATAGTAAAACTTAAAACACTTTTTTGTTGTTTTGTAATTAGATATATATACTAACAATAAAAAATTAAAAGCTTTATTTATTTAAAAAATTAATTGTATATATGATATCATTTTGATGACACTTTAGGTTAGCGCAAGAGAAAGAAACTTAAGGCGATTGGAGAGCAATGAGAGGGAAAGGATGCGAATGCATAGTCTGAACGATGCTTTTCAGGGCCTCAGGGAAGTCATACCTCACGTGAGACTCGAGAGAAAGTTATCTAAAATTGAAACCTTAACGTTGGCCAAGAACTACATAATGGCGCTCACAAATGTGGTCTGTAGTCATAGGGGAGAGACATCACCTTATGAGACACTGAGCCCTTCCGCTATGGCCTCAATTGCTTCTGAAGACACAGTCAGTAATGATGACACCTTTAACAACAACGACAACGAAGGTTACCATAAATAACAAATAAAACAATTTTATGCTGTCCTCTATCAATATTTTAGTCATAACTTATTATTTAATAGATAGAAATAGTAAATACTGTATATAAATGTTTGCAATATTTAGATATAAAATACCTAAATATAGATACAAATGCTTTTCTTATGTCTCTTGTTTTAAGTGTTCGTTGATTTCCTTTTTTATGACATTTTTGTATATATTTTTATATTACTGTATTTACTTTTATTTGATCTAAGAATTACAGAATATTTGATGGATTTATATGTATTGACCAAAGTATATACCATTACAGCTATATTTTTTACCAAAATTTAAGTCTTATATAAGTCTTATCAAAATAAATACAGTACTATCCAAACCCGATTTTATACCAAAATTTTCAATCATCTATAAATGTAATTGAAATTATGTTTTAACCTATAATTAATTTTCAAATATTGCTTAAATCTAAATTTCAACTAAATTTAATTTATTATTATTTTTGTGTTCATATTATACACAAAATTTTTAATGAAAAATATTTTCAAAAAATTGATTTCAAATTTAATCTATTAATAATATCTGTAATAATACACAAAATAGTTAACCATTTTTTTTATAATTAAAAAATAGAGATTTCATTATTCAATGAAAGGAATGGAAATCATAAGACATGTCTGACTGAAAGTTCTATTCTTAATGGAGAAGCAGTCGATCCAACAGATGGTCCAAAACATATAAAAGTGGAAACAGAAGACTAATAATAATAATATCTTCTTATCATTACTACTCTTATCAAAACACATCCATAAAATTAATAGTCAATTATTAAACTAAAGGTTTCGTTCATTTTTATTCAATTGTTATCAAAGATTTAAATTTTATTATAATTAATATATTATTATATAAATATATATTTGTAATTATTGTGATTATATCATATTATAACATAATATTAGATAACTATGTTATATATAAATATGATATACTGTTATGTATATAAATATACGGTCGACAAGTAAACCAACTTAAGTACAATACTTTAACGTTCAATATATTGAAAACCATTTAACCGAAATTAATATATTTTTAAAATAAACTCACGATTTATTACTATAAAAAATTAAAATATTAAATTGCTATTTATTAGAAAACTAAAATAATTAGAAAAATGCAAAATTTAATCATATATAACAACAAATTATATATGGTATAAATACATAATAATCTTTAAAAGTAGCTATTAAATTAATAAGAAATAAAAAATTAAATTTATTTACAATCAATATGTAAATAAAGTATGCAAATAACTTTTTATTTAGCTTTAACATATGAAAATATTTCATTTAATAATATATAATTTTTTAAATAAACTAAATTTAAAATTTCATCATTAATATTTGTCAAATGGTTTACAATATATTAAACTTTTAAAGTATTAAATTTAGTTTTCATATTGACTGTATATACTGGCATAGATTGCTTACTATATTTTTAAATTTACTATTCCGTGATTTTTATTGATATTATTATTAAGATTATTTTATTATTAAATATTTTATCAATTTATAGTACTGGTTATTATTATACTATACTACTATATTAATAATGATTCTAACATTACTGGTATCTTTAACTTATACTTTAATATTATATATTTTAGTCTATAGTAGTCTACATTCAGGTCAATATATTAAAGTCATTTCAATTCACACCCACTCAAAAACATTTTGTTTTATTTTAAATCAAAGAAAACTTATAGAAAATTAAATTAAATATAAATATGTTTTTAATTAAATTGTGTATCATTTCAATGTTTTCATTTAGTTTCTACACTAATCCAGATCTATTTACTCGTAAACATTTTAAATTATTATAATTATTAAATTTTTTTTACTAAACAGTAATATCTCATGTTGTAAAGTTGGTCTAATGAAAAATTTTCTAGAATGTTTCCAAAATAAATTTCTATTTATGTGATTCCCCTGATTACTTTTGTTTTTCTTTTTATCATGTAATAGAGTATAATTTTTAATGTTAAATTTATAGTAATATTTGTATTTAAATTAATTAATATTATTAATAGTTATAAATATTATTACATTTTATTATATATTATATTCTTTTTTTTAAATTAAAATTATTAAAAAGAATTAAAATTTATAATAAAAATAGTCAGTATATATATATTGGGGTCTCAATTATATAATATATATACAATAATAGACATTTTAATATTGTTTATAATGTATACATATAAACAATAATTGCTATTTATCGGAATACCAGAACTAATGTAAAATTTCTATAGAAATTAATTCTTAAAAAATTTATTTGTCTCTACATGTCTGCCAACAAAGCATTTCTTTAATATTGTATTTTTAGTATTCTGTATATTATATGTTAATAAGGAGTTTAAATCTCAAATAAACATAAATATCGAGTTCAAGTTAACAATATCTATGATTTAAAACAATTAGTTAGCATTCTAGATGTATTGATATATTATATAAATTTATATACATGCATTACATACAATTTTATATACAGTATTTATTAATATTTTAACTATCATAAATAATTTATTTGATTCAATTATAATTCTATTTTTAAATTATTAATAATAATTTGAATGATTAACATATAAAATTAAATAAAATTATTGCAAAGTAATTATAAAATTACATAGTAAGCAATCTATAATATAAGTTATAAATTACATACTAATTTATTTGTCTATTATGTGTTTAATTATAATTTTATATATAATGGTAACGTGATTTAATTAATAGAGACAATAATTGTCTTTTTGCTGTATTTTCTGTATTTGTGATAATTGACAAATTGTGAGAAGAAATTATATCTAAAAAATTACATATATTATTATTATTCATATTACTATTTGATGAATTAAACATTTATAATGGGATACTTTATATTCTTGTAATTTATAATTGATATCAACTTATAAATTATTAATAGTAATTATAAAACATGTAGTAGTTATTATAGTAGCGCTGATCTATATATCAACTTTTTAAATACAAATATTATTAGTAATAGATTTTTAAATAACAATAATAAGTATATTTAAATGATTGATTTTAACAATTCATGTGCGGGTCTGTTATCAATCATGCTATATATTATTAATATTATATAAATAGCATTATATTGATATATACAATAATACAATAATACAACATTATATATATTTTATATATATATATTGTATTATATATTATTAAAATATACGTCATTAATAATGATAGTTGAAAAAATTAATTTTATTAAATTATATTTTATGAAAAAATATTAAATAAATATAATTAATATATAGTATATATATATATATATATATATATATATATATATATATATATATACATTATATGGTCATATTCGTTAAATATAGTACTTTATTAGTATTTTATATGTGTTTGTGGTGTTGAATATGACAACTACTGTATAGGAAAGCATATCATATGTTAGAAAGACGTCCATACAAATAAAGTAGGAGTGGGTCAGCAAAAAGTAGACTTTCTATACTTATACAATGGAAAGTTATATTTTCTAGAGAAAGGGTAGATAAAAGCATTTATCTTTCAAAGCATAGAATTGTTAAATAATTTATTAATCGTAATATTATTGGCTATAATCAGCTATTATTGATTATTTTGAGGACAAAATATAATTTTTGTCTAAATAAATATTCACGAATAGATTATAATAATTAGTTATGTAATTTAATTAATTAATAAAAACATTTAATAAAATTATGTTAATGGCATTCCTCATTTGTGTAAAAAATGTTTAATCATTTCATATTAAATAAAATAATAACTTAATATTTCAATATATTTATCATTAATTTCTGTTATTTTGAACTTGAATTTAATCAATATCAATTGAGTTCACAGTTATTAAATAAATTACAATTATTAATGTCTGATAATTTCTAATAAATTTATAAAAATTCATTCCTTGTCAAATGAATTTTTAACAATTAATTTATATATTAAAAAATAGTTTTTATAATTTATTTAATGGCTAAATATATATATTTGTAAATTTACTTATAAATTACAATTATAATAATCATGAATAACAATATAACATTCAAGAGCTTGAATTAATCATATCACTGGCAATGATATTAACTTAACCAGCAGTTAATAATTTTATTTTAATTATACCTAATTTTTTATTACATTTATATTTAGTTTGGGATAAATTGAACATTAGATAAAATTCCTAAATAAATTATATAAATGATTTTTTTAAATATTTTTTATTAATCTATAATTTAATTTTTATTTTTATACAATTTAAATAGTTATTAAGTTAATTATAACTAGATTATGTTGTTTTTAATTGTTGAATATTTATAATTTTATTTTTAAAGTAATGTAATGATTGTAAATAAAATATCATATAAATTGGGGGATATTATTGTAAATTAAAAAATTGTTTTAATTTTTGGGACCACTTTGTTCATTGTCTTACCCATAGATAAACAGTATTTGAGACGACTCTGTGTTATCTTAAGTAAGTTTTAGACTTTTAAAATAACACTATCATTATAACATAAAATTACAAACATTTGTTACATATTAAGTACAAAATTATATTTATCTGATTTTGGTTTCACTCAAGATAAAGTGTTTTTATAAAAATTGTAATCCTTAAAAAGGTTATTATAAATATATTACATAAAAATAAATAAATATTATGCGTATATATATATAATTATAACTAAAATTTCAAATAAAATTTGGATATAAATTTATGTGTACAATTTTTCAAAAACTTGAAATCTTTTATTTTGAAATTTATTGTTAAATAAAGTGATTTTAATTTTAATGCAATCAATCTCTTGTGTTTAATTCATTAGATAATTCATGGCTTAATGGTTGTCGTAATTAAAATAAATTAAGTCACCCGTTGTTTATAATTATACCAATTAAAGAAAACATTAAAATCTTAATAATTTGAAAATTCAGAAATATATCTATGCTTTTATTGTAATATAAAACAAATCGAAATAATATTTGTTTGTTTGTTGCAAAGCAATGTTTATACTGTAAAATAAATAAATTTGCTGTAAATAATAATGTTATTAAATTTTTTTATATAAAACAATGACTTTTTAGATGTCTTGCAAATGTATATCTTTATTCAATCAATTAGATTAAGAGTAAAATAAAGAGTTCATTGGATGTCTCCGCAAATTATCTCAAATGTATCATTAGTTTGTTGTAAACTCAATATAAGAAAAGTGCAGTCAATAAGTCAAATGAGAGGCATATCATAGAAACATTGGGTTAACTAAAGTGGAAATCTATTAAATGAGACGACAGATCACTTCAAAACCATTTTCTTCTCATTTTTTTCCCATAAATATACAAATAATAGAAGAAATGCAATAAACATATGACCAAAAACTTTGTCATTGAAACCATATATTAGTATAACTCAATCAGTAAGACTTGAAATTGAATTTTGCACTCAAAATCTAATGCAAAGCCATTTGTTTAGATCTAAATTAATGCATATATTTTTAGGCAAACTTTTTCATTATGTTTGGTTTCATATCATAATCTAATTAACATTATTCACTATATTTAATATATAAATTATACATTAAGTTTATACCGCAACACATTAGCAAACATTGAACAAACAATAATTTACATGTTTTTAATGTAAGATGTTTTATAATAATTATGTACTTACTGTAAGTATGTTATTATATTTATACAAAAGTCTAATAATATAATTAATTTAATATTTGTGGCAATTTTTAACTGCTCTCTACTATCATATCTTATGCTTTTATTACTAAGTTTTAAATATTGTTTTTCTAAAACATTAATTTTTAAAGTATACAATGAAATATATGTAATTAATTTACTTTTTATTGAATATAATAATATATTAATTAAAATTGTATCATATGATTACCAATCAATAATAAAACGTAAGTAACTTAGAAAACAAACAAAATAAATAAAAATAATTACGAATTATAGAAAAAATGTAAAAATTTAAGTTAAAGTAAATTAGATTCAAAATTGGTTTGAAAATCAAATCTTTAGTTTTGCATTAAATTGACAAAAGAAGACTTAGTTCTGGATTAGGGTTTAGATATTGTTTGGAAATTTAGGTTTTACTTACTTTTACCGATAAAGCGGTGAGATATGAATGAAGGATAACATAAACACGACTAATACGAGAGGAAAAACTTATAAAAAATAGGAAATGAATGCAACTTTTCCTGCATTTCAACCGAAAACTTACTGATAAAACACATTTTGATTGAAATTCTTGTTATGAAAAGATTCTTATAAATAGTATATAAATAAGTTGTGACTTTAAGCGACTATATGTTTACTCTGTATATACAGTATATATATATATATAATATATAATATATATTTGTAGTCATTTCGTGTTAAAACAATTTACGTTTTCAATAGAAATAAATTTTCAAAATTTTCAATTTCAATGTTTGCTTTACAAATAAAGTACTTCAATATTTCAACTTTTTTACGATTATTACAGTTTGTATTGTGATTATTATTGTTATAGTTTTATGAGAGAAAACACTTATTACTACATAACACAATATTATCTATTATTTACAAACTAACAACAAAAATAAAAGTTAATTTAGTATAAAATTACTTTAATTTAATTAACACATACATTTTGAAAAAATAAAATTTAAATTAGATTTTTAAATTATATATTTTTTAGTTGATTTTATTGTAAAATATTTTGTTATTAGTATAATATAGCAATTTTATTTAACGATACAAACTATTTAAGTAATACAGTATATTATAAAATGAAAGGTTTAAAAATGGTTATAAATAGTATAGACTATTAAAAGAAACTAAAAAAAATCTAAGATTATACACAATAACGGGTATATGAGTTGAATTGAAATTAGGATTTATTGTAAAATTTGTTATTGATCCAGGCTATATTATTAATACAAACTATAGTATCAAATAATATGGCATATAATGCTTTATTATTAGGGTTGAGTAGAGGCGATAAAAGATTTACTTAGCGCTCAAATACTGTACAATACCAACAAGTAGTCTATACAGTAGAGTCTATACTATAGACTATACTCTCGGTTTGTAGTAGTAGTAGTAGTAGTAGTAGTTTTTGTTGGTGTTGTTGTTGTGATATTTAGTGTGACCAACAAACAAACAAACAAACAAACAAACAAATAAATAAATAAATAAATAAATAAAATTTTACATTCAATTTAAAACATTTATAGTTGCCTTTCAATTCTTACAATACTTGTATTTATTTAATAGTTAAATAACAAAGTTTCGTTTGTATATTAACAATGTTATATAAAAGTATTGTAATAAAGTATAAACTCATTTCAATTATTTTTATAATATTTAAAAATTAATTCATTGATTTAATTAATTTTTGAAAAACAATATACATATTTTAACTAATCATTATACAGTATATAAGTAAGAAGTACAGTATAAAGTCAATTATTTAATTCTTAAGGCTATTCCTTGAGTGTTGGCAACACTAGTGTTAGTAGTCAATAGTCGAGCCCTTAACACACTGTTTATTCAATCAATAGATTTTTTTTGTTAGTAACAAACAAATCAATAAAACAATTGAAATAAAAGCTCAAATGTGTTCAAACATCGGAATAAATCTAGTGTTGGCTATAATTTGTATTAATATTATAGCGAATAGTCATTGCATTGAATATAACGTTAAAAATGCTAACAATGTTATCATTCTGTTTGGTGAGTCTTAACGTGTCATTTATATTAATCATTTAATTAAATAATAATTTCAAAGATTTAATTGAAAAATACAATATAAAAATACAAATATAAACTTTTTTTTGTTATTTATTAATTTTTTTTATTAACTTATAAGCCGATGACGCGGGTCTTGAGACTCCTGTATATAATAATACTGTTTGCAAAACACCAAACATAGAAAATTTAGCCAAAAGGTTATAAAATAAATATAAATGAAATTTAATTTAATTTAATTTAATACTAAATAATTAATTATTAATAGGAGTGTTATATTCACCGAAGCGTTTACATCTGTGAGCTCATGCTCTCCAAGTCGTTCAACACTCCTGACTGGTCTACCGTCCCATCAAAACGGGATGTATGGACTCCATCAAAGTGTCCATAACTTCAACTCATTTGATTCAGTTAAAAGTTTACCAAACATTTTGAGTCAGTACAACATACGCACCGGTATGTATGTGTGGTCTTACGTCAAGTAGATGTTTGTGTGTTTGTTATACAAATATGCTGTAATTATATTATGTATAATATATTTATTATATATATATATATATATATAACTAATAGGTATAATTGGTAAGAAACACGTCGGTCCACAACAGGTCTATACATTTGACTTTGAATACACTGAAGAAAACTATCCAATTAATCAAATCGCAAGAAATATAACTAACATTAAAAATTTAGTCCATCTTTTTCTTAATGATAACGACACCAGGTTTTGTCATATTTTTATGTTTTCTAATTTACATAATATATTAGCAAAAGAAATATTAATTGTTGTAATTTACAAATCATGAATAGTAAAAGTAATTAAACAAGTGTTAAATTAAAAATCAATTTTAATAATTATTTAGTTTGAATTATAAGGTATATAAATAATTATAATTTAATATAAAAAACTTATAAAAATAAAAAAATAAATAAATATCTATTTTATTTTAGATTTATACCTTATATAGCTGTTATATTTAGTGTTATATTTATTATCCAAGTTATATATTATTTTTAAATTTAAGAAATTATTATTAAATTTTAAAAATTAATGCTATTTTATTGTTAGACCTTTTTTATTATACATTGCATTTCATGACCCTCACCGCTGCGGTCACATTACTCCACAATTTGGCAATTTTTGCGAAAAGTTTGGAAATGGAGAAAAAGGAATGGGATTAATACCCGATTGGAAACCCGTTTATTATTCTGTCAATGATATAAAAGTTGCCTATTATTTACCCGACACCAGACCTGTCAAAGAGGATATAAGTGCTCAATACACTACAATAAGTCGATTAGATCAGGGTTTGACATCATTGTTATCATTATTATTAAATCATTCAATTTATTATATTCTTAAAAAATAAATATAAATTTAGTAAAAATTAAGTAATATTAGTTTTAATTAACTTATAATTATTGAAGTTTTTAAAATTAAGTTTTTTAATTAAAAATAATATTGTATTTTAAAATAAAATTATTTTTAAACAGGGATTGGATTAATTATCAATGAACTGCAAGAGTCTGGTCTATTAAATAATACATTAATCATATATTCATCAGACAATGGACCGCCATTTCCAATGGGAAGAACCAATTTATATGACCCCGGAGTCAGAGAACCTCTTCTTATATCTAATCCATTAAAGCCTGAAATGTGGAATAAGGTTTGGTTTAAACTGTTATTTATAAATTAAAATATAAATATATAGAAATAATACACATCTATAACAAAAATATGAATCAACATTTTATCAAATTAATTATTAAAATATTTTTCGAAAATGTTTTTAATCATTGATATTATTTTTTAAAAATTAATTAGCATTTTTGAAATTATAGTCAACTATTTTTTAAATGTTGCCTTAAACTTATGTCATGATTTTAAAAATTTAATGTTCTTATAAATACTAAACTATTTAAAAAATTAAGTAATAATATCTAGACTATCATGTCTTTATAACAAACAAAAAAAATGATATTAAATTTAATGTAAATTATGTTTTAACAAATATTAGCATAAAATAAATTTACAGTATATTATATAGAACTGCACATATTAAATACTGTATATATATATATAAGTATATATTGAAATATGAAAATTGTTTTAGCGTCAAAAATAGATATGAATGATGTTTTTATACACTATATTATAAACATATTGATCCGATAAAACTTTAGCGAAAAATTCACTCTCATGTTTGCAAACACTTTATTATTATTTACATAAATCAATATTAAATTTTGTTTAAAAAATTAAATAAATCTCTTAATTCTATATACATTATGAATTATAAGAAAAGCTTTTATTAACAATTCATGTAAAATATTAAAAATGCTAACTTAGACCTGTTTATAAATATTAATATTAAATTATATAAATAAATAAATTATTAATACTGCATATACTACAGTATATATTCATTATACTTATACTGTATCATATTATTTAAGCCAAGTTGTAATATAACAAAACAGTTTAAAAATAAATATTATCAACAGTATATAATATATTTGAAGTATATACTGTACATTATATTTCATTATATATTTTTCTGTAAATTCAATGTTAATATGAAATTGGACTTCAAATGCAGTACATTTTATACTTTTTAAAGTAAATAATTATAAAGAATTTAATTAAAGCTTTAAATTGGTAGATAAATATGTTATAATTGAAATATAATAAATATTTTTTTAAATAAATTTATTATACACTACATTTTTAATTTTTAATTTAAAACCATAAAAACGATAAAAATTAGATTATCAAAAATATACAATTTATAAATAAATATTATAAATACAATATAATATATATATATATAAATTTTAATTAGGCATTAGTATATTTTATTCATAATATGACAATTTTTTATTCTAAAGTATTAAATAATAGTATTATACGTGATGTATAGTATACATTGTATACAATGTTTAAATGTCAACTATATCGTAATAACTTTTAAATTATTTATTAAAATATTTTTATAAAAAAACTATCATTTTATAGCACATCTCAACTCCAGCAACTCTATTAGATGTAGTTCCCACTATACTTGACTGGTTTGATATACCAATTCCCAAATACAAACTTTTTGGTAAAAAAGTTTATTACACAGGAAAGTCATTACTTCCATATACAGCACAGGTATTTGATATTTTCAACAACTTATAATGATATTATTTATTGAATACAAAAATAGTATTATATTTATATTTAATAGGATATCAATGAAGAAGATCGGGATGTATATGGAAGTCATACTTTTCACGAGATAACAATGTATTATCCCATGCGGTCTATCCGTACTTCAAGATATAAGCTGATCCACAATATTAATCATTACTCTCCATATGGTATCGATCAGGATCTATATCTTTCTCCAACATTTCAATATATATTGAACAGAACTCATCAGTTGTTACCAATTTATTGGTTTAAAACTTTACAACAATATTATTATAGGCAAGAGTTTGAGTTATTTGATTTGAAATATGATTCAATAGAAGCCAAAAACATATACTCTTACATGAAATATAATAATATAACTAAAAATTTGAAGAATAAATTGAAGAAATGGAGAACCATTACAAACGATCCATTCATATGTTCACCACATTATGTATTGCAAGACACAGGAGATTATAAATCTCATCCAAAATGTTTGCCATTATTTAATCAAAAAATTCATAAAGAAATTGATATCACATTGAATTAGATATTACACAAAATCCATAAACTTTATGCTATTTTATGATAACGATTATTATTTATGAACTTATTTTTTATTTACTAAATTTTATTTAAAGTCTTAATATACTGATTATAAACATGATATATTGAAATAAATAAATAAAACTTGATAATATTGTATTATACCAAAATATAATATACAGTACAATACAATATTAACTTAACAGTCATACATGGATTATGTCATTAATTAGATTATTATAATCTCTATGTTTCAGTTATAATTATTAGCATTATTTGTTTTATAGATTAAATTATAGCATTTAATAACATTTTATAATTACAATTAATTATATTTTACATTATATTGTTTCATGAATTTTTGTTTCATAAAAAGTTATATAACAATTTTGGTCAAACTTAATACCGTATAATCTATACGGTCTATATATAACAGAATATACTGTATTACCAGTAAATAAAAAATTTTAATAATTATTTATATTGTGACAGAAAATTAAGTTATAATTAAGAATTCATATATTTTAAACTTAAATAAAATGATAAATCAAAAGTCTTTTTTTATCAATTATTTATATACTATACTAAGATATTTTATGCCAAAATACTGTATATACCGTAATTAAACAATTAATAGACAAATTATATAATAAAATAATAAATCGACAATAAAGCAAATAATTTCATTTGTAATGTTTTACCATTAAGTTTAGGAGGTTTTTTAAATACAATAATTTGAAAAAGTTATCAATAAAAACATTCATTCATTTTTATTGCGGTGTTAATTAAAAGTATACAGTTTTACATTATTAGGACTGCTATGTCATGCACTTATAAATCATTGATTAATTTGCATTACAATTGTATTATAAACATTGTATTTTACTTCAAATTAATAATATAAATTAGATTTGTTTACTTAACAAATTAGATTTGCTATTATTTAATATATTTTGTATATACAATATAACTAATATAAAATGCAATAGTTAAAAAATTACTACTATCATATAAGTATTTTAATTAATAATTTACTTACATTTCATAACATATAAATGCAACAATTTTAAAATAAAATAAAAATATAATAGCAATGTCATAAACAGAAATTTCTTTTAGCAATATTCTAGAAATTTTTTATTCAAAAAAATATAACATTTCCAATATATTCAGTTCAACATTTAGTAGAGTATAAGTTACAATACATTTGATTATCTAATATGTAATATATTTATTGTTTTGAACTAATATTCTGGAAATTGTAAATAAAATAAAATAAAATTAATTTTATTTCATTCGTTTACATCACTGACTGAAAATAAGTGATAACTTTATGATTAAATGTCTAAAAATATATTACAATTTAACAAATTTAACAGATATTCTATAAATTTATATGAATGAGTAAAATAAACTTATATTTAATTTATACTATTAATAGTTTATATATAATTATAATTTTAACTTAAATTTATTAATTATTAATAAATGACTGATAAATAAACAGTATATCAGAATCTAATGGCTATTAATAGTAGAGAATTATATGCCTAATGATTGAACACGAGATGGCAATCAATAAACTACTGTATTATCACTAATATTGTGTGAAATACCATATATTCAGTACTAATAATATGTAATGAAATCATATGTTTTGAAGTTCACAACAATTGACTGATATTTTTGAGTAATCATTGAATTGATTGACTCAACCATTGATTGAATCAAACATTTAATTTGAAAATCATTTTTACTATTTTATAGTCATTTATCAATCATTACTTGTTTTTATATATCAATTGAAAACCAATTGCTTTTTAAACAAATAATTAATGCATTAAATTGATTATCAAATAAAATGCTAAAACGAGAAACTCTTTGCGAGTATTTCGATGAAGACGTTGTGGTCAAGAGGTCATCAAATGGTGGACTTGTTTTTGCATTAGTCATCGAAAGCTCAGAGAACGCAAGCGATGATGAAGATAGTGATGTTGACAGTGATAGCCATTATGGCAGCTCATCCATGGATAACAAATGGCAACAATTAAAGCCCGGTTTCGCAAAAGTGGCCGTTTATCCCAACGGAAACACTTTAGTCATCAATGAAACAAAGGTTACCATTGAATCACTTTTTACCACTTTATTGACAATTTCTTTGACCAACTTTTAGACCAAATTGTATGATCGATCACTTCTTAATGGAGACGTTGTTCAGCGATTGGATCCAAACACACATAAGATTGTCCCCAACGGTGAACACGGCTTTTGTCAGTCATCAAAGATCTGGACAACAGTGAAGATCTTAGGCACCAATAAAGTCATTGAAAACGTTGATTCAAATGAGTTGCAAATGCTTTCTGGCATAACAACAGACAGTTTATGTTTATTGGATTCTTGGATTGGATATGTAAAGGAAATATATCGGAAAATTACTTTGAAATGTTGCGACGGTTCTCTTCTTGTCGTCGATGACTTAGATATCAGTGAATTTACAGATCTATTGACTCAACGCGATAACGACGACTCAGAGTTTAATAGAGAGGAGTATTATATCGGACAACAATTGTTAGGACCAAAGAGTCACCTCAAGAATGCCAAATGGATTTCACAGACTCTACATATGAAACGATTTATGAGAAGTAAGTCTAACAGAAATTCAAAGATCACTTTTGTCGTCGAAGACATTGTTATTGATAGCGTTTCCATAAATTGGTTTTGTTGTCTCTCAGATGAGAGTTTTTCAGTAAATAATAAATTACAAAATTGTGATATAATTAATAGTCCAAAAAATACTTTAAGGAATAATAATAATAATAATAATAATAATAAGTTATTAAACAGTCCTTTAAATGTCACATCTCATCCAAACGGTGATAATATTAGAGGAGATGCCATCTCAAGAATTAAGTGCTTAAACTACTTTCGCAAAAGTTCTCTTCAAATCGGACATCAATGTTATTATACAGTTAAAGAAAACGATTCTCTAATACCTTTCAATGAATGGGAAGAAAATGAATCAAAAAGACTGTTCACTGAAGAAGCAAATAGAGAAAAGCAATTATCAGTTGAATCCGATAGTTGTATTCAATCCGATGAAGAAAGTAATTGCGAAACAAACAAAGATATTGATAAAAATAAGTTGAACGACAGTCTATCGATGGCTTCATTAGATTCTATTGATTCAAGACATAGGAAATATAAGAAACCTAAGACTCATATTTCAGTTTCATTAAAAAGTGTTAAAAAGAAGAAAATAGTTTCTTCTAATCGAAAGACAACGTATTTATTACCAATTGATGCAAAAGCCGGTTCCCGATTACCCGTTGAAATTGTGGCCACAAATACAAGAGTTTCTGTTGTTTGGCAAAACTCTGAAATAGAACATAACGTTCCATCAGTTACTTTATATCCCGTCCATCACATCGATAATCACGACTTCTTTCCCGGAGATTTTGTTGTCGAAAATAAAGATATACTTCAGTCCTTTGAATACGGAGTTATTCAGAAGTGTGATTACACTTCAAGAACAGCTATTGTTAAATGGTTTTCATTAACTCCCGATTCTTTAATTCCTCAATTAGTAACACAACAGGAACTGAGTGTTTATGATATTAAAGATCATCCGGACTTTAATTTCCGTTCCGGTGTTTGTGTGGTCAGAATATTACATTTACATGAAGAAGATTGTGATTCAATTTCACGAACCGGTCAGGTCTTAGACCTAACTTTAGACGGAATGTTAAGATGTGTTTGGCTTAACGGGAAAATATCTTTAGTATCTCCACAACAGTTGTTTGTAATCGGAGATTATGTGAGTTAATGATAATAAATCTTTAATTTCTGTAATCTATAATTAAATTAAAACTTAAGGATTCGGACGATTTATGGGCCGAAAGCGATTCAGATTTGAATTACTCTGATTATAGTCATTATGAAAGCGCTGAAAGTTGGGAAACTGATGAAGAAAAGACTGCTTCTGTTAAAAGGTTTGGTTTTTAAAAAATATTTAACGATTTTTAAAATGTTATTTATTTTTATTTTTTTTTATAAATAAAGTCCACCAAAAAAATCTTCAAATATTAACAGTCTTGTCAGTAGATTACAAAAGGGTGTAAAACAAGTTGAAGAGTGGTTACAAAGCGGAACCGGATATCGAAATGGTGTCCAAAATTTGCTCAAAGTTATGAAAAGAGCTGAATCTAGTTTAGAGAAGATTCGCCAAAATATAACCGAAAAAACCAATAATACTACTAATGATTCGTCAGAAAAACAATTGTCTAATTATGGAACTCGTATTTTACAATTGTCCCGACGGTTACTCGATTTGTTGCCGTTCTCGGGAACTGTTGAACCAAACGGAATAAACAATAATATCGATAACACAATTAAAGAAATAAATGATACGAATGATGAACAGTGCTCTTCTTCCGGTTCCGATCCAAATATTGATGAATTTCTTAAATTAATTGATAATCTAAAAACACAAATATTGGAAAATGATATTAAATCCGAAACAATTAATGATGAAAATTTAGAAGAAAAATCTTTAAATTGTTGCAATTGTGATGAATTGATTTACACTCAAAGTCCCGATAAAGTTAATTCAAATGAAATTAAGGAAAATGTTATATTCTTAGAGAAAGTTCCTGAAAATCATAAGTTTATTTATTCGCCGAATTCTATGAACAATCCGAAAGATTTTTTAAAAAGAATTAAATATGAAATTTCTCTTTTAAAGAGTTCATTACCAGAAGGCATATCTGTGGCAACATTTCACGATAGAATGGATTTGTTGTCTGTTATGATATATGGACCAAATGAGACACCATATGAAGATGGACTCTTTCTATTTGACATTCAATTACCTGCCAATTATCCTAATGTTCCGCCATTAGTCCATTATATATCCTATTGTTCCGATAGACTAAATCCGAATCTTTACGAGAATGGAAAAGTATGCGTAAGTCTATTGGGAACGTGGAGTGGCAAAGGAACCGAAGTTTGGTCACCCATTACTTCAAATTTATTACAAGTGATTGTCTCAATACAAGGACTCATATTAGTAGCCGAACCTTATTATAATGAGGCCGGTTATCAAAAACAAAAGGGAACTACAATGGCTAATGAAAATAGTAGACTATATAATGAAATGGTTGTCATCAAAATGATACAATCGATGACAAAAATGCTTTCATTACCTCACGAAGCATTTGAAAGGCAGATGAGAGATCACATTCAAAAAATTTCAGATAAATTTATTGAAAGGGTTAAAAACTGGGAGAAAGTTTCACAAATGTGTATTTCAGAGTCGATCACCACATTGGATGAGTTAGTCTTAAGTGAGTCCATGAAAAACCTAATACAAGTGTTGCCGCCATTTCCACTGTTACCGGCATCTCATGGGTTTTGTTTATCGTTGAACAAAGCAATTGTTAACTTTGAGGAAACACTCGGTTTATTTTTAAAGTTTTAAAATCACATTTTTAAAATATTTTATTTTAATAATTCTGAATTTAATATAATATGAAATATAATAAATTTATAAAATAAAGCAGTTTTTTAAGTTTTAATTAAAAGCCATAAATCCTTAATTACCTCAATTATTGACTATAAAATAATCCATTTAAATAGAAATTATTTTTAATTATAAATAAATCAATCGAACGATATAAGCGGCGCTTCCATTGCTTGTGGTACCGGATTCTGTTGCGAACCATCAGTGTGTGGCCCTACCGGTGCATTCATTGACATAATGGATCCCTGAACAACATTAACTGGAATTTGTGGTAAAGTATTCATCATATTCTGCATATTATATGGATTTATTTGTTGAGCTCCTCCTATATGCGAGGATTGTGGTGTTTGTGTTGTGGTAGGCAACGGTGGCGGTTGTGGTGCTGGAGGTGGATACTGAGGACCACTATTTTGTTGTCCATATAAATTAACATTTTGTCCAGAAGTTGCCAAAGTATTTGGTGCTCCATATTGAATGGTTTGATTCGCAAGTGGTTGCGGTCCAGTTGGTGGACCATACGGGACATAATTTGATGGCATTGCTTGTGGACCATTTGAGTACATAACTTGAGGAACAGATTGTGGTAAGCTTTGGGGTATAACAGATGATAATGCTTGTGGAACAGGTTGTGAAGGATGCCAAACATTGGGAATATATTTTTGTTGTTCCTGTCTTAACATCATTTCCCGTTCCTGTTCTTGCATTCTCTGTAAAGCTATTTCTCTCTGATATTGTAGATATTCTTGCTTTTTCTTCCTCATTATCTCTAATTTCTGAGCCATTTGTTGTTGTCTCAATCTTTCAGCCTCTTCAGCTTCACGTCTCATTTGTTCCCTATGTTCCTCTCTGAGTGCATCCAAAGCAGCTCTTGCATCACGTATTTGTCCCAATTTGTCTTGAAGTGATTCAAAGTGTGTCCTATCATTGTCCTGTTGCTGGATATAAGCCAGAAGTGTTGAGTGCATGTTTGTTATGTTCATAAACAGTGATTGGACAGCACTGTCATTAGCAATGGGACGACCTCTCAATTGATTGGAATTAATTCTATTGACAAATATCTCAATTGCAGACTTCAATGACACCAAAAACGATTCCATTTCATCGTCTAAGCCATTGGTTATATTATACTTTGATTTGTTAGAATCTGAGCCTATATTTCCACTTGTCTTCACTGAATTGTTTAGAAGTTGTTGCGGTTGTGGAGCACTTGGCGTTGGCTTATTAGCCGTCGATTCATCCAATTGATAGCTCATAGACTTTTGTTCCCAATATTCTCTATTTAGATAACGAGAAAGTTCAGGATCTGAAATCTCAATGCTGTTATTAGATAATGATTTTGTTGAAGAGTCCAATTTCTTCGGAGAGCTCGTCTTAAGACTTGATTTAGTGGTTCCACTAGAATATGAAGGCGTTGAATATGATCTCATTTTGTTCTCTCTTTCCTTAGATTCAGCCTCTGATTGAGACAAAGCCAAAGCCAATTGAAGTTCTTCTTCTTCTTGTATTTCGCGTTCACTTTTTGTCGTTTCATTCTTGCTTTTGACACTACTGTATGGTGACTCAGCTGAAGTCGTTCCTGACTTTGTTGTCAATTGTTCCACAGGTTTTATCAATTTATTCAATTTATCGAAACAATCGTCGCAAACGCGGACCTCCTTTTCAATTCCATATTTAGGAATTGGTGACATCTTTGACGAACATTTTTGACAAAAAATTTGTCCACAATTACGGCAATGATGTTTCCTTTGAACCATTGAAAACTGAGTGCGACATCGATGACAACATTCACCGTCGGCCCATTCGGGTGCCGAATCGGCTGCAAACATGGCGTCACTTTCTTTAAGAACCGGAAATTTGTAGCCTTCAATCTTCATCAGATTGACAGTGTCCTGAACGACACGAAAGTTGGAATCGTTGCGGAAGGCGTGCGCCCAAACCTGAATCAACTTCAATATCTCGTCTCTCACTTTTGTGTCCGAAGACATCTTTACAATGTCTCTAAGCTCTTCCATAAATGCTTTCGTTGCGATCTCGTTATGAAAAGGTGTGCCACAGTTCTTGGCGCACGACTCTAACACCTGATCAGACATATCATTGAAAACATCATTATCTCAGTGATGGTCACACATACCTGAATAGCCAGAAGTTCAACATTAGGATTAGTTGCGTATAATTTCTTTTTAATGGCGTTCACGGCATACTTTGGTCTTAAAATTGGGACAAAACATATGTTTAGTTATGTCAAACATATCAAACCTATCGATGGACTCACTGGACATCATTTTGTCTGATTGTATCACATATCAGAAGAATGGCGTTCCAGTCGGGCTCCAAATTGGTCAGACTTGTGGCCCGATCTGTGCCAACATATCAATTAGTTGACCATTAAATCAATCAATCAATCAATACATTACCTAAAAGTCGATCAAATGTTGCCGAAGACTTAAACATATTAAGTGATAATTGATTGCAAAACAATGGTATCGACTGTTATGTCAATAAAAGTCAATACAATATTAACTTTAGATGTAATGGCAATTGACTTAATGTTAATGTAATACAAGTCAATAGCAAACTATTATTGCATTCAATGTTTATACGACTCTATTATTGCAAACATTCAATGAGTCACTCAATTGTCTAAAGAGTCAACAAATTGTATATTAATTGTAAAGTTTGTGTCAATAGATGTCAATACAGTTTGTAATGACATAGCATTTGTTGTTGTCATTGATGTCATACTTTCATAACATTTTGAATACAATTTTCAAATGTAATACAAATAACACATCATTTCATTCATTGTTACCATTAGTTCACAACTCATCTAATTTTTGACATTAAATCTTAAATTTATTTATTTTTAACTGTTTTTAATTGTTTTTAATTTTTTAAAACTATTTTATCAATGTTTTAATGTTTTACGATTTTAATGTGTTTTATTGACCGCTTGTCATGTCTGAGACCGACACCGCCGATGACTCGCAACGGGAAGTACTTCTCTATATCTATGATATGTCTAAAGGGATGGCAAAAGCGTTTTCACAGATGTTTTTAGGTATTAAATGAAGTAATAATTTTTATTTGATAACAATATATTAACCGTTGCGATGATAGGCAAAGAGCTTCCGGGTATTTGGCACACGAGTGTCATCGCATATGACAGGGAATACTTCTTCGGCTCGTTTGGTATCGAAAGTTGTAATCCAGTAATGCATTTAATATTTGACATTTGATCCAAAAAAGAAAAGAAATGTTATTAACAATAATTGTTTGTTAGGGAGAGACAGTATTGGGAGAACCGGATCAGATATTATCACTGGGAAAGTGTCAGTTGCCGTACAGCTTATTCTTGGAGTACTTGTTCTCATTAGGCGACTCTTCCTTTGCGTTAGTGTTTAATATTTAAAACATTACAATATATCCAATAAATTAGTGTCTCATTCATTACATATATGTTTGTATAGTCCCGTCTCTTATAGTCTATTGGACCACAACTGCAATAACTTCAGCAATGAATTGTCTATATTTCTAACCGGAAGACCCATTCCTCAAGAAATCATTGATTTGCCACAAGAAGTACTCAATACGTAAGTTTTTAAACCCATTTTATTATATAATTTTTAAATTATTTTTTTTTATATAAAATAACATTTAAATAAAATTCAGATTTTAAAAAAAAGTTTTTCTGTTCACTTTGTGTTTAATTTATCAAACCTTTACTGTTTTCAAGAGCCAAATATTATGTCATTTTTTTAATCTATTTTTAAAATATTTATATTTACATAATATATTATAACATACATTTGCTGTGCTATTAATACTCTTAATTTGATGAAAATACGGTAGTTTACAAATTTATTACATTTTTAATATGATATACAGTATATTAATAAATAATGGGCATTATAGCCAATTACAATATAGTATATACAGTACTGTACTTCATAAGTATATCTAAATAAATTTTTTAACTTATATTAATTAATTAAGATCTTATTACTAATTTATTTCATTATTTTAATTTTACGATAAATATTTTTAATTAAATGCTTTGCATGACTAATTTAATTTTAAAATTTGATTATTTTTCCTGATGTTGATATTATTACGTTAATTAGATTTTAACAATTTTTAAAACTTGTAATATAATAAATATATATACATTATTGTTAACACTAAGTTATATTTAATATTATTCATAATATACAGTATACCGATATGCTGTAGTCATACAGTAATGCATTATTATTCAAAATATATTTATGAGGATTTTTATTTATTTATTTTTTAAATTTTTACATAAAATTAGTTGAGACTGTAAACGGATTGTTAGCTTTGACTACAAGTTTATGATATTTTTGTATAATATTTTAGAGTCAAAAGTTTAAACTATAACATTGTATATATATTAGGTATTTTCCATTAGCTTTGAATATAATTTAATGATTAATATTTTATAAGTAATTTTCACAATACTTTTGAATAGTTTTATAGATATTTTTTGTGTATAAATAGAGATACTTTTATGTATTTTTAAGACTAGTCGTTATTTTACTCTAAAACGGGCGACACGTGTAGCTGTCGTACCGTAAGTACTAAACATTTAATTGTATTGTTTTTATATTTTAAGTTTATATTTAAGTTTTTCTTTTAAACGGACGGCACATGTAGTGGCCGTACCGTACAATACTGTATATCAAGCATTAAGTTTGAGTGAAAATTATGACGTCATATAGTATTGTTTGAATTCAAAATAATAATATATATATATATATATACAGGGGTCCTCAAAACATTTTCTCCAAAATTAGATAAATTTAATATAAATACATATAATTATTTTATGTAAAAATTTTATATAAATAAATAAATAAGTGTTATAAATATTTTAATTATTAATCGTGTTAATAAAATAACAATAATATATCATAAATAAAATACATAATATTTTAAAACGAAAATAATTAAACGTATCATTATTAATTTCCTCAGTTTCTTCAATATTGTTATCAAGTTTAGCTTTTTTTGTTTTTATCTAAAAAATTAAAATTGTTAAAATCAGTAAAAAATAATAAAAATTACCAAAATTTCTATCTCTGCGTTTGGATGTAATAAAGCAAATTGTTGAGCTATATTTAATGCATCAAAATTTAATGCATACAGATTATAACAATAGCAATTTTGTTTTTATTTAAATTCATTTCTAAAAATAAATATGTTAGTAAAAAAAGATAATTTATTTTTTTATACTTATTGTTATTAGTGATATAGTAACTTATAGTGATTTAGTATATAATGATATTTATAAAATGGTTTTTTAATATATTTTTTTAATTAATAAAATTAATTAATTGTATTTTTTTATTAATTTTTTCCATATGTTTTTTAAGATTATTTATTTATTTATATAAAATTTTTACATAAAAAATAAAATATATGTATTTATATTAAATTTATCTAATTTTGGAGAAAATGTTTTGAGGATCCCTGTATATATATATATTATTATTTTGAATTCAAACAATACTATATGACGTCAAAATTTTCACTCAAACTTAATGCTTGCTGTATATTAAATAATTATTTTGTTAATGTTTAGCATTTTCATCGCTTAGTTATGTTAAGTCACGACAGGCCTACAGTATAGCCGAGCCGATGATAATATTGTGTTTAAGTTAATAATAATAAATAGTTTTGTTGTTTGATTGCTGTCTTGTGTTTCTTATTGCCGAGTGTTTAGATGCCGACGGTTGGGATACCGATCGGCCAAACATTCCCCTAACAAGCAGTTCAAACCTCTCCATTATAACCCACTGGGGGTTCGGGAGGTTTGCCTTAAACCGCTTTAAGACAATATTATAAATAAAGTTTCTATTATTTTAGATATACTATAGTTAGTGTTGAAAATAAGTTTATGTGATCTTTTCGCAGAATATTTAATGAAAGGTTAAAAAATATATTGAATATTATGTAATGAAGGGATTTTTATCAAATATATTTATACAGAATATATTGAACTATTTTCTATACTACATACTTATAATAATTAAAAATAAACATTTTTTGTTAATTTATATATTGAAATTACTATAAAATTATACAAAATAACATTTTTATATCAGATTTTTATTTATTCTTTAATTTATTTTGTAATTTTTAGCGAATTAAAGATTACTTATTTTTGTAATTAATTTTTTGCTTATTATTATAGTATAATTTTCTGTAGATATTTTTATGTTTAATATACCGGTATTGTAGTATTAATTATAATACAATATATAAATTTCTACAATGTTTAACAATGTATATAATGTATTAAATTTTATAATATATATAAATTAATTTAAATAAAAATTAGATTATATAATGAACCGGTAATATAAAAATAGTTTTTATTTATTAAATTTTGGAGATTTATATTATACTTAAGTTTATACTTATGTGAACTTTAAATAAGTTTGTTTTTAAGTTAATATAACAATAATTGGAAAATATAAAAACTACATATGTATTTGTGGAGGAGTATTAATAATTGTTGATTTGTATGTAAAGTATTTAAAATGTATGAAATTGTCTAAAAATAACTGTTTGACAGTCTCTATGGACTCGAATTACAGTCTCATATAGTTTTGAGTGCTTTTTGGGAAAGAGATGCCAATTCTTGAAGTAAATGCAACACATTTTTTGTTAACTATATTCACAAATATTTTTTACAGACCTATTGGACAAACATTGAAATTATATTTGAGTTCATTGAGTATTAGACCCGAAGGAACTGGTGTATCGTTTAGTGGTAACGTTGATAACATACCACTTGAATCCAGTGAACAAAATAGTAATTCAGTGATAAATAGAAGGAAGAGTTCCACTGAAAGTCTACCTCAAACTGTGTCATCAGTGACTACTACACAGTCAACGCCAAGACAGCCACAAACAAACTGCAAAATGGCTGACAATGAAACCGATTTAGTTGAAGAGGAAACACCTAAAGAAACTAAAACTGAAGAAACTAAAAGTCAAAGGCGTTCCTATAAATATGATGACCCACCCGTTCTCTTTAAAGATGTCAATGTTTGTTATATACTGTACATTGTATTATACTGTATATATTTAATACTTTATTTGATCATTTAATAGGGAGTGGCAGCTATTAAAAAGATAACCGAATTAATAACAGATTTGTTAAGTAATGAACAACAACAATATCTTAAAGAATTGAGTGAATATTTAGTATCTGAGAGCGGAGCCTGGGCTCTGGGCGATGAGCACCTGGAGTTTATTGCATTGTTACTCAGGTTTGTAATAGATTGTTAGCTTGTAATTGGTTTTATTTGATTGTAAACATGTTTAGTGGCGGCGACGGAAAATTTGCTCCAAATGTTGCGCTTTTAGTTCTCGAAGTATTACAATCGGCAGCACTTAAAGATGACATTGTATTGGTATTACATCAGGACCGCAAAGATCACCGATTGATGAGTTATATCAACAAAATTGAATCATTGACTTTAGCCGAACAAGAAGAAGTGGCCAAATTGTTGTGCAATCTTTGTGGTCAACCGACAACATTTGATTGGCTTTTATATATCAGCGAATGGATTGAATCTGATGGCCAGTCTTCAAGTAACAGCCGAACTACAACAAAAGCGGCCGTTCATACGTTACTAAACGATAAATTAACTACTTTACAAAAAACCGGTGTATTTTTAATTTATAATTTGGCCTTAAAAGAGCTGTTTGAGGACACGGCCACTGAATTAGCCACAGCTGTCTTACAATTTCTTCACGGAGATCTCCCTGAAGACCAAGGTTTTATAATTTAATAAATTTAAACAATAAATTTGTTTCAATAAAATAATAGAAACTTAATTTTTTACAGCATTTATGTGTTTAACTGCGATCATCCGGTTTATAGCCATCAGTTACAATGATGTGCCAGCACTGGTCAAGATGTTGGGTCCAGACATCAATAAGTTTAAGGGATTTTCCGAAAGGGTCGACAAATTAGTTGATGAGCTAAACATTAAGTTAGCAGCGCTTCCATCCCTTTCTGGTGAATGATTTTTTTAAAACAATGTAATTTTGTTATTTGATTTTAGCGGTTATTTTTAAAAGCTTAACAGATATTTGAATTTTTATAACCTACTACTCCTCAATATATTGTATAATTAGAGTACAATTTAATAGAAATGATGATCAATACATATTTACAAATTACAAGTTATTTTTATCTTAAATTTTATCAACTATTATACTTACCGGTAGTGACTTAATTTTATAATATATTTGGTATATATTATTTTATAAATTTATATTAAAATTTTTTATACAACATTAAATTATTAATTTCCCGATACATAAAAATTGTTGCGATCATCATTAATTTAAATTTCATTTTTTACCTAAATTTTATTTATAAAATGTTATCAAAGAGTATTTTACAGTTTTAATTACAGTTAAAAATTAATGTATATTATATACTGTATAATATATAAATTATATACAACAAAATCTTTATAATTTATATTATTATACAGTATAATTTTTAGTATATATTTAGTTTTGTAATTAATTTTGATTATTTAATCAAATTATTCTCATATCAGACATTTTAAACAAATTAAAAATACAAAAGATAACATCAAATATTAGAAATTTTATTATTATTATAAATATATTTATCGAAAATAACTATTTTACAGGAGTTTTATTTACAATTTATTTATTTGCATAATTATGGTTTCAATAGCGATTTGCTCATAAATTGTTTGTTAATTTGTTATTTTAAAAAGTTTTGTTATAATTTTTTTGTTTGTTTTTATTATATCCGAAAACGAATTTAAATAAAAGTGCAATTTCTTATAATAACAACAAAATCAATAAAATATTTCTTCAATAGTATAACCAAAAAGTTTGAAATCAAGAAAATATTTTTTATATAAACCAATAATCTCTTGACTGGAAATTTGTAATAAATATTGTTTGACTTGATTTCTATATTTGTTGACATTTTTGTTTTCCCAAAACATTTGACTTAAATTTAATTTATTACTAATAACAGCAAAATCTTGAGCACTGGTCTCAAGTTTGCCAATGAAATCGTAATCCACATAACAAGGCTCACAACGGGTCCAAATGGGAGCCCAATGTTCATCATATGTGTACTCATTTGTAGTCAATAAAAGTTTGACAAACTCTTGAAATGTAGGTTTTGAGTCATTTGTATAATGAGATCTCTCTTTACTCATTATTTTATCCCAATATTTGTCATAAAAATATGATTCTTCTGAACGATTCCTCTCAGCCTTATCTTTGAAGGCAGAGACCAGTCTAACGAAGGGATGTCTAACAAAAAGCATTTTATAATAGTTTTTGTTTTGTTTGATATTATAAAACATAGGACTGATTCGTGTTAACAAATCGTTGGCTTTTATATGAAATTCTGTATTATTTATATTTGTAATATTGATTTTATTATCATCTAATATATTGAATATATTCTTCATCGAAGTCGAGGCAATCTTTGGTACAAAACAGGCCATAAACCGATGTTTTTCATTAACCAAAAGCGGACAACTTTTTGTTGTACAATATCTGGATTTTCCCTTTCGATAATTGGATGATTTCCTCCAAATTGATAATATTTTATGATTTAAATTATATTTTTGGCAAAAATGTTTTAAACGATTTTTGCGATCGTTTTGTGTTTCGTTATGAATATCCTTTTCATTAACTTTTTTCTGTAAAATAATTATTATAAAATATTATTTGTTTTTTAATATTTACTATTAAATAATATAATTTAATATTTTTCAAATTTCTAATTAATTATTGTAAATTTTTGACATATTAAATTTACTTATTAAAAAATTATATTACAGTATATATTGCCAATATTTAAGAAAAACATTATAAGAAACTATTCAAATAAAATAGATATTTAAAAAAAAAATTAATTTTATAATTTTTCAAGAATAGTAAATTTATTAATATTAACAAAAATATAATGGACTAATTTTTTAAAATTTTAATTATTTTGCCAAAAAAATCTAAAAATGATAAATACCTTATAAAAATGGTTACTACCATTTCCTTGAATATCTTTAAAATTAATGAGTGCTATAGTTTCAGATGTGTAGATATTTAAAGGTTTTTGAATTAAATTTGGGAGAAAAATCATTTGAGACAATATATTTGGTGAATAATTGTGATGTTTAATAGCATTGTGACCATTAATTATTGTCTGTCTATTTGACCACAAATTTGATGATAATAAATTATTATATAATAACATACATAATATAAGCACAATTATAATTACTATTATAATGCGTTTAAATGATTTTGAATTATTAGAAAAAAATAAATTTATATATTTGTAATATATATCTTTAAAATCATTCATTTGTTACAAATATTGACAAATCATTTATAAATATTAATATAATATAAGTTAAAAACATTTATTAACTGTAATAATGAAAAAGTTTTGACGAAATATTGTGATTATTTGTATCGCTGACAGCATCTCATAAATGGGTGACTTTTCTTCTCTATTATGTATTAAATATTTATATCTTTCAGAAACTGGTTTTTTGAGAATATTTTGGAGACTCATCTCAATGAAGAAAAGTATTATTTTAATATTTTTCAATAACATATAATCTCTATTTGTATTTTTAAATTATAAAAAATATTCAGTTTAATAAATATTTAAGTGATTTGATTTATTATATTAAGATTATATAAAGATTCAATTTATATAAAATATATTAAAAATATCTTATTATAAATGACGAAAAGCAAATATAAAACTGGAAAAACTTATTTTTATTGAATTTTAGCAAAATTTTATTAATATATATTTTATTTCTATACTACAGTATATGTTTTAATAATTTAATTACAAATAATAATAATAATAATTAAACTTAAAAACTTATATCATATAATAACCTTTTTGATTATATTATGAGTTTATTAAATCTTTCTTTTTCTATATAAATATAATTAATTAAAATGACTTAAATAACTATATATTTATAATTTATTGTAAATAAAATAAATGAACACAACTTGTGTTTAATTATTATATTAATTAATAAAATATTATATTATTGTATAATTAGAACCAAATGTTTAGTACTATATTTGAAAGCATTGAGACATCTATTGAGTTACGAATCACTCAAATCAAGTCATTATTCAAACAAATACTCAGTTTTGCAAAGTATTTGAATATAAATATTATAATAATATTGAAAATTATATCAAATTTATTGCAAACTGAGTGACAGATCTAACAATTTGGTGCCAATTGTGACCAAAAATATGCCATTTATTGTATAAAAATTGTTGCAATTTATTACATAAATAATGTTATATAATATATAATATTTTTATTTATTACTAAAATAAATGATTATTAATAGCATATAATATACAATATATTTAATTATACAATATATGAGTATATATATACAATATATATATATTTATATATCATATGAATAGATAACATAATGTGAGTGATAATAATGTTACCATTGATGGCCATCGATGGACACAATGAATGACAAGAAGACATGGATGAGATGGTTGTTGTGTGTGATGTCAGTGGCGATGAAGAGACCATTTCGTAGATATTCATCATATGTTTACATATTTATTGTAATATTAATAATTCAAATGTTATTATGTATTGCTTTCTATTCAACAAACAATTCAAGCATTGAATCACAAATTCAAACCAAATTCATATCAATTGATAAATTAAAAAAACTTTCAGTAAGTCTTAAGAGTCAATGGTTTTAAGATAATTGTTGTTATTATTGTCAGGAAAGAGCTGATCAATCGATAGGTGATTACGAATTGGAAAATAAATTATCATTTAGTAATTCAAAGGATTTAAAACAAAAAGATTTATCGCAAAAACAATTAAATGATTTTAAGGTATCATTAATTTAATTATATATATAAACGTATACTTTATATCATATACTCTATAATATTATCTATTATGATATATAATATTATTAATTACAGTATCTGTATATAAATATAATACATAAATATTAATATATAATAAATTATTGTAACATTGATTTATCGCTGAAATTGTTAGCAACAGATAGATTTGATGAACATATCTATAAAATGTGATATATTATCACCAAATGGCAAATACGGTGTTTCGGCCATCGAGAGGGCCACTACTCATGAGTGCAAACAACGATTGGCTGACATAACCTGTTCCACAATCACTGCACAATTATATCCACAATCACTTCCCAGATATTGTCCATTGAAAGGTAGATAAAATTATTACAGTATATCTCAAATAAAATGATTCACTGGTAATATACAGTATTTTTATATTTTATTTTAATTTTACCGGTAATTGAATGCTTGGGTTTTTGATTTGTTTTTTAAATAATTTTTATAACAGACGGGAAATATGGTGATTATTTGGGTTGTTTTAGTGATAATAGTAAACCACGGGTTTTAAACGGATATCGGATTAAATTTTCAGATAATAGTCCCGACAAATGTTTGACTATTTGCCTGCAATCGGGTTTTACATTTGCCGGATTAAAAGCTAGTAATGATTGTTATTGTGGCCACGAATTATCGGTTAATAGTCATAAATTGCCGATAAATGAGTGCAATATTTGGTGTTCAGGGGTTTCTCATTTAAAATGTGGTGGATTTGACTCAATTGATATTTATAAAACAGGAATCAAGTGTAAGAATTCATAAATTTAATTCAATTTATATTAACCACTTAATTAACAAACATATTAACAACAATTTTAAAATATATCAAAATTAACTAACGCTATAACTTACTGATCAATAACATACTGTATATAATAATTTATTTAACATACAGTATACTAGTATTACTGTATTTGACATATATTTGCTTTATAAATGCTTTAGTAGATAATATTGTAAATTATATGATAATTAAATAACATTGAAATAACAGATATACCTAAAGTGGTGCCAAATTTGGAGACAACAATCAATGGACGGGATATCAGAATTGTATTCTTAATGACACTAAACGGTCGATCTCTTAGACAAATAAAAAGATTATTAAAGAATATATACAGCAAAAGACATTTCTATTTTATTCATATCGATTCCGTAAGAATTAATTATTTTGATTAATAATTGTTAATAATTGTTAATAATTATAAAATTATTAATGAAATTGAAAACAGCGTCAGGAATATCTATTTCGTGAAATGGTTTATTTAGAAGAAAAATTATCAAATATAAGAGTGAGTCGGATCAGATTGTCGACAATATGGGGCGGCGCTAGTCTATTGCAAATGATTATTAAATCTATATCACAAATACTTAATATTTGGTCTAATTCTTGGCATTTTATCATCAATTTAAGTGAATCTGATTTTCCATTAAAGTAAATTTTTGATAATAATTTTTAGTATTATATTACTGTATTATAAAGATTGTTGTTTATTTGTTTTATTTATTTATTATAAATTAGACCAATTAGTGATTTGGAAAATTTTTTGGCCGCAAATATAAATAAAAATTTTGTTAAATCTCACGGACAAGACTCGCAAAGATTTATATCAAAACAAGGATTAGATAAGACTTTTTATGAATGCGATACTCATATGTGGAGAGTCGGCGACCGACAACTTCCTACTGGTTTTTATATTTATATTATTTTATTTAAATTATTTATATATAAATTATTTTTGTTTAAAGGTATTCATTGGGATGGAGGAAGTGATTGGGTTGTATTGAGTTACAAATTCTGTCATTATATAACTTTTGAAAACAATGAACTTCTTGAAGGTCTTAAACATCTATTTAAATACACTTTATTACCAGCAGAGGTAAGAATACTGTATTAATTAAATAAATATTTTCTGTTAACTAATTATTAATACTCTGTATTTTACAGTCTTTTTTTCACACTGTCCTACAAAACAGCGAATTTTGCACAACAATAGTTGACCATAACTTGCGTCTAACCAATTGGCGTCGCAAACAGGGTTGTAAGTGTCAGTACAAACATATTGTTGATTGGTGTGGATGTTCTCCAAATGATTTTAAGACAAACGACTGGACACGTATTGTGTCAACTCAATCAAAGCCATTGTTTTTTGGCCGCAAATTTGAAGCAATAGTTAATCAAAATATAATAAACAATTTAGAAGAATTAATAAACAAAAATTTTAGTCAATCAATAATAGCTGTCAATAAGTATTGGCAAAATGATTACCACATTAAAGACAGTCATTTCTTCGTCAATGACGCCAAACTAACTTTCTATTATGCATTTGCTATAAATAGTCAAAAAATTATTGAAAATAAATGTAATTCTGATTATACTTATAGTCAAAACAAAGGCTCAAAAGCATTACATTTAAGTCTTGTTAAAGAAGTTAACTTATATTTTGAAAGCGATTCATTTGAAGGCATTTTAATTACATTTGAGTCCAAAGCTAATGACGAGTTTAATTCAATTCTGACGTTTGAAACACTTATCCGTCCTTTAAGTCAATCACTTAACAAACCAAATAAATCGCCTAAAATATTGATTTCTCTTGAGGTCTGTATAATTGATACGATATTAAACATTATAAATAATATTTGTTGTATTTTTTAGATCTGTTCCGACTTTGATGTTAAAGAGTCGGTGTTTCGCAACTTTGGTTGCATTTTGGGTCCATTTTCTAAACCAATAGCTCTTCATAAATGGCAATACTCTAATCAACCATTTAGTGCAACCTTTGTTTGGGTCGATCCCATTAATACTGTCGCCGCTTCTTATGAAGTTAAGATTCAGATTAATGCAACACTTGATCAGCCATTACTTCAAAAACCACAACTCAATACACCATTACGTCCCGGAATTTGGAAGTTAATTGTATTACACAAATGGACAGTTATTACTGAAACTCAGTTTTTAATAACTCCATTACTGTTTTATAACAATACTAAAGTTGACAAAGAGATGGCCAAACAACTACATAACGGTCCCAAACAACTATATACCGCTTATAACTTTAGCTCAATTGAGAAATTTCTTGGATTTGAGAGCAAAAATCCTTTGGAGAAAGTGTTAGGTCTAAAAAATTCTCGTAAATCCAGAGATCAATTGCTTAATTGGATTCATCATTTGTACTCTAAGTTCTGGTTTGCTCAACGCATATGCTATTTGTCAGATAAGACTAGTCTTGGAGTTGATTTCAATTGTGATCTTCATCTTCCAGAGTGTCACTCAACTGATTGGAGCTCGCAATCAGCCGATCCAAAGTCAGACATCTCTATATTATTCTAGTTATCAAATAATGTGCCTTTTATTACAATATTATATTTATTAATAATAATACTTAATTTATGAATTTTATTTTTATTATTTAATAGATATTTATATAACAATTAATAATTTTTCTATTTACATATTTGCAAATATTTTTAAATAGCTTTACTTTTATATTTATTATTGTTTTATGCGATAATTTATTAATGTCATAAAATACTCATTTATATCTTTAATATTACCATTTAGTAAATTAATCTATATTTATAAAGTTTATATACATTGTATTTATTAATAGATTATGTATAGCTTTAAATCAAATTAAATAAATAATCATAAATGATAAACTTAGTGGTAATAATTTTTTACTTTCGTTTCTAAAATGTAATAATTATCAAATTTTATATAACAAAAATATATTTTATAATTAAATATGACTTAAATTAACGGTATATTTTAAGGATAATTTAATTTAACAAAAATGCAGTTTTTTGTATTGTCGTATTAAAAGTAATTATGTTTATTATTGCAAAATTATTTAATGATTTCCACATTTAAATGCACGAAATAAAAATCTTTTAGTCGGGATTTTTATGTTATTTTTCATTATATTAAAATATAAAATAACAAAACATTAAATATAATTTTTGAATCTAATTCAATATCCTTATAGACAAATGTGTAAAATATCTGTCATTTTAGATTATATTTCAAGATTATAGAAAAATAGTTTAATAAATGTTGACCTCAAACACGTCAGTTCAGGTTGTATTGCTATCTCACACAATGTTATAGAGTCTATGACATAGACTACTGTAGTTTGAATTTAAAGTTTTTAAATTATATAATAATAATAATACGTATACTAATAGTACTGTAAGGATATGTTATTAAAGTTGACTTATCGACTATGTTTGTAGTATTTATTTTAATTAATAAATAATATCATTTAATAGGTATTGATGGGCTAAACATCATATTCAAGTAATAGCTCAATAAATGTTGTAATAGTTTTGTAAAAACATCTGTTTTATAAATAAATTTTAATATATGTTAGATATAGGGAAAAGTCGAAACTTTGGTCGTCAAAAAAAACACCCGCTATTAATCATAATTATATTGTTTTGTAATATTATGACTATATTTAGATGTTTTTTTTTTATAATTTTTATATATTTATAGAAATATAAGACTTTTCTGAGTTGATTTAACGGTGCCCTAAATCACATTAACTTTTACACAATTATGTCCGTCTCATGAATTGAGTGTTAAAAATAAATTTAAATAAATTAGTTTATTTAATGTACTGTAGTTTGCATTAAAAATCTTTCTCATGACTTTTGAAAACCATTTTATAATTGATGTTATTAAGTAAATTAAATGTAATGTAAACAATTATAACTCTAATTTTAACTATAACTGTATAATTAGTATAATAATATTTAATAATAATTTTATTTGTCTTAACCATTAAAATATTAGCTAAATAATCTAGTAATTGCAATAAATATACTATACCTGTATAATATATCAAATATAAAATAGCAACTCATATAATTGTATATAAATGTATTAAATGGTTATACTAAAAGTATATAGCTTAAATTATCAATTATCAAAAATAACTGTATTAAACAGGTAATAAATTTACTATAAATGTATTAGTAATAATTACCATAGCAATGCTTAAAAATTATTTATATAAATTATTAACTAAATTTAAATACAATAAGTATATAATAAGAACTAAATAAACCATTCAAAACATTAATTAAAAATTTATTATTTTATTATTAAAATTAGTAATTTTAACAAAAAAAATCATGTTTTATATTAAAGCTTAACTTATTTATATCATAATACACTAGTGTATAGACATATACATTGAATAAAACAATTGATAATACTTTTATTTATTTAAAAAAACATGTTTAGTAAATTTTGGCATAAAATATATTTAATAACATTTATAGCAAAATATTTAGGAAATTAAGTGACAATTTGACAAAAACTAAATCAATTGATTGGTTGACAACAAATAGTTTGAATTGCTTTTTAATTTATTAATAATTGAGAAAATCATAGGAAATCGTGTGAATCGTATGAATCAATTCATGTGTTAATCATGTGTTTACTCAATACTAATCAAAAGTTTTTTCACTTTGAAATAAATTATTTTAAAAGTTTTAAATTAAGTCTCAAATAAAATACATTTTATCAATAGTTAGCAATCGAATCACAATTAAATGATTTCGTAAAATAAAAACCAATTTTAATACTGAATTACATTAAGCATAGCTTGAATACGATTAATATTTGACATACAGTAGACTGAATGCAATTACAGTAGTTTGTGTTAAAACTGTATAGTTATGTAATGTCAATGAATGTATAGACCGGTACTTCAAATAGAGAAGCAATAGTGAGGGGAGGGCTGAGAGTCTGTCGATAGGATAGGCCTACTATTGGCTCATTATATCTCACGCGAGACTCACTCGACGTCAGCGTTAGTGTTGAATCACATGTGATATGAATGCAGATCTGACTGTATATCAGGTGATACTGTCTTTCAAATGCATTGCCTGTCAGTCTGTAAGCCGAGTAGTACTGCCTATGAATACTAGAGCCCAGTCTGAAACCTCATCCTCTGTCAGCCCTCGAGAGCCAAACATTTGATCATAACGTATGACAGAAGACTATCCACTTATTAACCAAACTTTGATTTCAATTTGTTTTCATTCAATGACAACATCTTTCCGATAATTTTGTTATCATTTATATATCATATATAAGACTCAAACACTTCTCACTTCAAACCATCACTTGTTGTCCACTCTTTCTTCAGTCGACTCCACACCGGCTTAAGGACTCAATTGAAGACAACATAACTCATTAAAACAGTTATTCAATTATTTATTTAATTAAGTCTCTACTTAAATATTGTTTCAATTTATTTGTGTTTAAATTTTTGAACAACTATTAAAATCAACAAATTTGAGGTAAATTTTTTGTTTATAAAACTATTTGTATTTGTCATAAATAAACTGTTTTTTAATTGTTATGAATTGAAAGTAATGTCATTTCAAGAATATTCTTACGAATCGATAGTTTTATTGAACAGAATTTCAAGGTTAAGGCCATACAGTCTAACAGTTATATTGTATAGCATTTGAATGCTCTTATCTTTACTTATTATATAAATATAATTATTTATTCATTTATTTTAAATATAAGATTAAATACTCAAACAATTGTAATTAATTTTATATTAACGTAGTTTTCAAATAATCAATAAATTATTTACCGTTAAATTGTGTTTAAATTCCCATATGGATATGTCTAAGTCATGGGAAATAATGCGAGTTTTCTCCCATATGAAAAAAATAGTTTTTTTACTTTGTATAATAATTTAGTGTTTAATTATTAGCAGAAGTGGTAAATAATTGCCAGTTTTTTACCATTGAAAATGTTATTTTTCATTTTTTTTAATTCTATGTGTGAAATAAAACACGATTTTACAGGTATATTATAATTAGTCAAACTTAATCAGTATATAGTTTAGCTATAAAATTGTATTTTATTTAATACTAACATTTAATTAAATTTTGTGCTAAAAATAATTTTCTATAGTTTTTAAGCATTTCAATTAAAATTACAGTAAAAATGAAGTATTGAGTTAATTTATATACAACATTACTTAATTAATTTTTTAAGTTATAGAATTTTATATTACCTTTAAATTTGTTTAAATTATAAATCTTTTTAACGATAAATTAACAAAATATGATAATAATGATAATTATACTGAATGACCATGGTAATATTGTAATGTCGGTGGTAATGCCCATTATTATTATAAATAAACCAAATTAGGACATAACTTATTGCGTCTACTTTTGATGTCAAAAAACAATTTCACAACAATTGAAATACAGATATTAATGACTTTCTGTAAATTTCCGTATATTATCCAAAAAACAAAACACAATTTTCCCAGAATTTAACATTTTATTAAATATTAAAAGAGGAAAAGTTTTTTATTTTATAATATGGTATATAAATTTATGAATAAAAATAATATATTTATTTTTGTCTTTTACGTTAAATTAGATAATTTTGCACTATTATACAATTATCATAATATTTAAACTAATAGGTAATTAATTAAATAGTTTTTTTTATTATAAACATTAATGTTATTTTTTAGTTTAATAATAGTTAGTAACAAATCAAGTTAATTGTTTTGATTTATTTAATTAAAAATTGTTTGAGTTTTTATTAAATATACCGTATGTTTAAACAGTTTTTAAATATAAAATATAATAAGTTTAAATTAATTGCAAATAATTCTTAATAATGTTTATTCATTATTATTTTTTAATAAGTTTACATAGTTTTTAATAGTTTTGTGTGATTTTTTCATATATAATCATAAGTATAATTATTTTATGAGTTGGAAATTTGTTGAAATATGACACAAACAACATAATTGTGATAAATTTTCCCAATTTCCCAAATATTATCTATTTATAATTATTAATTAAGTTTTAATCAAAGTAAAATCAGTTATTGTTTATTTTATTTTGTTTTTATTAATTATTAATATGAATAAATTGGTTGAAAATTAAAATAATTAGATTTATATTTTTAGATTATATGCATTTATTGTAAAATTAAATGAAACATAAAGTTTATTGTTTAGTACTAAATATGTCTATTTTAGTATTTATATGATTTCTTTATATTTAATGATTAATTTTACTTCAATAGCTCTAATTTGTTATGACATTATTATTTATGCCATTTATTAATTTAATTTTATCAAATTAAAGATAGCTTTGTAAAACACAATTAATTTAAATTAGCTATAATATTGAAAATGTTTTTATTAGAAAATAATATAAACTGAAATAATTTCAGACAATGGCTATCGATTACGAGTTGGGTTCTGGAGATAACTATCAGATGCCAGAGTGGGAGATGAATGACGATATAGTGATTAGTGGTGTCGCCGGACGTTATCCTGAATCTGATAATATTGACGAACTTAGAGACAACTTATATAATGGCGTTGATATGATTACGGAAGACGATCGCCGTTGGCCTTCAGGTCTCTATGGACTTCCGACAAGATGTGGTAAAATAAAAGATTTGAGTAAATTTGACGCACAGTTCTTCGGTGTTCACGGAAAACAAGCAAATCTAATGGATCCTCAGGCGAGACTTCTTTTGGAACTTACATATGAGGCCATAGTTGACGCCGGTATGCATTTTAAGGCATTTTTTTGTTGTTTTTGTATTAAATTAATTAAATATCAAATATAGGTATAAACCCACAGACTCTGAGAGGCAGTCGCACCGGTGTTTATGTGGGCGCCTGTGTTTCAGAAGTAGAAGAAGGATTATCTATGGATATATCGAAAGTTTCTGGATATGCTCTGACCGGATGCAGTCGAGCTATGTTTGCTAACCGTATTTCATATACGTTTGATTTTCAAGGACCCAGTTATTCAATGGACACCGCCTGCTCTTCCAGTGCTTTAGCCATTAATCAGGCCTTACTTGGTCTCCGAACCGGTCAATGCGATGCCGCTATTGTTGGCGGTGTCAACGTCTGTTTGCGACCGGTATCTGCACTACAGTTTCACAAACTTAATATGTTAGCTGTTGACGGAAAGTGTAAATTTCTCGATGAAAGTGGCAATGGATATGTCAGATCCGAGACCTGTTCCATAATATTGTTACAAAAAAAGAGTGAAGCAAAACGTTTATACGCAACAGTAATTCACGCGAAGACCAATACTGATGGATATAAAGACGAAGGCATCACTTTTCCTTCATCTATATCTCAAGCGTCACTTATGCACCAAACACTTAAAGAGGCGAATATAGATCCAAATGATATTAAATATATTGAAGCTCACGGAACTGGAACTCCTGCTGGTGATCCATCGGAGACAAATGCCATTGCCAAAGTTTTCTGTCAAAACCGAAAAGAGCCGCTTTTGATTGGTGGCGTTAAATCCAATTTAGGACATTCAGAACCTGCTTCTGGTTTGAACTCTTTGGCCAAAGTATTGATCACTTTCGAGAACAAATGCATTCCTGGAAATCTCCACTTCAATACACCCAACCCTAACATTCCAGCTTTAATTAATGGTCAAGTGGTTCCAATAACAAAGAACACACCATTTGTTGACAGTGTAGTTCCCATCAATTCGTTTGGATTTGGAGGAGTAAACGTCCATATTTTGCTTAAACCGCATCAAAAAGAGTTGACATCAGAGAGCTATAAGATAATTGAAAACATTCCGCGTTTGATCCCAGTTTGTGGTCGAACTGAGGAAAGCGTTAACAATATATTCGACTTTTTAGAACAAAATCCTAAACGAGTCACTCGAGAACTGTTGTCTCTCTTGTTTGATATCTCGCAGACCACTGAATCTTCAGGTATGAATCATCGCGGATATCTTTTGGCCAAAAACAATGAAGAAGAAGATACCATTTCATTTACTCGAGAAGTGTCTCGAATCCAAGACAAGAGACCCCTTTGGTTCGTGTTTTCAGGTGATTACAGATATCATTGATTTTATAGTTATTTTGTTTATTTTTATATATTAGTATATTTTAAAATAAAAACATTTGTTTAATAGGAATGGGAAGCCAATGGACAGCTATGGCTAAGGGAATGATGACTTTGGATGTATTCAACAAATCAATTCAAAAATCTGTTCAAATATTAAAACCATTGGGCATTGATTTGCTTAATCTGATTCTTAGCGACGATGACTCAGCACTTGAGACAACTGTTGCTCCGTTTGTGGCCATCGCTGCCGTACAGATAGCTTTGACTGATTTGCTTAAAGAACTGGAGATTGAACCCGACGGCATAGTTGGCCATTCTGTTGGAGAGTTAGGTTGCGCTTATGGTGATGGTGTTTTTACCCATGAACAAATGTTATTGGCTGCTTACTGGAGAGGAAAGTGTGTAGAAGACGCCAAACTACCTAAAGGTTTGATGGCTGCGGTCGGTCTGACGTGGGAAGAGGCTAAGAGACGTTGTCCTAAAGGCGTTGTTCCCGCCTGTCATAACTCGGAAGACTCGGTAACTATCTCTGGTTCATATCAAGAGACGCATAAATTTTTGGAAGAACTCAGAGCTGAAAATATCTTTGCTCGCGAAGTAAAGAGTTCGGGCGTCGCTTTTCATAGTTATTTCATGGAAGCCATTGCACCGACACTTCTTGATAAACTCAAGAAAGTTATTACAGATCCAAAAGTTCGAAGTCCCCGATGGCTCAGTTCATCTGTTCCTGAAAGTCGTTGGGGAGAGGATTTGGCCAAATATTCTGCACCGGCTTATTATGTAAACAACTTGACATCACCGGTGCTGTTCCACGAAGCCATTCAATTGGTTCCTAAAAACGCAATTGTTATCGAAATAGCTCCCCATTGTTTGCTTCAGGCGATACTTAAGCGAAGTCTTGGGTCAGACATTGCATACGTTGGTCTAATGAAACGTAATAACAATGCAGGAAATCTCGATATGGTTTTGTCGGCCATCGGAAAACTTTACGAATTAGGATTAAATCCCAGAGTTGACAAACTTTATACTAAAGTGCAATATCCAGTCGCTCGCGGAACCCAATCAATAAGTCCATTGATTGGTTGGGACCACTCGCAGGACTGGTTGGTCACTCTTTATCCCGAATATTTCAATCCCAGCAGTTCTTCTGATTATACGGTTAAAGTGGATCTCCAAGAAAAGGGCGACGAATATTATTCAGGTCATTGTATTGATGGACGCGTTTTATTCCCGGCCACCGGTTATCTGATGCTTGCGTGGCAAATGTTGGCCAAACAAAAGGGTCAATATTGGGACAAATTGCCCGTTGAGTTTGAGAACGTGACTCTCCATAGGGCGACAATTCTGCCAAAACAAGGACAGACAAAGTTTGTCATTCGAATGATGGAAACCAGCGGCGAATTTTCTATCAGTGAAGGCGGAACTATTGCGGTTACCGGAAGAATATTTGTTCCCGAAGATGTTGATCTTAGTTTACAACATTTACTAACAGACGGTTCAGTTCCCAATGAGAACACATTAAAACTTGAACCCAAAGATATTTACAAAGAACTCCGAATTAGAGGCTATGATTACGGACCGACATTCCAAGGATTAGCTGAAACTACTGCTGATGGACGCCACGGAAAGATTAGATATAACGGAAGTTGGATTGCATTCGCTGACGCTATGCTTCAAATCGGTATTATTGGCAAATCCACTCGTGGTCTTTATCTACCCGTCAGATTCCAATCGGTTCGATGCGATCCCAGAGTTTTTACTGAATCTATTGAATCGTCCGGTAGTGACCAACTTCTTAATGTTGTTTGCGATCCACGAATCAATGTATGCGTTGCTAAAGGTTTGGAAATCAGAGGCCTTAAAGTAAATCTAGCGCCACGAAGACAGGGAGCACAGGTGCCAACTCTGGAGAAGTATCAATTTGTTGCATACGATGGCGATAAAGCTCTCGAAGACAACGAATTGAAAGATTTGAATGAATATATTGAAGTTTGCACTTCACTTACACGAAAAGTTTTGGAAGCCTACGGAAAACAGACTAAAGAAATTCAGGAAATTCTTAACCAATTTAAAGAAGCGAAAGACGATATCGTCAAAGAATATTTAGTTGCTCCTCATGAAGAACACGTTTTGCTTCGTGTTCTTAAAGATTTAATAACATTTGACAAGAAAGTAAGCCTTAGAGACAATGTTTCTCAAGTTCTTAATAAATATGGACCAGAGTTGTCAAAGGACACCGTCGCCAATGTATTCACAAAACAAAGTTTTCTTCGACCGGCTCTGGAAGTTGTTGTTGAAAACCTAACGTCACTGAAACTTAATGTTCTCGAAGTGAATGCCAGTCCAATCATATTAAACGAACGGATCAATAGTTTGTTGAATAGTTCCGGTTTTAATTTGGCAGTGAATTACACATTAGCTCATCCGTCGCCCGCAAATCTGACAGACTTGGGTGACATTCGTGTTGCTGAATGGAATGTCACCAAATCGAATGTTCCTCTGGAGGCAAATACTGTGGATCTCGTCGTCTACAAAGACATTTACTCGTCGACCAATACCTCAAACGGTGTCAATATTGAAGCACTTACTGAATCATTATATTCAGTGACCAAAGAAAATGGATTTGTGATCGCTTTATTACGAACCAACTTCACACCCGCTGAAAGATTCTTCTATAAAGTTGTCGACCAAACTGTGCCCAACACTAAAGCCAATGAATTCATTTCAAAGGCCGAAAAAGTTGGATTTACTGTTGTTTCCAATCAAAACGATTCATTGACCTCATCAGTGGTACTATTGAGAAAAATAACCAAAAAACAACCCTCTGATCAAAGTATTATAAACGTAACGACAACTAAATATGACACTTGGGTTGAGACACTTAAGTCGAAAATCGAAGAACACCAGAACAAACAAAATGGACAAAATGTATGGCTTGTTGCCAATGACTCGTCCGCTAACGGAGTGGTTGGTCTCGTCAAATGTCTGCGTCAGGAACCGGGAGGTGATAAGATTCGTTGTATATTTAATGCCAGCAAATCCAACAAAAACAAGACGGCTTTACCTGCCGTTGCTTTCGATAAATCCATTTATTCAGATATTCTTAAGAAAGATCTCGTAATGAATGTCTATAGAGACGGCAAATTAGGATCATTCAGACACTTTGATTTGAGTGATAATCGACAAAATGAATTGATTGATACCGAACACGCTTACCTCAATGTTACCACAAGAGGTGATCTGTCAAGTCTGAAGTGGTACGAAGCGCAACACAAATATTGGACAGCACTTCCATCGGCACACAAGAATCCTAATGAAGTTCTCTGTAGTGTATATTACGCGCCGTTGAACTTTAGAGACATTATGCTGGCTACCGGTAAATTGCCTCCCGATGCTCTTCCAGGAGATTTGGCTCTCCAAGACTGCATTCTCGGTCTTGAATTTGCTGGTCGTGACCACAATGGCAATCGAGTAATGGGAATGGTTGCCGCTAAAGGTTTGGCTACAACTGTTGTTTGCGATGACCCCGAATTCTTGTGGAAAATACCCGATAACTGGACTATGGAAGAGGCCAGTACTGTACCCGTAGTTTACAGTACTGCTTATTATGCGCTTGTGGTCAGAGGTGGTCTACAAAAAGGTGAAAGTGTTTTGATTCATTCAGGAAGTGGTGGCGTCGGACAGGCGGCCATTTCTATTGCCCTCAGTATGGGATGCGAAGTGTACACTACTGTTGGAAGTGAAGAAAAAAGAGAATACCTGAAGAAAGAGTTCCCACAATTGGCTAATAAAAACTTTGCTAATTCTCGTGACACCAGTTTTGAACAACACATACTCAGACAAACAGCTGGTCGAGGTGTAGATGTTGTTCTCAATTCATTATCAGAAGAGAAACTTCAGGCCAGTGTTCGATGTCTTGCACAACACGGAAGGTTTCTAGAGATTGGAAAATATGACTTATCACAGAACAATCCATTGGGTATTATTCTATTATTTTTGTTATTAAAATGAAATATATTTAATAAATCTATTGAATTATAGGAATGTCTGCATTCCTCAAGAATATTGCATTCCATGGCATCCTTTTGGACGCTTTGTTTGGTCCGTCTTCAACACATTCCCCCGGAATTCAGGGCCAAAAGCTTGCAGTGGCTAATCTGGTTATGAATGGAATTAAGAGTGGTTCGGTTCGACCTCTTAAGCGAACTATCTTTGGTACGAATCAGACAGAAGAAGCGTTCCGTTTTATGGCTTCGGGTAAACACGTCGGCAAAGTTGTTCTTAAAATTAGAGATGAAGAATCACAGAAAGTAGTGAAACCCAAAAAATTAGTGGTTAAAGCCTTACCCCGTACAGCACTTCATCCACTTAAGTCCTACATTGTTACCGGAGGTTTAGGTGGATTTGGGCTCGAATTGGCCCATTGGTTGGTTGAAAGAGGAGCTCGTAAATTGGTTCTCACTTCTAGAAGTGGTCCAAGAGATGCTTATCAACATCTTTGCATTAAACGTCTTCGCTCTTATGGCGCTCATGTCATAGTTTCGACGGCTAATGCGTCTACAATCGAAGGCGCGACTCAACTCATGAAGGAAGCCATATCTTTAGGACCTGTCGGTGGTATCTTTAACTTGGCTATGGTCTTAAGTGACGCTTTTATTGACAAACAAACTGTTGAGTCATTCAAAACTGTGTGCGGACCTAAAGTCGACGGTACCATGAATTTAGATGCAGTCTCTCGTCAATTATGTCCAGAATTGGATTACTTTGTGGCCTTCTCTTCGGTTAGTTGTGGCAGAGGTAATGCCGGACAAAGCAACTATGGTTTTGCAAATTCATCGATGGAAAGAGTTTGTGAACAAAGAATATCTGATGGTTTGCATGGTTTGGCCATTCAATGGGGAGCTATCGGAGACGTCGGTGTTGTTTCAGAGAATATGGGCGGTAATGATGTTGTCGTTGGCGGTACTCTACCACAGCGTATGCCTTCGTGTTTATCAGTTTTGGATCGTTTCCTTCATTTAGATGAAAGTGTTTGTTGTAGTCTTGTTAAAGCTGTTCGACAGACCGACACATCGGGTGGTAAAAAACAAGACTTAGTGAAAACAATTGCAAACATTCTTGGAATTAAAGACTACCAGAACTTGAGTGCGACGACCACTTTGGCTGAAATGGGAATGGATTCGCTTATGGGAGTGGAAGTGAAACAGACATTAGAACGAGACTATGATGTGATTCTTTCGATGCAAGAGTTGAGATCACTCAATGTTGGTCACCTCCAAGAAATTAATGGCAGTAATAATGAAGTAACCAATCGTATCAGTAATGAAGCACCTCTTCAGCTCAATATCTCTATTCCTCGAATTGGTTTACCAACCGAAGCAATCGTCAGATTGAATGACGTTAAAGAAGGAATGCCTGTTTTCTTTTTGCCGCCACTGGAAGGTGTCTTCAATCTGTTGGAAGTGTTAGCCAAACAAATCAAACGACCAGTTATTGGTCTTAATTGGACTCTTGCCTTCAAAAATATGACAACAATTGAAGAAGTATCGGCTCATTATATTGAAGCGGCTAAACGTCTAAATGATAGCAATAGCTTTGATTTGATTGGTTACTCATTTGGTTCACTTTTATCATTTGAGATGAGTCTTCAGTTACAGCCCAAGACTAAAGTAAATTTGATACTTTTGGACGGATCTCCTACTCAATTGATGGTCAGCACTGAACAGTTCCGAGAGAGATATCAGGCCAACGATGATAAAGTGCAGCACGTGGAGGCTTTGGTACAGTTCCTCATGCAATTCGTTCCAATCAACTATCAAAAGATCAGATCAGAATTGTCAGCCATTGCTGAGGATGATCTCCGCGTCCAGAAAGCGGCCGAGATTTTTGTAGAGAACGGCGGACCCAAGTCTGACCCGAAGGACATCGCATTGGCTGCCGAAGCATTTTTCCGTAAAGTGAAAATGATGCACAACTATAGATTCAACAAGAAGTTTGACGGAGACATCCTTCTTATTAGAGCTGAAGAATTGATTGTCAAAAGCGAAGACATTCATTTGCCACACGATTACGGCGTTTCTGAGGTATGTCTTCAATAATCTTTAGATATGTCGTTAAAATTAAAATTAATTATTAATTTGTTTACTTTGCAGTCGATTACCGGCAAATGCGAGACCCATGTTATGCCCGGAAATCACAAAACATTTTTGTTAAACAATTTGGAGAAAGTGTCTCAACTGATCAATGATCGACTTTAAAGATTTATTAATGACTATAATCTCATATATTTTCTACTTTTTTTAATTTCGATATTTTATTTTTAATATAAATTATGTTATTAAATATATAAATGTTTTGATTTATTACTATTATTATAAAAATATAGGTGTGGAGTCTTAATCTTAAATATTAATTAAATAGATTACAATACTTTTATATTATTATTATTATTATTATTATTATTATTATTAGAATTTGTAATTGACTGAAAAATATTTAATAAAAATTCAATAAAAATTGTTTAAAAATTTAATTATCATGGTCCTTTATAAATCATTTATATTAAATTACAGTATGATTAGTGATGAAAATTTTGAAACAAAAGTTTATTTTATAATTATTATTTTAATTACAATATTTATGTAACAAAATTTCAGCACTTTATTAATATTAATGAATATGAATATAATTGTTATTGAAATTCAATAGATTTATAATAATTTTCAGTCAATATGTTTATAGTTTTATTTAAAAAACACATAATTCATAAATTTTAATAATTAATTATATAATTGTATAATATATTGATAATAATAATTAATTGACACACATCTGTATAATACAATTGATGTTTAAATGTTCACTAAATAACAATAATTATTAAGACTATTGATAAGTGTTTTAACTTTAAAAACATTAAATTAAATTTAAATGTGATTTTAATTTAAGAAATTCATAATTCATTTATTAGTAGTGTCTTGATTTCCAACTAAAAAAATTATTTTGTCGGTTCAACGCTTATAACTGGGACTTAGTATAACCACCTAACTTGACCAGTGGACGCTATTTCCGAAATTTTATTATAACTATAAATAACTATTTGTTGGGTTAGAAACTATAAAAACTTATAAATAACTATTTCAGTTATTTTGAAAAATATAAGCATTAAATTGTAAAATTAAGCACAAATATATGTAAAAACAAAAAGTAATAGTTATATAAATTATATAAAATGTGTAAACTGTTTCAACTCATATTACTTTTTTAACAATAGAAATATTTAGTTTATTTATATAAATCATTTTTGTAAATATGCTGAAAACAAATGAATTATATATCAGTTTAAATATTTATAAAAAAAAATAAATAACTATTTCAATAACTATTTGGCTTTTTTAGCAACTATATACAACTATTTAATACAGTTTAAATAACTATTTTAAAAACTATTTGACTTTTATTAGCAACTATTATAACAACTATTTAATAGAGTATAAAAAATTATTAATCAATACACTATTTATTAGTTACTATTTTACATAAATCGTAACGTTGTTTGTGAACTGTTTGTAATTGATATCACGTTTTGTGTGAAATATTTGACAAAACATTTAGTTTTCAATAAAATTGATTTTTTATTGAAATTGTATTCAAATTGAATTGATTTTGAATTTGTTTGGATTGGATGTCATGTATGTATTGATTGACTGATTGACAACATTTGATAACAAAAGAAATTATAAATGATTTGTTTGAATGAATGACAGGTCTCCCCAACTGAAGAGCAAAACCAAACGAGACGATAGACGAAGAAAGAGTTCCAGTGGTAGCAGTGGATCGAGTCGTAGGTCTGGACTTTAAGACATGTTTTTACCAATTAGTCAATTGTTTTCTAAATTATTTTATATGATTTAACAGTCGAAGTGCTTCAAGAAGCAGTTCCAGTGGTTCATCGTCTCGTTCTTCAAGTTCAGGATCTTCTCGTTCATCTGCATCACACTCAAGATCTCGTTCGCCGTCGCGTTCGAGCAGCTCTTCGCGATCTCGCGCCTCATCTTCGCACAGACGTCGAGGTCGGTCTCCGTCACCAAAACGAGTTCGTAAGCCCTCACCATCTCCACGACCGACACGAGTCCACATCGGAAGACTCACAAGAAATGTTACTAAAGATCATGTGTTGGAAATATTCAGTGTTTATGGAACCGTAAGAACCGTTGAAATGCCAATCGATCGCATTCATCCACATCTTAGTCGAGGATTTGCTTACGTTGACTATGAAAAAGGCGAAGACGCGGACAAAGCAATTAAATATATGGACGGCGGACAGGTTGACGGCCAAGAAGTGAGTGCTACTTTGGTTCTTCTTCCGAAGCGACCATTTACAGGCCCGCCTCCCCGTCGCGGTCCTCCACCTAATTGGCGCAGACCTTCGCCACCTCGAGGAAGACGCGGAAGGTATTTGTTGATACAATTATTTACTGTTATATTAAAATACAATTATTCTTTAGATCTCCACCGAGATATAGGTCTCCCCCTCGCCGTCGCTCTCGAAGCAAATCTCGATCTCCTCGCAGAAGACGAGCTTCGAGTTCACGCTCTTCTTCGCGTTAAATCTTAAATGTATTCATTTTAATGATAAACAGTAATACTATATATTCACATATAAATCATTTAAACTCAAAAAATTTTTATCCAAATAATTTAATGTCAATTATTTAGTGTAAAAAATATTTGTGTAGTTGTATTAAACATAAGTTTTTTTTACCAAAAAATTACAAATTTACTGTACTTCTAAAAAATGCCCAAATTTTTTATATGATATAATAATTAAATGAAACAAATTGATAACAAATTAGTTTAATTATATGAAAGACTATATTAGAGCTCATCCTTCGCAGAGTCGGCTTTGTCTTCCTCCTCTTCCTCATCCACTTCCTATTAAGTCATTTGCAAACATTTCATTAATAAGTAAAATAAATAAATGGTTTGAGAAAAATAAAGAGTATTTGTGATGCGAGTCATAAGCGCTTAAAATGTGTGCTAATGTTAATGTATTTGTCAAATACTTATACATTATAACTGTATTAATACGTTATAATAGTATTATTATTATAAATATACTGTATTTTAAAGATAAAGATACAGTACTTATGAATGTATATCTAATGCTTTTGACAACACATCACAAATAGAAGAAAGTGTCAATTCATGCAAAGAGTTGGCGCACCTCTTGTTTGGGATCAGCGCCTGACTTTCCGCCACTTTCTAAAAACTTTGTCAGACCCTCAAGAGTCCGCTCCCCGTTATAGTCCACCACCTGATATTAGTCATATAAATAATAACAATTAGTAAACAATCACCTGATCGGGTGCCGCGCGACCGTAATCGCCGTCAGTCTCTATAAATTTAGTCAAACCCTCGAGAGTTCTCTCGCCGTTATATTCTATTACCTGAACATTACATATACAATGATTTGGTAATTCAATTTAAATGTCACTAAAAATAATTAAGATTAATGTAATCAACAATTGATTGGTTACCTCATTTGTGTCCCGTTTGAACAATTTGATGGTCGGGAAGCTATTGATCTTTGTGTGCTCCAACTCATTGGCCGTGGAATCCAATTTTGCAATGAGAACAGTGGCCGAGTCTTTAAAGTTTTCGGCCAATTGGTCATAGATTGGAACAAGTTGTTTGCAATGTCCGCACCACGGCGCGTAAAACTCGACCAAAACGTCTTTGGACTTATCAAAGGCCACTTCATCGAAGTTAGTGCTCACCAATACCTTCACAGGATTTTTGTCCCAATCTTCGGGCAGTACTTGTGACAAAAGGTGTTGCTATTCAAAAACAAAAAGGTTAACAACAAATGGATAAAACAATAAACACATTATTAATACCTTGACTTTACCGCTGAGGACTCCCTCAACAAATTCTTTAATGTTCTTCTCTGACAAATCATCAGTTGGGGGCTTGAATTTAGTCATCTCTTCTTCAAGTTTAATGAGTCTCAGTGATGGCGTTTCGTCCTTTTTAAGTCCAAAGAATTCCATAATTCTTTCGTGATCTTCTTCATCGGTATTAATAGTCACAAAAAGAACTTTGCTTTTGAATTCTTTGGCTACATTTTTGAAAGACTCGACAGTCGATTCATAATCAGAACTCTTACGACTGATAAACAACAGATTGTGTGCTTTGATTTCGCCGCCAAATATCTTTTGTGCGGTCTGTCAGACATAACAATAATTAGTAAATTCTTTGAGAGGTCTTGTAATTAATTAAAAATAAAACAAACCTCATGACTGAAATCAACAACTAATGGCAGACTATTTGATGAGACAAACTTCTTAATGAGAGCAGAAGTCACTTCTCCTTCTAATTGATTACGTTTTTCATCAAAATTTTTGTACAAAACAATACCGTCATTGTCTTCTCCTAAAGCAGCGTAAATTGATTTATCGGTGACAATACCAAATGGATGTTCGTCATTATCAGCGGCAACTTCGAGGAATGTCTTGGCGTCAGCACTATCTTTGTCTGAGAATAAGCCGACGACAACAACTGAAGCGCTGTCCTTGAATTTCTTTGCTTGTTCTTCACTCGTTAATTCCACAGCTGGCGGTCCGGTCTTCTTCTTCAACCATTTCACTAAGTCTTCAGCAGTACGTCCGCCACCGTATTCAGAAGGCTTACCGTTTCGGAAAAACTTGAGAGTTGGGTAACCTCTGACTTCAAATTTTTCGGCTAATTCTGACTCTTCTGTTGCATCGACTTTACCCAACAGAATCTCAGAGCCTTCTTCTTGTAGTTGTGTGGCGGCCTTTGCATACTCGGGAGCTAATGCTTTGCAGTGACCACACCACGGGGCGTCTAATAAATACAATACATTATACATCGTTTCAATCAATAGTAACTTAAGTGAGTCTTAACTTCCAGACATAGGATAACTAAAACTAAGTCTTTATTATATAATTTGTTTTCTCATTTGATGACAACTATTATGTCAATTATGACACTAACAGAGAATGTGATTGTCTTAACAAGCATTGGAACAAAGTATTAGACAATAATATTGATAAGCAATGTAGAGATAATGAGATGACATCAGCGGTGATAATACTTACAGAACTCGACTAAAATGAATTGGTTTTTGATTGCATCGTCGAAATTGTCTTTATTTAAAACTAAAACATTTTCTTCGCGTTTGATGTCATCGGCGGTGGAGAAGCCGATCAACAGTAGTGATAGAAAGACAAATCGATTCATGTCTTCAGTGTTGTCGATGTCAGTGATGTGTTGTTAACGACCGGCGCTTTAAATGTGCGACAATTGTATGACTGCTTTGAATGTTATATTCAATTGACTCTCTCTCTCACTATAACTACAAACTCTCTCTAATATCTACTGTATGGCAATGTATGGCAAACGTGGCATTAGTTGGGTATTACTTAAGCATTCAATATATTATATATCGCTTCCAACACTCAAACTACTGGTGCTCTCTCTTACTTCAAATACTGTTGAATACATAGGCCTACAGTATGTTTGTGTCACACCTTTTCTCAGGCCTTTCCCTTCAAAAGTCTACCAGAGCTGTGACCTGACGTCACAATTATTTGCTTCGTGTTTAACTACTATTGGATTAAAAAGTGTTTATTTGTTTAAAAAACATCACTTATTGTTAAATATATTAAACAATTTAATTGTTTTTAAAAACTTTTCATTCAATAGTTAGCTAAATATCAATTCATTCAATTTAATTGTAATTTTAAACACTATTTATCAAAAATAATAATAATAATAAATATTACATTAAATTGTTTGACAATTCAAACAACATTTGACTAACTTTTTTTCAATAGCATTAGAATTAAGGTGACCAACTCATAAATTACAAATCAAGTATTTTTTATATTAATCAATTTAAAATTAATATATAAATTGTATAAATATAACAATATTTTGAGTATTAAATTCTATATATAATTTATAATTTAAAATACATATTGAATATTACACTTTAAGTGCTAAAATTAATTTGTTGAGTAATTAAACTTCTATTGTTTCTGATTTAGCACTAATTCATCGTTCAATTATAATGAATCAATCATTGCTTAATTTTATTAAAGTAAATTATATACTATCTATTAGATTTAATTTTGATACAATTTAAAAAACAAGTATTTAGTTTTTTAAAATTTGATTTTTGAAATTTAAATATTTCAGTCAATTTAGTTCGCTTACAGTCATCAAAATGTTTAAAAATATTTTATGTTTCGAAACCTAATCCTATTAGACTATAATAATTAGAGTAATAGTCAATATATATATTTATATATGTAAAAATTAATAATCAATGATAGTTGACAACCTTATACTGTATATAATTTATACAATGTATGGCCCATACTGTATATCATTACATATGTTAGCATCAAATGCATACATAATTGCTTACACATTGAGTTCATTATCAATATATTAATATTAATGCCATCAGACTTTCAACACTAATACAAGTGAATAGTTTATCAGTTATTTAGTATTTTTTATTTTAGTTATATTTATAGTTTTGAACATTTGATTAAAATTTATCAATAGTTAGTTAATCATTGATATAATAACACTTTATTTGCTAATTTAATGATGTATTTTGATTAAAATAATACTTATTTAAAGAACACTACTATATTATATACTGTACAGTACTTACAAGTTAGTGGAGTACAAAAAAAGTATTAGTTTATTATTTATTAAATAAATTCAATTTTATATTTTGAATTTTATGTCATAATTTATGATTCATAATAATTATATATTTTTGACTAAATAACAAATGGGAAACTGTTATAAATTATATAACTTATAATTGAAATGAGTGGTCAAACAAATAATAAATTTTTATTTTGTTTCGGTTCTTAAAAAAGCTCTCATTTTCTAAACCCAAGGAATGGGATGTCAATTGACAGGTCATTGGCTCTGACATAATGTTCCTTCAATACTGAATAAACATTTTGTGTTTAAAAACTTGATTTTTGTCTAAACAAATAAATTTTGAAATTATTAAAATCCATGAAAAATAGGTTTCAAAATCACCTTGATAATATTATTTAAAATTATAGTGATTATAGTGACTCATTAATATAAAAAATAGTATTATTATTATAATTATATTTAATGATTCAATAGGTTTTCATTTAAGTTATTTCAATCAAAAGTCGATTTGTCATTGAATTACTTAAGAGAAGAAAAAACAATTTTATTTTTATTGACTAAATTAAAATGATTTATTTTTTAATAAAATATTTATAAATCTAGTTTTATTTTATCAAATTTAACAATATAAAATAACACTTATTAAAATTTTAAATAATATTGTAACTATATATCTAAATAGTTTTATGTATTACACAAATTTATAGTTTAAATACTGTATTATACAGTTTATAATAAACAGTAATAATTAATAAATTGTTTTATAGAATAAAGTTAAATACTGTAATATATTTATAGAATAATACTTTATATATTATATTTAAATAAATTATATTCTAGTTATTACAACATATACTTTATTAAAGATATTTTGTAAATTCATGTTATTTATGAATTCAGTAATAAATTTACTAAATCTAGTTGTAGACAATTATCAGCATTACATGCATTATTATCTACAGTCAACACTCTTGAAATTATTTTATATATCCAATGATATAAGTACTGTAATATTTTTATTTATGCTAATTTATTATATATAAAAATTTATAATTAATGTCAAATAGCAGTAAATAATTATTAAATGATAAAAAACCAACTCAGCTAATAATCAATCATATAATATAAATTAATCTAACATTGTATACATTAAACAAAATTTTTATACAAACACCGAAACATTAAGACCAGAGTTGCGTAAAGTTTTCGATTTCAGGGGAGTATAGGGGGTATAGGGGGTAAAATGATCAAAATCTGTTAAAAATCTTGAGGGTATAGGGTGGGGTAAACAATTTTTATTGAATTTTTTAGTAAATTCCCTATAAATTCACTGTATAAACGAAAATATTTCCAACTTAATTCCTTAATACTCTCAAAATATTTTATTAAAATATTAATATTTATTTTTACAACAGTTTCAAAAATAATAAATAATTTTGCATAAAAACATATACTTGTAAACTACAATAACTTAAATGTAAAATAGTTAACTTTCTTCATAGTTAAGATGCACGAAATCTACATTATATTTATGTAATATTGATTTAATATCTTCATTTTTTATTATTTTAATAACATATTTTGCGTTAATATTAATAAATAAATAAATAATTATTTATATTTAAATATAAAAACATTTAAACTTTTATTGTTTTGTTACATACTGTATATTTATAGTTAATAATGTAATACTGATGTAATTAATTATTTTTCAGTATTTAACTGGTTTTTATTTATTTATTTTGTAAACATAAGCTATTTATTTATATTAAAACTCAATTAGTATTTATTTTTATTTAATATTAAATTTCATATAAATAAAAAAAAATTCTGCGATTCGGGCCTAACTTTTTGTCTTTAGGCCAGGATTGATAAGATCTAAAAAATTGTGATCTCAGTGAGGGGTAAACCGGCCAAACCCACCCCTTACGCATCCCTGATTAAGACAATCTACCATAGCTTATATACTATACCGTAATTTGGGTTACCGTATGTACGAACATATTATACAACTGAATAATGTGAACATTTTAAACATCAACTGTTATGTTATCACATTTATTGCCAACCAATAAGAAAAAATGTGATGAAGTGAAGGCACCAAACACTTGGGACGGGAAACTATTTGAGACCATTTTATTACAATAGGTAACTATTTAATGGCTAATCAATTAGCAATAATTATTGTAAAGATATTTTAAATTAAATAAATTATAATACAGTAATAATAATAATAATTAATACGATATTAATTAGCTTTCGATCGGTCATTAAATTGAAAATTACTTGATATTTGTAGCCATTATTTGGCATTAAATAGACGGTCAATAGATGACATATTTTAAGGGTGGCAACAATTACAGACGTCCAAAGAAAAACTTCAAAATTAAGAATATTTTCATAACTAAGTAAGCATTCAATTGTTCCCTGGTACAATTTGTTTCTATGGTTTACGGTATTTTAATATTATAATTCTTATATAAAATATAAATTTAAAAAATAAAGAAATAAGAGAAGAGATGAGTTAATAACCAAACTTAACAATAGTTTAAAAATAATAAAAAACAAATAATAAATATTTGATTAAAAAACTGTTTTATTATAACTGAATTCACGACTAGGTTTTTATTTAAATTTTTTGTATTTATAATATTTTTTACAATCGGTTAATATATTTTAAATGTCATTATTCTAATAACTTTTTTTTGTTTATCTAAAAATGTTTACATTAAATTATTAAATATTGGCACAAATGTGTGCAACAAATATAATATAAGTAGTTTTTTTTACAATTTTGTAATTAATAGTCAAAAACCACAAACACTTAAAAATATATTAAATATAATTTTAGATAAAAACAGTATGTTTTGTGAAAAAATTCAATCAATCAATGGTTTTCTAAATCTAAGCAACGGATGGCTCATTTGAAGTATTTTTCTTCTTTTTCTATATAATTAAAACAATAAAAATTGATTAAAATATTATAAAATTGAATAAAAACTATTTATGTATAAAAACAATACTAACTTTATGTTTGGGACACAATAGTGAAAAGTTTTCGTCGTCTAATTCACAGTCTATATGCCAAACAATAAATTCAAAAATTAAATTATCGATAAAAACAAAGTTTAAAATAAATACCAATTTCTTTAGCACACAAATAATGATATTGTGAAGTATTGCAGCTTTTCTGAAGACAACCCAATGTTGCGCCCGAAAGCTTGCATTTTGTACAAAACTATCATTAAATTAATATATGAATTACCAAATTATATATCATCTAATATACTATAAAAACAATTATTTTTTAGTGGCAATACATACACTTTCCATCGATTCACAGATGATTTCTTCGAGATGTCTAACTCTGTGTCCAATTAAATAGACACCACTCGACCAAACTATACAATTCTCGTGAACCCACACTTCAGTTGATTCATTAATTTCATTATTTTGTGACAAATTTATTGATTTGGTTACAACTTTTGGTCTACTCTTTGGTGACTCAATTATCTCATTTGTTTCAGATTTTTTCTTTGGACGACCTCTTCTTGGTTTATCACTTCCTGAATGTTCTTTATTCACTATCTGTTCTTTGTTTGTTTGATTTACAGTATCTGAACGCGAATTACTAGAATGTGGTGATGATGTAATCTTAGTTTTATCTTCAGAAATATAATACGGACCAAAGAGATCACCCAAACCCTTATAATGGGGTCCCATATGACAGAGAGCACAGACCCATGTCTTATCTCTGGTGTTATAGTCATATTCAGGTGAAAAAGTCGACATAACTTTCTTGGAACTAACTAAAAGTGACGGTCTTCTAATAGGTTGCTTAATTGGTTCCGATTTAATAGTTTGTGATTTAGTTTTACCATCTTTTTCATCTTCAGGTTTGGTCGATGTATTAACAATGGAATAAACAGTTGCTTTTCTTCCTTTTCCTTTTTCCACTCGAATGAATGGTCCAATAAATTTCTTACGTTTAGAGGACACCTTAAGAGGGTTAACAACAGACAATTCATCAAATCCGTGAGCATCGAGTGTCACTTCTGTATTGACACACATATCTTCAGTTGACACACATTTCTTTTTCTTCTTAACAGAATTAGATGCGTCGGAAGTATTTGTCTCACTATTAGTGTCGTCACTATTTCTGCGATTTTTACTACCGAATGGTCGGCCGCGCTTTCTTCCAGCAGATCCCTGTTGTCTCATATTATTTGGTGGCGCAAAGTTTTGCTTTGAGCCCGAACTTTGAGACGAAGAACCAGATGCACTCCACATACCTGAACCACATTGAGTGACATTAAATGCTGAGTTATAAGTCATCGAAGATGGGACGGGGTTTGAGTTGTATAGCATTGGCGGCATTTGTGAGGTTTGCTGCCAATGAGGCCATGAATTTTTGTTTGTATTTCTATTATCATAATAATTGTTTTCCATCGGCCAGTTATGATGTCCTCGATTCTCATTATATGTCGAACGAGTCTTCTCCGAGTCAGAGGTTGGCAATGATTCCTGAGATGATCTTTTACAATGAGGTCCTACAGTTTGTTCTCCATTTCTATCATTATCTAAACTATGTTTTCCGTTTTCTCCATTTATCAAATTAGCACTTTTACCGGTAAGCGGTTCCTCTAATTTGACAATTGGTTGGATAGTAGTTTCTGAATTGGAATCGTCTTTAACTGAATAATTGAGATCATTATTCATATTATGATTATTACACTTATCCACACTATTGTCACATTTATTAAGCTCTTTATCACTTTCACTTTGCTGTCCATCACGTGAAGCGTCGGGAATGTTAGCATAAACTTTAGGATTGGTTTGAGGACTCACTTGAGGTGGAGTACACATCCGGTTTTGATCCATATTATAATAAGTAGGATATGGACTGTCAGGATCAGTGTTTTGGTCGTTTGAATAATTCTTGTTTATGCTGTTTGGTGTATACGAAACGGTTCCATTGGTCTGCAAACCGGTGTCATCTATATTATCATTATTATTGCGAACATCCTGTCCATCCGATTCAATCAAAACCATTTTCTGTAATGATTGTAATGGATTTGATGTATTCAAATGACTAGATCTATGGTTTTGATTAGTATAAGAGATATTATCTATCTTTTGTACCGAATGTTGAGACGATTCGTTTCCAAGTGATGGTGACGTATGTGAAGGCGAAAATTGTGGCGACACATGACTTGGAGATCGGCTATTGTTGACATGTGAGGGAAGAGGTGATGGTGTGGCGCTTGGAGATGGCATCACATTTGATGAACGACACCAATCTTGAGGTGACTGTGAAGCAGACCTGTGCTGACCGGAAGTTCTGTTATAGTTGTTGTTGAGGTTATGTGAGCGATCAGTTGGTGACCGTAATGGATGTGGTCGTGATGTGAGCGGTGGCGGAGGTATTCCCTGATAATTGTTATGTAAATTATTGTGCGATAATTGATCTGAATTCCAATATTTTATATTTGAAGAACCAATTGGTTGTCTTATATCTGGAGGTAAAGCTGCATATGAACCGCATCTACTGTACATATCATTGAGATGACTCATGGATTGGCCATAATTATGGCTTAAATTGGATGAATTATATTGTGAGATATGAGCTGAAGATGTAATGTGTGTATGTGTCGGATGTGTTGCTGAACTACTTGTATAGTGATTTGATCCACAATATCCCGAATCTTGAGATACTTGCGAATGATATGTCAAGTAATTGTTGGACACTCCATGAGATGTCTTAAGTATTAACAATAAATTATAAATATTAATATTAAAGCAAAAGATGTAATAAATAGATGTACTCACGAGGTCGTGGTTTTGATAAGTTGATGGCTCGTAGATATCAGTGCTTACCACTGATGGTCCTATCAATTCAATTCAAATCATTAATTCACATACAATTTGACAGAAAAATTAGATAATCTTTAGTTTAAGACAATATTAGCTGAAGAAGTGGTAAAACTAATAAAACTATTGCTTTGTGTCTTCAAATATATTCAACGCATTGTATGAATCAAAATGTGTTAAAAAGTTTAGGCTTTCAATGACTACTACTTTAAAGTCAAACAAAATTTGTTTTTGAGACAAACAACAAATTTATATCATTTGGTAAAAAATATATCCAAAAAATTATATAAATTTAATCATAATTTTTATAAATCCTATGTTTTACTACTATTTAAATGTCAACTCAAACTATACACTAATTAAATGATTAAACAATAGATGTTTTGCACAAAACATTATAATACAGTTGTTATTCACTACTTATATGAAAGTAATGTAAGTTATATACAGTATATAAAAGAGAGCATCGATTGTGTCAATGCATTGCATTGTTTGCATATTGTATGCCATCTAATACTATATACAATTGATTAATACATAATTCTCAATACATACCATCATACGAATGGCCCGAACTCTGCATACTTTACCACAGATTTATTGAGCGCTACTGAAATCAAATCAACAAAAAAAAAGTTTATTTATTATTATTAATATTTAATTGATTTGGAAATAATGTAATCTAATATAGATTTTTGTCATATATGTAATAAATATCTATACAAATATGTAATATATTTATATTAATTTATATTTTTCAAATATTTATATTACATACATATGTACAGTACATCATTTATTTTATATTTCATTTATGATATAATATATATCATATTGTATTCAACAACAAAAAATTGAATATAATTTGAATGATTTAAATTATACATTATATTATAATTTATTTATAATTAAATCAGTGTAATTATTTCTAAGCAAATAAAAGTGAAATTATAAAATAAAATATTAATGCCTTAATTATTAATAAATTATTATATCAACAAAACTACATTAGTTTATAAATCAACCATGCTTAAAAATGATTTTATTTGTATTAAATAAAAAAATGCCATTATAATATTTTATATTAAAAAAAAGTATAATAACCCTATTTTATACTAATAATAATAAAATATATTAAATTATTTAACAGAACAGAAATCGAAATTTTTTTTTAATTTTAAATTACAATTACAATACAACAAATAATTTTTTATTTAAAATATTTATTTTTTAATGATTTTAATGTCTATAAAATAAAATAATCTTATTTCTATATTTAATTGGAAATTTTTTAAATCATAAATTTTATTTAATCTACTGTATTATACCTTGGTTTAAAAATTATCAACAAAAATGATACAATTTATTTTTAAAAATTAATTTTATTATACTTTAATAATAATAAAAATTATATAAAGAAAATAATTATAATTATGTATTTTGTTTAATATTTTAAAGTAAAATTAAATACTTTATTAAACATCAATTTTATAAATAGTAGTGTGTCATTATAAAAATGTAAAAAATGTAAATCACTAATATAAATATTTTTAATAGTCTTAATATTCAAAATTCAAGATTAATAAATCGGAAATTAAAAACTTATTTTTAATAATGAAATCTAATAAATGCATAAAAATGTAATAAAATGCTGTAAATGTAGACAAACTTGTTATGCAATGAATTTTATTAAGAGTTAGTTTATTGTAAAATATTGAAAGCAAAACCAAATTTGAGTTATATTTTAGACCTTAAGATATGTCGAGTATTACTATAGACTTTGCCATCGATTTTATGCCGTTATTCGACACATGAGTAGATGGGATGCGGAGACAACTCCCCAACCAATACATCACAACTAACTGTTAGACTATAGTCTATAGGCATTGCTATAGTTAGACGACAAACCATTCATTCATAAGTATAATCAATACCATTGATAATCCGAGACATCATTTCATTTAAAATGCTAACCATTTATAAATAAATAATAAATAAAAACTTTATTTAACACAAGTTTAATAAAACATTATACAGTATTAAACACTAATTTAAATAAATAAATAAATAAATAATGAAAATTGAAATAAAATAAGATAACAAAATTAGTGTAAATAAATAAAAGTTGACAACATTTGTCCAATTTATACATTAAATTATAAAATATAACAATTAATATAGTTTTGCATTTTTTTATAAAAAAATTGTTTCAAAACTAATTTGAAATATGAAATGCGAATCTGCTTTGATATGATAATTATATGATATAATACAATAAAAAGTAGATCCATGGTCAATCATCAATGATCATGGTCATTGAATGGACATTGCACTAAATAATTATTATTAATTTTTGGATATATGTTAAAATTTGCTAATTATAATTAATAACTTATAATACAAATATGCATAATTAACCGACAATTTGACAATTTGTTCAAATAGTAGGTCAATGTATATCAATGTATATATGTTTCATATCTCATATGATTTTAATGGATATTTAAATATGCAATACACGAGACATGAGCTCAAACTCAGTATATACTATACAGCAAACACTGGGAGCTAACTGTGAGGTCAAATCAGGTCATTATTGATGATAACATACCTTTTGTGTTGGTGTCAGTGGTCACTGATGACTATACCAGTGATGGTATGGATCATAACAGTGCTGTCAAAATACATGATTGCAATTAATAGTAAGTAAATGGACCACTATTTTAGTGGCAGTCATCGTAAGCATATTCACACGTATTAATGCTTAACAACACTTACAGTATATACACTGTATATACAGTACTAATAATATGATATAACAGTGAGTGAAATGAGTGAACCGCCAAACTATACTCTAATACATTCAATGCATCCAATCCTATGAATCGCGCTATAAATAAATACATTTATATAAAAGCAAATACTATATCATATTCACGATATACTAAATAATTATGACATTCAATAATGTTAATAAAACTATATTTTTAAAAAATAGTTTAAATGATAAATACAATTATAATAGTACTCCATATGGTTTTAACTTTAGATATTATAAATTATATTTTTCTAAAGTTATATTTATTTTTAATTTCTAAACATTTGTTTAAAAATAATATTTCATCTAATTATTAGTAAATAATAAATTTCAAAATTCAATATTTTATCATATAAATTTTATATAAAGTTTTGTATTGCAAATATTTTATACTAAAGTATACAATACAGTATTATTCAAATTATTATTGATATAAAAACGATTATATTTTAATAAAACATTAACTTAATTTAAATGTTATTTATAGCAAACATTTTTGTTATTTATTTGATAGAATATTCAGATTTTTATTTATGAATTTGGTATCAATTAAAAACTAAAAAATATAATTTAAGTAAATCTCATTTTTATTTAAATAAATAAATGACAAAATGTATAACTTTGTATATTAGGCACATTAGGTTATTAATTAGGTTGTTTGCTGAGTTAACCTAATCTAATATAAGCTGTAATCAATCTAACATACCATTTAAAAAATTATAAATACTAGTATTAATAACTGTATAGAGATTTTTGGAAAATTATAATTGGATATGCTTAAATTTATTATGTTTAAAATGTGCACATTTAAAAAATAGCATTTATCGCCTCATTTATGAAACTTTCTAAATTAAGCTTGTTCAATCGGTTGAAAAATTATACAGTTTACAAAATACTTACCGGTATATGTAAACAAAAATTTACTTTAAAAATATATAATTAATAAAATTATAGCAATTAAATATCTGACATAAATTTATTTAAAAAACTTTTAAATTAATTATAATATGCAACAGAATTTTGTTTACATTGATATAACTTATATTATTTTCAAATTTTATAAATTTAATTATAATTAAAAACAAATTGATATTTACGGATAATATACTAATTTTTATGTCTAAAATAAAATCATTTATATAGTGATTATTTGACAATTTATCATTTTTTAAAAAAAATGTACATGTCAAACAAAATATAATAAACACAATTATTAATATAAAATATATCTTTATATTATTATTATTGTTATTATATATATAATTAGATGTTTGGTTTAACCATTGTTTAAAAATATGACTTATTTAATATTAATGGTTGTTTGTATTGCAAAAATCATCCGGTATTAGTAGAATTTATCTATTTATATAATATTTAGTAATGAATAATTATTACCCAAAAAATACAACGAAATAAAATTTACTTTAAAAAATAATGTTTATCTCATGATAACTTTATATGTTGTTATAAAAATAAATAAATAGTTTTAAAAAATCATAATTTTTCTAAATAAAAAGTAAATGGTAATTAAAATTATTAAAACTCAATAATGATTTGATTTATAACTTAATGAGATGCATAGATAAAATCAACTAATACACAATATGATAATAAACTGGTGTTTTTGTTAACACATTTTTCCTCCAAATCACAAACATATATATACTGTATTTATATTTTAAATTATTATTTTAAAAACTTGTTATAAATCTATTCTTCATAAATAAAAGCAATCATAAATATTAAACATTATAATAGGATATATTATATGATAGTATATAAATTATATAACATAATCATATTATTAAAAAAAAATTATTGTCATATAAAGACCCCATTTGGTTCAACCAATTGTTTTACTACCGGTAAAATCAAATTGATTGTCAATTAATAATCATTTAACTGATTGTTGTCTTGTCTGTCACCCGAAGATGATATGGACTTTCTATCGTTTTCAGACTCGTAATTGACATCATTGTTATCATTTAAATTGCATTCATTTTCAACGTCATTATTAACTTCATCTTCAATTTCTTGTTTTTTAACAGTTTTTTCATCACAATTAATATTATTAATATTAATATTATTATTATTACTATATTTACTTTCACTTGAGCTCCTGTTTTGGCTTCGGGATCTGCTTCGGGATTTGCTTTTGGATCTACTTTTAGAAGGAGTTTGGCTTTTGGATCGATCACGAGAAGGCGATCTTCTTCTTTTGGATGATCGGCTTTTGCTTCCACTTCTACTTCTTTTATGTCTTGAATCAGTTTTTCTTCTATCACAAAAATACATGACATTTTAGTCTTTGCTAACAGCAATCAACAGGAAATGGACACAACAACAGCAATACAAACCGGGATCGAGAACGAGAACGACTTCTGGATCGCCGACGTCTCGATGACAAACGGTCGCTATAAGCGGGTCGTCGGTAGGAACGACTAAAACCATTTCTTCTATCATCTGAACTATAGTGACTGCGATTGGCGGACAAGTATTTGTCAGTTTTAGAGTTAGGTCTGGCATATCGTGCCATTTGAATACTCAATATACGGCCATCTAATCGTTCGCCATTCATGGCACGCATCGCATCCTCAGCATCTCGTTTGCGATAATAGCGGACAAACGCAAACCCACGGCTGGCAAATGTATCCGGATATCGGGGAACATATATATCACCCAAATTACCAAATTTACCGAACACTTTCTTCAAAAGGTTAACACCCGTGCGTTGTGTGATATTATCCACTTTGAGTGAAACCATTCCCTCGATCTTAGGCGGGCCGTGACCTCGAGTATTGAACTCGTCGTCTCTGTCTCTGTCCGTGTAGTGGTCATAGTTGTCATGTCTTGACTTTCGTGTCGACGACTCATCAGTAGACCGATTGCGACGACTCGACGGACTCGAAGACATTGTCCGATAGTTTAATTGTCCGTTTAATTAATTCGGCTTTCAATTAGTTTTTGACTAATAAATGAATCAAACAATTGATGTGAAGAAACCTTTAACACAATGATCACCAAATTGTGACACAAATCATGGGTCTGTTATTATCGGCAATAATCAATCACTGGTCACTAATAGATGTGACAATATTTGATGGCTCAAGATATCCATCAGTATTGTCCAATCAATAAGTCATTGCATATGTGGTCACACTTGTGGTCAATCAGTCGGTCAATACATTAGTGTTAATGCAATCACTAATCAATGGACTAATAGTTTGCATTAAAAATACATTACTTTCATAACAATAATGTTATGAAATAAGTGTTTCTATTATAATGTCTGTAAATGTATTACAGCTATAATAGCGGTATTATAACATTCAATGCAATGCCTATTGAAAGCCACGTCGAAAGCTATGAAAAACACACTATTTTTGTAAACGCTTTAAAAATAAAATTACATAAAACTATAAAACTATTTATCTGTAGACTGTTATACACTACTGTATTACATGAATATACGGTATTTTAAATACAAGTCAAATATACAGTCAATTGCCTCTTATTTTATATAATATTCAAAACACATTTCATTTTTACTATAATATACTTTTTTTTGCTTATTTTTAATATCATTTGCCATTTGAATTTATTTTTATCATATTACATATTATATTTTTATGTTCAGTACAGCACCGGTATGTAAGCTCAGGGATGTGCAATATCTAAAGAAACCAAAAAGTTAGTGATATTCTATTAAATAATGCAAAAATATACTACATTTGATTAAATTAACAATTATTATATGTTTTAGAATTTGTCCATTAATTAACATAAAAGTTGTAAACTTGAAAATTGCATGAAAGTAGCAAATTGTTAATTTTATTGTATATTATACAGTATTTTATGTATAATAATAAATCATTTGATTTTTCTAAATACTTTCAAATAAATAATAAAATATATTTCTCTATTGATGTTTTAAGTATACCATAAATTGTCTATAATTTATTATAATAATTTTTTTATTAAATATCTAAAATTCTATATATATATAGTAATATCCAATAATTAATTTTAAATATTAAATATACCGGTAATTGTAAAACACTTTTGCGCATTTAATTTCAATACAATTTTATTTAAAATTCAGTTTTCATTCAAAATTTATATTTAAAGTATATTTAATAAAATATTTTTATATAAATTGTTTTAACAAAGGTTACAAAATTTGATATTCTTGTAATTTCATTAATAACTAACTAATAAAATATTCAATTGATTAATTCAAAAATATTACGGTAATGGCTAATCAATCCAATCATAACTGGATCTCAAAACCAGAGGGTTTGATAACCTGAAAATTGAAGGTAAAATTGTCGTCAAATTAGAGAATAATTCTTGTGATATGTCCTGAAATTAAGATAAAATATTTTAAATAATAATATTAATAAAACAAACTTTAAAAATACAAACTTTTGGAACAACAAACTGAACGGTTCGGTTCTCGTCAGAACCTGAAGAAAGTGAAGTCATTTCTATCATAAAACCTTTAATACATTTAAGAACTAATTCAGCTCTTTTAAGACACCATTGAATAGTGATCTCTTCGCTCATTTCATGAATTAAAAGTAATGGTATCGTAATATTTGAGATATCATTGAGATGTGATGTCTTCATAATATTTCTTAAACCTATAATCACTGGATGTCTGGAATTGATTTCTGAAGAACGCAATGAATCGTCACAAACCAAATGAAAAACGACATGAATTTCAGATAAATTTGAATGTTTTGTAACATAAAAGTCGCCGACTTGTAAACCGTGAGAAGAATTTCTTTTGTTTGGTGTATTTGCTATCATCTGTTCAGCTCTTTGTTTAGATTCTTGCATTTGTGTCTCGAGATCAGGAAAATGAAATTCAGTGGATTTCGAACAGATTTTATCAAATTCTGAAATTTATTTAAATAAAATTTAAATACCGGTTAATAGCTTTGCAAAACTAACCTAATTTGATCCCCGAATAACTGTTAATACGATTGTCTACTAATAAGACGAGAGCTGATAATGAATTTGAATACAAAGACATCGCTGTTTGAATACGTTGGGGACTGTTTTGACTGAAATATAAATCATTTTTATATTATATATAATTATTAATTACAACACTATTGCAATTAATATATTGTAATTTAAAATTATAAAATTTAAGTTATATAATGTATTAACTTTTAGTTATAATAAACGTATTAAATAATTCTTATTAGAATTTCTAAAACATGTTATAATAAATTATATATTTTTTCTTGTTATTTGCTATAATTATTTGCATAAATACTTTTGATATTTTATAAGTGATACTTAAATGTATATCTTTGCATATCTACTTGAAATACTAAATTTATAAATTATTTTTAATTATTGTTTAATTAAATAATAATCTGATTACTATAATTACAATAATTGAATTTATTTAATTTTCTATAAATTTAATCGAATTATAGCTCAAAATAAAGAAAAACTTTTCTCATGAGTAATGTAATTGCAATCATTAAAAACTATTTATATTTAAAAAAATAAAATATTAGAAATTTGATCTCTAAGCTGTTTGATAAATTTATAACACAATAATTATCAGAAACAAACATTAAAAGATTTTTAAAAAATTAAAAATCAATATTAATAATATAGTTTAATTGGATTCATTTATATAGAATTACCGTTAACACTATATTTTACTTTTAACAAATTATTATTGTGGTATAGTATGGCATTCCGTATTAAATTTATCGGTTAGTTACCGGTATGTATTTGTTATAAATTTTGATTATCGACACTTAATGTAATCACAAATTAAATATGGTATATAAGGCATTACTGATTAGTAGTTTGTGTACTATAAAATAAATTTAAATGCATTTCATGTAATTATATCATTATATTTATTAGTCAATGTGCTAATGGGATGTGAGGTGATGTCGTATAAACGTACTTATAATAGGTTTAACTATATTTGAAATAATCGCGAGTCTAAACATACTGTATATAATATAACTGTAAATAACCTGAATTTAATCCGACATAAGTCAAGAATATCCATTGAAATGAGTCTAAGATTATGTGTTGTCTTTAGCTGTGAACCCAAATTAATAGTAAAACTTTCTTCCATTTGAATGTGACTCTCATTAGATGTGTTACTCCAATCATTGTCGTCATAAAGTGATTGATTAATCAAATTGTTTGACGCGAGTGAAAGAGATTTCATGTTTGCAGTCAATGATTCCGGATTACCATTCTTGAAGTCTTCATACACTTTACGGATCCATTCGTAAAATTCTTGCTTTTGTTCAATCTTTAGCTTAGATATCGTATTATTCCACTCTTCTCTTAGTTTCTCTGAATCTTGAAAGTGTCGAAGCGATAAACTATTGATATAATCTTCATTAAGAGTGGTTCCGATGTTTTTGACCGCTTCTTCCATTTCATGTGTCTGTTGAGCCAATAAATCATTATATGTTTGATCGCGTATTGATATTAATTCTTGTATTGCAATTGAATACGTGTTTTCAAATTTCATCAGCGATTCCGTGAAGACACCCGAATGAATCAATTCATAATACATATCATAAAACTTATTATTTTCATTTATATTATCATCGCTTTTATATTTGGTGCTTATTTCGGGACATTTATTCACAATTAAATCATTATTATAACAGAGGTCTGATTGAGACAAATCGTCGAGCAATTGATTGGTTCTTTGTTTGTGCAGTTCATCAGTTTGGTCATCAATAAAACTCTTAAGTCTTACCATTAATTCTTTGGCTAAAAATATAGGAATTTTGTGTTTTTCAATCAATTGATGGCCTATTTCTCTATAATTAACATTACTTTGTAGAGGAATTGTAAGATTTTCACGAAAACTAATTGTATATAAATTATCACTAAATGTAAATTCAAAGTCATTATTAACAGAAGAAAAAAAACAAAAATCCATTTTTTCACACAATTATAAAATTGTTTATTATATTTTCAAAAATCAAATTAATATTAGTTTTTATCACTTAATTGACAAACAGGTGAAGAGTGAATAGCATTTGATATTTGAATCCATTGTATTATTTGTGGCAATGAATCGCTGTCTGAAGAAGTTTTATCTAAATTCCAATGAGTTATTCTTCCAAAGCTTTCATTTGCCACCAATTCTTTGTCATTCTTATGGTTAACGGTAAACGCACAACAATTTTCAGGTAAATCAATGTGACGACCAACTAATGGTCGTCCACGAAGTGAACTCAACAAAACACTATTGTCTTTATCACTACTTCTTATAGTTGGCTCAAAATAAGTGTCAATCTTAGCCTCTTTACAATCACTCTTTACATTACAAGGTATTGAATGGCATATCACTTGTTTATCAGTTTTACAATCACTTAAACTTAATGTTTTAAAAGACATTGTAATTAAAGTACATAAAAATCACAAAAATATTTTTAATAAACACAAGAGTTTGTGGTTAACCCCAAGCCTGGGTTTTGGCGTAATATAAGACTAATTTGCCGTCTGATCCAAAACACTCCAACAAATTGCGAACAGTTTGGTCGGGAGAGGGACTGAATGTTTGGTTTACGTACAGAAACTACAGACAGAAATCATGACATTAGATCTCTAACTAAGACATCAATCATTACCAATGATTCGTTGTTTTCAATTCTGATGTATTTCCTAATGAAGTCTGATATCCAACCGATTGTACGATTTGAGTCAACCTTCCAGTTCTTCTTCTTCATAATAGGCGCGTCACCGGCGGATCGGAGTAACACTTCAACTGTTATATTAATATCAATGACAATAATCATGTGGTCATCAATGGTGCTAACAATACATACCTTTGTCATCATTGGCTTTGTCATCAACGGTTGCAGTCTTGACAATGTTATCGTTATCTTGACTATCACTTTGTTGATCTGCCATACGTTAAGACATGTGAACCATCATTAGAAACACCGATTGTTTTGTCTCAAACAAGTCTTCAGATAATAACTTGAATTAAGTGTTGACTCAAACTGTGATATTAGAGACACAACTAATGGGTGTTTCAATTGATTGACGCATTCATTGCCTTTCAATGCTTTCAATGCATTTCAATGCCATTCATTCAATACAATCATAACAGCGAAACAACATTCAAAACAACAGTCAATGAATGCATTAAATAAGCGCTCGATTTGAGACCAATTGTGTTAACAAACTATTGTCGCAATTATTGAAAGTTTTTTGAACTTTTTTAAGACTAAAATTTGACAAAAATTAGTATTAAATATTTAGTGTCTATTCATGTGTACCTAATTAATAATATTAATGTCTATCTATGAATGTGTGATTTCATATCATTTAAAAACTTTATAAAAAATAATGGTTATCTAAATTATACGGTATATCAATATCATATATAATATTTAGTTACAAAAATTATATTAAAAGTAATTTATGACTTTATATAATAAAGAATTATTGATATAATAATATTATTGTTAAAATAATTAAATGTTGTTTTATAAAATAGTAATCTAAAACTAGTAACTTTATAATTATTTAAATGTCTAAATATCAAAATATAATAAAATAAAATACTCATCATTATTATATAAATATATTTATTTTGTAGTATTTAATAACTAGTTATACATTTAGTAAGAAAAGAAGTTTTATTGTAAATGAATCTAATTATTAATTACTATTTTAGACATTTAGATGATGTACTATACAGTACTGTAGTAAACAAATGTTAATATGTTTTCTAATTTATGATTAATATAAAAATATATTTTTTTAATTTATAATTTTATAGTCTAAACAATATTTTAAAAAATTCAATAGTTGATTAATAATAGTTTAATTATTGCGATTTTATTATAATATCATAATTTCAATATAAATGAAATTAATCATAACTTTTTACACTTTTTAATACAGTATATACTGTATAATAAAATATATAAGTTATTATCAAACATATAATTTATATATATCAATAAATATACATTATATTAATTTTCAATACAAATATAAATAATTTTTTGGTGATTTTAAAAAATCTTGACTTAAAGTCTTGTATCTCTAATAGCTCCGGGATTAGCCATCACTTGTTTTCTCCTATCGATTGCTTTTAATATCTTACGCCTCGGGCCCAGAGGTATACCTAATGAGATAAAGTCGTCTTCATTTAAGAGGATAAGTGCCTCCAAATCAATCTTTTCTGTCAAAAACAGTGGCAAATAATCTTTCAATCCATGAGCGTAAAGAAAAAGTAAAATAGGAATAGTTTTGGAAACATTATGATCAATGTCTTCATCTTCATCCCAGACTTGGTTCAGACCTAATTCCAATTCATTTCTGTGAGCAAGACTTCCAGCGCTTCCAATACTGTCGGCATAACTGACTGAACTTATGTCACTTTCTTTTCTTCCGTTGCTTTCATCACTTAAATGTTTAGAGAAAAGTGTTTCGGGAGTGAACTTTCCTCTGAAAGAAACTGATCCAAAGCCCGGTCGTACAAAAATACTTGACTCTGGAGTTTTGCGGTCTATAATTGTCTGTATGTCTTCAAAGTTGTTAAGAAAGTCGGGTTCACTAATAGTTCGGTAGAGTTTAGTCTTTCTTTCCTCTAATGTCTCGTATTCTTGCATTGAATTCACATTTAAATTAGACGTCGAGTTAATGACAATCCTTTGTATTTGTTGGCCATTAAACACATCCTTCATATGAATCCTATTATTGTTGACATAATTTGTTTCATAATTAGAATGTGTGTCAAACTTCGGTACATATAATATCTGACTATCCCTTCGGATGCCAGTCAATGACCTGACAGACCGCGTGCAGTCATCACCGGACACATCGCGGACTTTAAACTCATTGGCGGCCGAAATTGAATCGGCGTTGAGTTTCTTTTGTTGAACTCTTCGGGAAACTGCACTCAAAATTTTGATTTTATTTGTCGTTCCGTTTGATTGGTTTTTCACTATATCGGAGAACTTAAGAGAAGAGTTGTTTTGTTGCGGACGACTGTCTTTTCGCGTAATAATTGACTGATTGGGTTGAGTGATGACAGAGAGGTTTGCAGTTTTATGTTTACTATCAATAACTTCAATAATTTTTTTTCGTTGTTTTTCTAACATTTTTTCCTCTTTTTCAGCTCTTTTTGTTGCCTTTTTCTGTAGCTTTTGATAGGCTTTGATTCGCTTCTCGGCCTCTATTATAGACTTTTCTTTCATTTTTTGTACCACTTTTGTGTTGAGTGCACTTTGCTTTGCTATAACATTGTCCAAGAATTGTATGACATCTTCGTGATGGTTAATGGCTGCCACATCTTTGGCCGTATGATAATCATTGTCGAGTGACCACAAGTTTACACCGAAACTGACTAGAAATGAAACACAATTGAGATGACCGTTGGCTGAACTCATGTGTAGCGCTGTACTCCCCAAGTGATCACATTTTCCCGGATCACCACTAAATCCAAACAAATATTCATATAATTATTATCAATATTTATCTAAATATTTTTTTAATACAATAATTTTGTTAACTATTTATTATAAAAATACAGAATATTATAGATATTAAATAAAATGTTTTTAATTCTAATTTTTCAAAGTTTCAATTATATATAAAAACAAAAAAATTACTGTATTTTATTATTATTAAGTTATTATAAAACACTTTATATTAATCAAAATATAAGTTTTGACTAAATTATAATTAAATTGTTGAATAATATTTAAAGATTTTGATCGTAAAATTTATAAAAATAACTCTAAATACACCATCGATTAGATTCGCATCATTAAACTTAAACATTAAAATTGTTAATACATTTGATTAAATGATAAAACTGTGATTAAATGATAATCAACTATAGATTTTACGCACACATTAGACAAGTATTTAACTATAAGATTACAATAGTTTTAATTTTGCTTTTAATAAATACTTCACTCTTTTCATTAATTCATTTATTATTCAAAAACAAGTTCTTTGTATTTCTATTTTTAATTATTTTTACAGTAAACTCATTATTAGTATAGAAATATATATAAATTTAAGTAATTTCGTGTTTGGGTTTGTCTTTAGAAAATAATAAAAATGTAATTATTTTTGGAGTCCTATTTTTAAATTACATAAAAGTTTTAATTTTCTTCAAAAATAAATTTTTATATTTTTATTTTATTAATTATTCAATTTTTATATCTTTCTAACTAAAGCACATTAAATTAATAGTAATAATACAAATTAATAAAAAAAAGTAGGATTGCATTACCACAACTCTATTATAATTGGTTTGTCTCAACAGTTATTATTTTAATTAATCAATATAATTGTTAACACATTCAAAATTTCACTTAATCAATAAAATTTCAATTAATATTTAAAAAATTATGATTATATTGTAACTATAATTAGATTATCAAATAAAAAGTTTTTACTTTAAAATATATTTTATTACTAATGTTTCATATATACTATTTTACTAATTATATTATACAACAAATTATGATTAGAATTTACAGACAAAATAATTTTAATTTAATTTATAAATAAAATAATATTTTTCTAAATTTTTAACTAAAAATAATTTTTCAAATATTGTTCAAATGTTTAATTATTTTATATTGACTTTTAATAAATAATAACAGTATAAATCCTAAAACCCTAACTTTTTAAAGTTAATGTTATCATGATTTTGAAATTAATTTAACAATTGTTTTATATATTTTTTTGAAGTATTCAGAAATAATAAAAAAAATTAATTAAAATAATAATTCATAAAATCAATGCATGAGTGGTCAACATATGAAGACAGGAATGGGATGTAATGGGATGGTATGACATGGGATGGTATGTCATGGGATGGGATGCATTTCCTTTCATTTCCTAAGTTCAATGTTTTGTAACTTTATTATTATTTTTAAAAATTTAATATTTTTCAATTATAATTTTAATATAAATTTTTTTATAATGTTAAATTATGCTATTACTTTAAACGATTTATCATCATTAATATAATATAAAAATTGCATATTAACTAAATAATTGCCTATTTGTCAATTAAATCAATAATTTTATTGTGATTAAAATTTTTAGTTTCAAGTTTAGTATTGTATTAAATAAAATAATGTATATTTGCTGTAATGATTACACATATGGCTTATAAATTTAACATTTAAATAATGATTATTATATTAATTAAATAAAATTGCTTTTAATGAAATAGCATTCAAAAATAATAATTTAGCAAATGTATTACTAAAGGCTATATTTGTTTATATACTACAGTATATATATAAATATTATTACGAAATTTTAATATTTTAAAAATATTATTAAAATATAATCATTAAATTACTAGTAAAATATAAAAACTTTAAATAAACAAACAAAAAATAATTTTAGTAAACAATTATTTTTTTTACTAAATAATACATTTATCAAATATAAAGATAAAGTAAAATATATTAATAGATGTTTAAAAAAATCTTAAATGAGATGTAATTTTTGATTACTATTTGTTTAACTTTGATATACTTTGAATACTATGGGTATATTTGCTGACAATAGTTTTGATGAAATTCGACTCTTCTTCAGCAGTAGTGGTCAACTGATGACCAAACCTGACATATACTTACAATTGTCTTAATAGCCATACTATGAGTGAAGTCAGGGTTGTAAGAGATTTCATAATTCATATTATTTATTATATTAGAGTTTGTATGAAATGTAATTAAATTTCTTTATTTATTATAATTTTAACGTAAAATTCACTTTATATATGATTTGCCAATTGAAAAGTTGTGACAAAAAAATAAGCAAAACTTTAATTTTATTTTTTATATAAGAGCTGAAAACAACTGTTTATAACTTTATATACAGTATATTTTGAGACTTTTTTCATGATCTTAATCATAATATCATAAATCATAATATTTATTATTATATGTATAAAAAAAGCGTAAATAATCAAATTAAACTTTTGTTTTAACTAAAAAAATATAAAACCTACTTATTTTATATATAACTAAAATATAACAAGTTTTAAGATTAACTTATATTTAACAAAGTTTTTAAACTAAAAATTTTAACTAAACTTAAACATTATATTCAACAAAATGATTGATACCCTCTGCCAACTAATGTCCTCAAAGCGTCCAAATTTCCGGCAAATGCCGCCCAAAGTGTTGGAGTTATTCCGTCTTCATCTCCGGCGTTGCAGTCCTTACGAGTGGCTTCTTGTAGAACATTGAGGTAACCATCTCTGGCCGCTCTTTTGAAGCGTTCATTCATTGCTAAAGACATCACTTTTATAACAACAGTCTTTCAATTTTATATAATTTTTCATACAATTTGATAAATAAATTTAAATTATTATTTGATTGAAAAATAAAAAAGTGATTTATTAGCACATTTGAAATTTTAATAATAAGACATTCTGTGAATATTTCAATTGGTGATCATTAATTTTGGCCATCGATGGTCACAATTGATCATATTATCAAACAATAAACTTTGATTGTTAATAATCATTAAATATAATATATTTTCATTAATAATTCCACAATATTTAGATTCATTGTTATAATCATATTTTCAATAATTATTATGACTTTTTGTGTAAATTTATTTTAGTTGTTATGATAGTCAATGTTTAACAAATTGTATGATTCAAATGTTATGAAACTACTGACTCTCCTAACTCCAGGTGCTGTAAAGGAAACCAAAACCTGTTCTCTCAGCTCAGGTATTGTTCTCTTAATATAGAAATATACAGTATTTTCAATATGTAGTCATTGACTGTGAAATTTTGTAGTCAATAGTGTTAACGCCATCTCATAAATTGTATAATTTTTTGGTACAAAAATTAAAATAAATTTTGAATTAAATTTACTTAATTTCGTACATTTTTGTACAATACTTGTTATAATAAGAATGTATTTATATTAAAAAGTTTTATTATATTATAAAATATTACAAAACTTTCCATTTTTTAGTTTAAAATTATGGAATCCATATTTATTGCAAAAAATTAATTGTTATAATATATTTAAATTTTATAAACTATTTTTTTTAAATCTTTGGATACACGGATTCATAAATTGTTATACGAATTATTATTTAAAATAATATTTTCAATTTAATTTAATTAAAAAATTCTTTTTTTTAATTCATAAAATATAGATTTTTAATTTTTTAAAATATTTATGTAAAACTTATATATATTTTTATTAAGATATTCAAATTATATCTATTAATTTAATTAATAATATTTTAATTAAATTTTAATAAAATCTTATTGTATGACAAGTTTAGTATACTTTCCACAAAAAATAAATCTAAATAAAAAAATTTATTTAAATAAATATTACTTTTTAAATAAGTAAAAATAATGTTTCATTTGAGTCATACACTTGACTATTAAAATGCTTTTTGTTTCTCAGACATACAAGAATTGTTTATTCAAAAAAAAAAATAAATAAAATAAAATAAAAATAAAATTCAACAAAAAAAAACGAAATTGATTTGTGATATAAAAAGATTGTCTGAAAAGTATATGTTATGAAAGATTCCAAATGTTTGTTTGATTCGTTACTTTTAATAACATTTCTATGATATTTGTCACTCAAATTTTTAACTATAATTTTTTTAGAAATAAATTTTCTAATCTTTTTTTAAAACAAATTCATTCAAATTCATAATTTCTATATTTTTACCGTAATATACTTTATTAAAAATTTTACTATAAATAACAATTTAATAAAATTTAATTATCGTTTAAGTAGTCAAGTAGATAGAGATGGGCAAATAATAGAAAGTTTCTAATAAATTTCCATTAGAAACTCTAGAAAATTACTGATGAATAAATTTCTATAGAAATCTAACTTTATTATTATACTATGGTATCCCCATATCTATAGCTATTTTAAATTATAATTTGTAATACAGTACTAATAATTACTAATGAGACATAATACTGTACTAATTTATACAGGTACATATACTATACAAACTTGGATATATCAAATATGTATAAAATAATTATAATTATTTAATAATAATTAATTATGTAAAATTTTATTTTTCATTTTATTATTTATATCATAGTTTAATATAATTAAATTAATTAATTTTTACTTTAATTTATAATTAAAATACTAATAATAATATTTAATTATGAGTTGAAAAAAACAATGTATTGTAACTTACAAGGTAACAACTATCTAGAGAACAAAATTAGAATGGGAATACCATAAATAGAAATTTCTTTTAGAAACTTTCTAGAAATTTCTCTATTATTTTATAAATTTTTCTTTTTTGCCAACACTACAATTAGAGCTAGTTTTTAATAAATGGCATTATTTAATATTTGATTGAATTGTCGCCAAAATACATATACATTTTTCATCATATTATACATGTATTATATTATATCAATATATTATACTTATTTGTAGATTATGTTATTTTTTGATTAGCAATGAAATTTTTTTAAAATCGTCTAAATATTATTACTAAAATTTATTATTATATTAATTAAAATTGAATTATTACTGTTTGATTGTATATTTTATATTAATACTATTTAAAATCCCCATTAATATTGTATCGTAAATAATATTAACAATTTAAATGATGATAAAATTTTAATGAATTTGTTTTCCAAAATTTGTTGACATAACCGAACCACCGGTAATACAATTATATATACTTTTTACTACTTTTAATACTTTAGACATTGTTGTATGAATTACTTCAACTTATTATATTTATAGCCTGTATTGATGTTTAGATAATTTGCATGTTTTGGTCACTATATTCATAATTACAAAACGATAGCAAATTCAGTATAAATTATTAAAAACCATATTTAAAGTGTAGATTAGTTTTTGAAATATGATTTTATTAATTGATACAATAATATTATGTTATTAATACATTATTTTAAATAATTAAAATTAATATATTTAAAATAAAACTTAATTTAAAATGTTGATACGAAAAAAGTTAATTATGATTTCACATATAACTGCATATATTTAATAACTTATACTTAATTTATAATATTTCCAAAATATAAGGTATTTATATGTTAAACAAAAATTTGATTTTCATTGAATTACTAAATTAATAATTAAATGAAATCTTAACAAATGAGAAGCTAAACAATAATTAAATATTTGGATAATTATGTAAAAAAAATTATTTACAAATACTTACATTTATTGTCAAATTGTTAGATTTCTTAACTATAACTCAAATGGTTATTAGATAATTAATAATAATATAATTGTAATAATAAAAATTATAATAATAATAATAATAATGCAATAATTAATAAAACAATTATTTGAGAAATATATAACAAATTGTATTGAATATAACTCACGCCTTTAAACTGATATGTGAACTAAAAACAATTAATTGATTTAAACAATAGTAATTTGATTTAATTGTAATAACCAATAGTACTATAATTATGTATATTTTGAGCGTTTATGAGTGGGTGAGTCCATAATCACATCACTGGTTGATTCCAATACCCGTTTGCGGGACTCCACGTGTCTGTTGTACTCTTCACTAATAAAAGCATCCAATTCTTCGTATGAATTATTGCTATGATTTGAGACACGTATTGACGGACTTCTGTTGTTTTGACGATAAATATTGTTGCGATCGGAGGACTGAGAACCTGGAGATCCACTTCTTCTAATTCCTAAAATATAGTAACAAATGTGATAAGCATTTAAAATGGTATTTAAATATATAGCAAAATACCTGAGAAAGAGAGTGCTTCACGAAATGTCTCTAAATCTGTTTCATCAGTAGTGTTAGAGGTATCGGTGTTTAGGTTAGAGTTGCCATCACTTAAGCCATCGCTAAGACTAAGACGAGTGAAAGCGCAACGACCAGTGCTGTCACTTATGGAGAGACGAGGTTTGGGTGAACCCCAAGTTCGGTGGTGCGGGTGATGATAGTGATGGTGTAGTGGATGACCCTGAGATGTGGCGCCCGACAAATACGCGATCAGGTCTTCGCGTCTGATCTGACGCTTCCTCTTCTTGAGCCACGACAACAGCTCTTTATTGCGCTTTTGTTGTCCACTTTGGAGACCAAATTCAAAGAAACGTTTCTGAGATTCAATACATTCTTTGTATAGAGTGGTCACCGCTGAGGCCGCGTTTTGAAAGGGGTTCCAAACTGAAACATTCTGTTCACGGCCTACAAGACATTTGATGACATTAATGATCAACCGTTGGATACAACTGTTAATATAAATAATTAAAACCTACTTTGATATAACTGAGCGATACTACAGGCGGCCGTCTGGAAGTGAACCCATAGTTTGCGGGCATTTCCTGTCAAATAATTAGCAGAAAAATGGATGAAAACTAATGTAAATAAATGGCTATCAAAACAATCACACAATCATTACCTCCTTTCTCGAGTTCAATCTGTTGGTCCAAATCGGGTGTTGTCTCCAACCTATTGATGCACTCCATCTCCCAATTAGTATACTTCGGGACCCAATTGTCTGCACCGGAAGAGTTGCATTCGTCGTCCAAATCGTCCATTTGATTGGTTTTGGTCTTCAATGGGTTGTTGTCTTTGTTTGGTTTAAAGTCTTGAGACAATCAGTCGTACAAAACACACAAATCAACAAATATTTTGATTAACGTATCAAATGGTGACTCAAATCACTTCAAATGACAACAATTGACTTCAAAGTCGCGAAACAATCGGATATTTATTGACTGAATGTGTGGTTTAGGGTGTGATTGAAGTCAAGTGATTGAAGCGACTGAAGACACCTAACCATCAAAAACCACTCAAACTATACATTGACTGCACTTTTGTTGCATATGTTAGACAACACTCTAATACAGTAATACTGTATTAATAGTCATTCACTGCTCACTCACTACTGCTATACAACACATATGTTGTGACGACTTTCACATACATTCTAAGTAGAGGTGCGGACCAATCAAACCTAACAATTACCCGACAAATATCCGCTAAATTTTATTTAATCGCTGTTAGGCTATAAATACTGAAATTTTTGTTTTAAATTTTGTTTAAATTTTTGGTTTATTAATTTAAGTCTTATCTAAAAACATAGTTTAAATAATTATATGCATAATCATAGTCTCAAATGAATTGTTGTTTTAGTTTTGTTTTAATCACTTGTTTATATGAAAATTGTTTTTTAAAAGTTGGACTTCAATGACATTTCATTACAGTATTTAGTGTATATGTAATACATATTATGTATTATATATAAGAGGTCTACAAAATACATACATTTATATTGAAAACAATGAAATGATTGATGCAATCCTATAGAATAGTCTTATTATAGGATATATCATATAGTAGTGTATATATGTATGACATATACAGTACAGTACTCTATAATACACGACATTATTAGCTATTAATACTTAAATTATATTTTAAATACAAATATATAATAAATTAACTAATCATTTGTTTATTTGAATTACTATTTTTTAATAAAATATATTTATTTATCAAATATTGACAAACACTTACCGCCAATTAATATTGAAAATAACTTTTCAATTAAACAAATTAAATGTATTTTTTATTTGTTAATTAATGCAAATTCTGTAAAATATTCTGATTATATATTAAACAACTAATAATTTTGTTTGATTGCAAAATAAGTTTATTATTCACTTTTTTTAAATATTAAATATAATTTTAATGGTCATCCAAATGGTCAACAAATATATTTAAAATAATAATAATATTATTATTATTAAATATTAATAATAATTAGTTACAATTGAAAACTCAATAATAATAAGTTATATAATTAAATAATAATATTTATAATATTTATATATATATATATATATATTTATATATACTGTATATATTGTATACAAACGGTATAATACAATACAATATTAGATAACTAATGAACAAACAGTACAACAGTAGTGCAACTAATTGTAATTAATTGTCATTTTAGGAACAATTTGTGTTAAATATCTATACAACTGGTCTATGAATGCATTAATAGTTTCACACGTGATTTGGTTTGCATTAATTGGATTGTAATTCAATGGAACGTCAATTCACTCAAAAAATGTTAGTTTTGTTTCAATTTTTTTAAATACAAATTCAAAATTAGTTATCAATTAGTTAAACAAAAAACAAAAACAAATTCAATAAAACTATTTGTAATATAATATACAAATAAAATGTTAAAATTGTATTTAACACTAAAAATCTAATTTATCTTTTTTTATACAAATATTTGGACAAAAATTGACTGATTAAGTGGTCGAAAGAATCAATAATTTGGTCCGCAATTGATTGAGACAATTGAGTCAATACAATGTCAATCAATGAGCTTTTGTGTGGTTATGTGTGTCTTGTAATTCAATTGATGACCAATTAAATTGTCAATCAAGTAGTGAACTCTACTTTATCCCACATAAGAGTTCCCAAATCTAATGATGACCTGAAGTCACTGTCGTCGAAGAATAGGTCGCCACCCAACAGGTCAACAGCTGGTCCACCAAACATTGTATTGGGAAGAATGGGATCGTGTTTTGAAGTTTCACTTTTGTTTGTTAAAGAGTTGGTCAACAAATTGTGGTTATTCTGAATGGCGTTATTGTCGGTATTGTTATTGTTATCAAAGTTAATATTAGTGTGATTTTTATCATTACTATCGCTATAATCTAACATATTTTGGTCAGCAGTTGTAGATCTCGATGTTGACGCCAAACCTAACCATTGATTGTCATCAACATTAAGATTGCATTCTTCAAAGTCCATAAATTCAGACAAACAAAGTTCAGTATTTGATTGACTTTTATGTTGTGATGAATTACATTGAGACTGATATGAGTTATTATTGTTAATGTTATTATTATTATTACTATTTTTACTACAATTATTATTATTATTACTAATATTATTACTGTTAATATTAGTATTATTATTAGTATTATTATTATTATCATTATTAATATCATTATTAATATCATTATTAATATTGATTTTATTTTTGTCATTAATAGCAACATTTAGATCCATAGCTTCAGCTAAGCCTTCGAGATCGAGAAATAAATCAAAATCAATAGTAGTATTATTTTGAGCCGATTCATCATTTTTTCTAACATTATTATTAATTTCGTTATTATTATTATTATTTAATTTACTGCTATTTTCATTTAAATTATTGCTATTATTAAGTATTTTGTTATTATCAATAATATTATCAATAGTTTCAGTCTTTTTTAATTCACAGGACTTTTGTAAATTTTTATCCGTTGAAAACAATGGATTGGTTTGACTTTTCAAAGACAACTTTTCAGGAGTTGTAGGAGTGGTGGGATCATTGGCTGCACTGGGAGGTAGTTCACCATTTTTTATTAATATTTCCAGAACGTCGTCAACTGCTTGACTTTTGACAACTTTTTTCTTTTCTTTATTTTTGTTCAATTGTTTGGTCGCCTCGTCATAATTGGGCGGACTTTTCGTTATCATAACATTTGGTTTAATATCATTAGAAATGTTTTTGTCATCATTTGTATTATTTGCAAGCAATGAATCAAAGTTTGGGAGTGAAGTGGTTCTGTTTGTTTAGATTTTGTAAAAAATATTTTTAATTTTTAATTAACAACAAGTTTTCAAAATATATTCTTTATTTGAACAAACCTTAAGGATGTCTGAGTTAAGAAGTTATTGGATAACCCATTGGGAAGTGAATTTGTTCGCTGTTTTGCTGCTTCGGGTTCATTGATAATGGCATCGGTTGTGGAACAGATAGTGGGACACAAAACAAAATGTTGAATCGGTGTTACATTTTGTGTTAATAATTTCGGTGCCAAATGTTGTTGTTGTTGCTGTTGTTGTTGTTGAATAAAAGCGGCTAAACTCGCCTTAACTGTCGGTGAAATTTTGCTATTTGTAAAAAATGTCGTAATATTTGTTTCGTTATTAGATAACTGTGGCTTAAGATTAATATTTTGTTGAATTTTTTGTTGTAGTTGTTGTTGAAGGAGTTGACGCTGAAGTGATTTTTGTGTAAAACCATTCATCTCTGTATTGGGATTGGAAACGATTTGAATTTGTGGTTCAGTTGTAATTAATTGTGATTCAATCGGAAGACCAGTTGTTTGTTGTAACTGTAACTGCATTTGAGATTTTTGTAACTCTCGTTTCAATTCATCAATCTTTTGCTGTTGTAATATAAGAATTTGATCATTTATAGGATTGGTATTTGTGGTCAATATTGTATTATCAATATCCAAATCCATTGAACAATTATGATTCATGTCATCACCCATTGAATCCACATCCATAGCACAATTTTCAGGTGATTTTGTATCCATTGGTTCAGTTTTTGGTTCAATGTTATCAATGGGTGAATCGATATTGTTTGGGGAATTGGGAACCGACTCGTTGTTGGCTTCACTTTTAACATCACAATTGGAAATACTTTTATCATAACTATTATCACTCGAGTTTATAACAATCAATGAATTGTTAGCATTGGCCATAACCGCGTCGGCAAATGGTTTAAGTCGATCTATAAGTTGTTGTTTGGGTCCGGAAACGGGAAGATTTCGTTTTTTAAGTTCCGCTTTGAGATCACTTACTTTCATATCTTCTAACTTTGATATTACTTTCCCAATGACTACAGAGTTTCCTTTCGATTCCCGAGATAACGAAGAGTTACTATTGGATCGATCGCGTGGCGAACCCACTGAACCATTAATCTCATTGTTGGTCACATTTTGAGCGTTTGGTTTCACTTGAAATGTATTTCGTGCCGCTGTTTGTGTCAAACATGATTTCGAGATATTTGCGGCCATTTGAGCATCTGTTCCCTGATCATGGATTTGCTCCAAATTAGGCTTCTTTTTTGAAATAAAAACAAACTTAATTATTGTAAATTGTAATTAAATCAATTGTCTTAAATAACATACCGGTGATGTGGAAGAATTAAGTATAAGTTGAGGACATTTTTGTTGCCATTCAAGTTGCCACTGAAGGAATAACTGTTGTTGTTGTAGAAGTAATTCATACGATGACTCTATACGTGATTGACCAGAGATTGGTTGAATTCTACTAATATTTGGAGGTCCCTATAATATTAAATAGTTTAGTAATAGTTAATAATAATAATAATTAAATAATTATATTATATTATACAAACATACTTTGTATTCATGAAATTTAATAGTTCTGGCCTTTGGTTGGGTTTTTGATTTCGATTTTTTAGTACGAATTTTAGAACTCGAAGAATGTTGTTCTTTGAAGGCCGAAATAACTGGAAGATTGAGAGATATCGTTGGCTGATTCGTTGGCTGACAAAATGGTGTACTATTAATGATAGGAGTCGTTGTATTGGAAGTCACAGCTACTACTGATGCGGTTGAAGTGGGAGAGGCAATGGCCACAGCATTTCCGTTACCAATTAATATTGAGTGAACTGTTGATGGAGATGTAAGTATACTTGTGACGGGCGATGAAACAATGTATGAAACATTAGTTGGAGAACAAGTGGTGGCCACTATTGTTGGTGTCGTTGTTGTCGTCACATTAGTTGTACTTTCAATTGCAATCAATGGTTGTTCATTATTAACTGGTGAGGAAGCGCTGTCAGAACTACTTTCTTCCTCTGCAAATATAAATCTTGGCGGCGGATGTTTAACGATTTCTCCTTCGCATGTCTTCTTAAATGATATTTGTCCTTCTTTGACTGCTTGTTCAAAGGTTGCATCCGTATGCAAAATGTTACCTTTGATGAGCTCAAGAGGTCCTGGTCTGTGAGATAAACGATCATTGAGATCATCGGCGAGTCGAGCCTTCTTCAATTGTCTCTGTTTTTCATGAAGACTGGGATCAACAGTAGTGTCTTCAAGAATATGCTGTTCTATTAATTGTTGTCTTTGCGGTCTTTTTTGTATTTTATGTTTAAGAAAGTCTCCGGTCTTCGCCCGCTCTAACTTTGTCTTCTGTTCGTAAAATACCGGAGAAGAACCCAAAGCTAATCAAATCATTTAAATATCAATTGTATTAAATTATATATATATTTAAATATCTTATAACAAATATTAGACATATTAGACATACGGGGATGTATTCCCTGTGCAATCAATTGATTAATTGGTCGCCTAAGTTGAAGCTTAAGTCTCAGTGATTCCTTATTCTTGTCCATTGAATTCTTAATGGATTGATTGTCGACATCAAGTTTGGTTAAAGAAGTAGAAGAAGTAATATTAGGAGGAGTTGTTTGCATCAATGTTATCAATGAATCGGTTGACTCTTCATTCATATTGTTAGGACTGTTATCCTCTTTAAACCAATTGGGATATATATTCACTATTGTTTCTAATAAGTCCTGATCGAGTTGAATGTCCCAATACAGGCGCGATGTCGTGGTCTGGCCCTCACCTAATAGATATACAGGTGATATACAGGTGATATCAGATGCTATACAACACCTAATATTAATGAAATTATATCCAATAAATATCTTACTTTTGCTTATTATTATTATTATTAATATTTGCAAATAATTTTATCAACTCTTATACTCTAATTGTTTCAATTAGAAATAATAACCGATAGAATAACTATTATAATCCAAATAATCATTATCTCAATGCCTAATAATATACACAGTTTTATTTGATGGTTATATTTATCTTAATTTAAATTTTAAATTTATCAGTAGTTAAACTCAAATAAATAAATAATTAGTTTCTAAATAAAAATGTTTTTTAAAAAACTTATTTATAAAATAGTGTCCCAAAGGACTAAACGATAGAGTCATTCAGTGATATTACAGTCAAACGTCTAGACTATAGTCTTAAGTCTCAATATATACACTGTATATCTGTATTCATATATAGTTTATATATATAATAGTTATTTAAAAGTCAATAGTTATAAATCATTGCTGTTATGAACCGGTTTTTGCAATGCATTCAAAATTACATAATTTAACTCAATTTTTTCAATTCAATTATCCATATCTTATAAACATATATCTCATATGAAAATAATAATAATTGTTATAAATATAAATATATATCAAATGATAAGTTTTTTTAATAGTCAAATAAATGTGAATATGAAATGCATGTTAATTATGATTGTTAGCTACAAAATGATAGTTAAAATAATAAATAAAATCAAATCAAATGAAAGCCATACTCAATATAGCGTTCATTATGTCAGTCACTCATTCACTACGTGTTGTTGGTGTCGGTGTCGACCACTTGGACTGGCAGTACATTTGTCAACAAGTATTATCTCATGAGTCCAATCTTCGAGGCCATAGATCGGCACAAAACAGTATAAATTAGTTCACATATAATGATTGGAGACAACAGTTATTTGAATGTATTTGAGTAGTGATGGTGTGATCACTGCCTAAATTGGTATCAAAGCTATTAATGCTATGAAAGCAATAGTCAATTGAATCTATGCTTTCGTTCCCTTTATTTCTATCAGTACTGCAATACTACTGAATGTTACTAATAATAACCGCAAAGTAACAACTCTGTAGTGTAGGACTGAGCTATGTTTTTAGGGTAGGGTTGGATTGGGTTGGGTTGGGTATAGCTATATATAGCCATCAGTACACATCCCACAATAGAGTCTCACTTTTTTGTCCCGTATCACACCGTATGCCGTGTAATAACCGGATAACTGGACATAAAACAACATATGACACAAACACTTGACTAACAATAGGACAGATATATATCAAACAATATTGTCCCGTAAATCATAAAATATAGTAATATATAATATGATATATAAAAGTCAATTAATATTATGTTAATGAATGTGTCATAATAAAGATAGTAATGGATATTAAAAATATTATAAAACAATTAATTGATTTCAAAAATAAAATATTTTATATAACAGTTATTTTGCAGAACAGGACAGGATTGGGAAAAATAATAAAATTTTTTATATACTCAACACTAGAAACTTGTTTACCTTATATTTGATATAATAGGAAAATACTGCGCATTGCGTTACAGTGGATGTGATTATTCAATAAAATCCTTTAATGCTATCCTAAGGTTAAACTATCGCTAAAAAACATTTATAACAATATTTTTGTAATTTAATTCATTACAGCAAATATTTTTTATACAAATTATTACAATAAATAATTTATATCTTTAATTGAGATAAACAAAAAAAACTAATTTTGAAATAAATTGTTGGAATTAAAAGTATTGAAACAATCGTGAAAAGAGGTCGGATCTGAATTTGATTAGTCTGTCTGTCTGTATGTCTGTATGTCTGCCTTTTCAAACTTATTATCAAATTCTGATTCCAGAATCAAATAGTAGATCAAAAATTTTAAAAATAAAAATTTATAAAAACTGATGTTTTCTCTTAATGAACATAAATTCAAAGTAGTCAATAAAATTTACAAATTGATATCTATGAGTACTGTATATACAGTATAAATACAATGTGTTTTTATGCTCTTTACTAAATACAGTATATATTATATACAGTTGTATAATCCATATCCACTTTATTGAATCCCACGAKTATATAACCTCTGACCCCCCCCCCATTGAACCACCTGACCCACTTTGGGTAGACTAACATTTAAGTAATTTCACATTTTAAAAATAATTATTCAATGTAATTATGATATTATTCATGTTTATTCCATATATTTTTTAAAAATTTAAACAAAATTTAAAATGAAATTTAGAAGTTTGTTTGTCAATGCTAGGCTTGGCATTCTATCACTGGTTTATTTTGAAAACAAAATTTAATTGATGTTTGTTTTTAAATATAAAATTAGCAAATTATTGTTTAAATTTAACATCTGTTTTGACATTATAAAATATTACATATATTTATAGCTGTAAATAGTTTTTATGTTAAAATAGAAAACTTACTTTTTTATAAAAGATTTCATTAAATAGATTTTTATATTTATTTATAAATACTTTATTTTTTTATTTAGTTATACAAACAATGTTAACATTTTCATTGAATTTCCAAACATAAGAATATTATTGTTTCTCAAAACATTTGAGTCTAGTATTAGCTCTAATGTACTGTTAATAGCAATACGGATAACAAAAAATAATTTACAGTAAATATCTGGTATATAATCATATTTAATTTCAATCATAATTTATGTATATTTAAATAATAGTAATTAATATTTTTTAAAGTATAAACTAAATAGTTTAATAATTATTAAGATTTATGCTTATTATTATATTTCAAAAATAAATTGCTTAAAATAATTGAATAAACGGATAATTATAAAAGTAATCTAATAAATGTAATTATTATTTAATGAAGTGTAAATCGATAATTTAATTTGAATTTAACACTATAAGAGTTTATCATTTATAACAAAAATAATAAATTGTTTTGTTGAGTATAGAAAAGAAATTTTTATATAAGATTTAAATAAATATTAAATAATTTTTACATTATTTTTATTAAAGAGTAATATTGTAATTACTAAATAAAAGTGCATTTGTCAGCAATTAATTATGTTTTTTAGCTAATAATAGTCCCAACTCTAAGATTACATTTAAAACTTAACATATTTTGAAATTTATTTGTTTCGCAAGTTTTTTTAAAAAACAAAAACTAATTAATGTATGCAACAGTTGTGGTAAACAATCCAATTCTTTAATTGCTATTAAATGCTGTTTTTATTTTGTAAATAATAAAAAACATTATTTTTAAATATCATGAAATTTTATTCACATCTAATAATTCAAAAGTTATAAAAAAGTTATTAATTCAAAATTTGCTATTTATATTAAATAACTTTTATAACAAATTTTTTAAAATATTAAGAATTATTTGGAGACTTAAGGACTTATGGTATGTATTTATCTTCTCTTTAGTAGAGTTGTGTATGTGTRTGTGTATGTGTATGTGTATGTGTATGTGTATGTGTATGTGTATGTGTATGTGTATGTGTATGTGTATGTGTATGTGTATGTGTATGTGTATGTGTATGTGTGTATATATATGTGTGTGTTTGTGTGGTTGTTGTTTGTTATATTAATATTTGTGTGGGAAGTGTGGGTTGTAATATATAGATAGTATTGGACTAATTAACGATTTACGTATTTGAAAAAAGTTTATGTTTATCAAGGAAATTGATTACTTGAAGATCATCAACAATTATTATCCATATTAGAAAACTATATTTTTTATCAATCAAACCGAAATACAGATGTTATACAAAACAAATGGTGATAATTATGTTAAATAAATAAAAGATGACCAAAGATGAGCTGTTAGTTAAATGTTTTATTTAATTATATAAAATCAAAATAGCTTTTGTCTTATAGTTTATTTATCTACCGGTAATTCAATTTGTAAGATCACTAATTATATCGGTATAAAAATCTCAAAACTGATACACAAAGTGGAGCACAAATAACAATTGTTACCGTAATTAGGTTTTATAAACTCTAATAATTTAAGATAAGTTTGTAAATGAAAAAAAAGTTATGAATGAATCAGTGACTTCACATTGAACTGGRAATACATTGAAATACATGAACTGGTATTTCGCTAATTATCGGTAGTTTATAGACTGAGTTGGATTTAAACAATAATTCTCAGTAAAAAAAAGATTAAAAAGATTTATTGTATAATAGTTTACTGAATATCTTAAAATGTTTTACCAGTGAACCAACATTTCATGTTTTTATGTCAAAGTATAGTATTTCAAAAMCATTTCAATCCAAAAATATTTTTCAATATATTGTAAATAATGTTTTAGTCCATTACATAATTAAATAAAAAAAAACTGTTAAAACAAATTATTACAAAACATATTGTAGAAACAATTTTTATGTAATAAATTAAAGGTATATAAATATTAGTTTTTAAGGTAATTAAGTAAAAGAAATTAAATTTATTAATGTGTTAAATATTGTTCTAAAAATTACTGTAATATTCAAATAAATAATTTCTTTTTTTTAATGAAATTGATGTTCATTTTGAAAAAATACGTTTGGAATTAAAAGTCTTGAAATACATTGTAAATATAAAGACATAAAACACTTTAAATTAGTAAATGAAATGTGATTTATAAATAGGTGTCAAATACCTGTACTATACTGTAAACAATAAGCAGTTGACCTAATACACAATAGTTACCAAGGACATTCCATCATTTATATACAAACAAAATCAATTTACTGTTGATGAAACAAATGTTCAATAAATTAAAAGCTCAATAACTATCTTAATAATAATACAAATTGTGATTTAATATATAAACTTTTTATAACAATAATATAAAACTAAATTACGGTAATTCCTCAATGAAATATTTATTTATGTAATATACTGTATAAGTTATAATTGAAATAAATCTAATTATTTAAAAATAATTTTCTAAATTAACTATAAATTAATATTATCTATACTTATTATTAACACTAATTTTGCGTCGACAGACATCTTTACCAACAACACCGGTAGAGTTCTCTTCTGCAATCGGTGGACCAAATGTCATATCTCTAACTTCTTCGACAACTCGACACCATTCGGGAGCGTTGTTCGATATGTCTTCCAAAATATATGACCGGTTCGGCTGTAATATACAGTATATTTGCAATCATTTTATATCAATAAACAAACAAAAAACTCATTTACTAACCGTATGTATAAAAAAATTTCTAAAATTTTTAGCTTCTGGTCTCATATTTTTCGAGAATGGTATTTGTCCCTTAAGAACCATATTAGATGAGTCCACATAATACAAATGCGGTCCAGTTGTCAATAAAAACATTCTTCTCCGAGCAAATAGACCTTTCTTTTTGTCAATAAATCCTTCTTTTAAAATCAAATTATTTTCAACAAATCGATGATACATATTGTGCTCCTTTTGTTGATTCAACCTTTCATTCAACTCTACTTCAGTTATGTCAAGAATACCTTTTTTGGTATTTGAATCCACTTTATCATAATCTTCATGAAGAGCTAAACCCATAATTCGAGTGATTTGATTCTCAGCTAAACCCGGCTCTATGTTCTCATTAATTGATGTAATATTTGTATCGTTTCGGGAATTATTTGAAAAATATGTTTCAGAAACTGGAGGCTTCTTTTCATGCAATGACCAGTCATCTGATAATGCTTTAAAATATGGGTCAGATTTAATGGAAATGTAGCCATCATTTTTAACGTCATCACTAGAACCCAATCTATCATTTGCATCAATTTTCAATATTTTTTTAATCAAATTACTGGCAGTTTTGTCAAATTCTTGGGGAAATTCAAACTCTAATTTAATAATTTTTTGAAATATTAAATATTCATTTGCTGCCCGAAATGGTGTCGATCCGCAAACCATTTGATAAAGGATGCAACCGAACGCCCATAAGTCGGAATTGGAAGTAATAGTCTTATTGGTTAACATTTCGGGAGAAACATAATGAGCTGTTCCGACAAATGAATTTCTTCGCCGAACATTATTTTGATCGTCACTATTGGGTGACAATCGGTCATTATTCTCATTGTTGGTCTCTTTCATGAGTAATGCCGATCCAAAATCAGATACTTGAATATGTAATTTGTCGTTCAATAGTATATTTTCGGGTTTCAAATCTCTGCAATTAAACGAATTAAATCCCAATTAAATATTAGCGGTAATAATCAAAATAGTTGTCCAAACCTGTGAACAATTCCTAAGCGATGCATGTGTTCTAAAGCCAACAGAATTTCGGCCGAATAAAACCGACAGCAATGGTCATTGAAGACCTGTCTCTCATTTATCAATGACAACAACTCACCATTCTTTGCGTAATTCATAACAAAAACTATTGTAATAACAAATAAATACCAAACAATTAATTCATTAATTACAAGACAAATAATGACATACAAAGTCTGGTTTCGTCTTGAAATGTACACAACAATTGTATGAAGAATGGCGAAGGATTGATGGTTAACATATGAAGACATGTCTTCTCTCGAAAAATGGCGTTTTCTTTCTTCTCTCTTCTGATTAAAGCTTTTTCACACACTTTGATGGCCACTTCATAAGATCTGTGAACCTCTACTCCCAAAAAAACCTAACCATCAAATCATTTCAATACAATTAACACTTCATCCATAATATAAGTCAATTGAATTCAAACAACTCATTAATATAAAGCCAATTTGTGGATCAATTAAGTGACACTTCAATGTCTTACCGTAGAGAAGGATCCCTCACCGATAACCCTATCAAATATGAAATCATTGGCGCACTTCTTCATGTCTGACATCGCATCGCAATTGAATCCAAGTCTTGAAATAAGTCAACACTTGATCCTAATGTCAATCAATTTAGTGATCAATTGATGAAAACATTTCAAAATGTATTAACAAATGTAAAACTATTGAGTGTTTGAGTCAACACTTATTGACAAACAGTGAAAATGTTATGAAAAACAATACAATCACTGAATCATTGAATTCAATGCAATTGAATGTAATTTCATTATAATTATTAATAGGGTCTCTGTTATTGACAAACGTATTCAATGATAAACTCATTCAATCAAATACTCACTCTTTTAGCGCTTAGTTTGACTTTAAAAATATTAACAAATTTAATATTATTATTGAAAATTCAGATCAATTTAATTGTAAACTTTAAATAATTTATTACTAAAAATTATATTTAAATAAATATCTTATTATAAACCATACAATTAATATTATATAATTTGAAAGTTTGAGTCATATTTTTTCTAATAATAGTACCATGCTAGTTTACACATTTGTAAAATATTTATAAATTTAACTTGATAAACAAAGTTAAGTTCATTTTTGTCTAAAATCAAAAGTATTTACTATTAATTATATTACCGTATATTATATCAAATTATATAATTAATTTAAATATTGTAATTTTATTTTTATAGATTAAAAATATTTATTTTTAGCTCAAAAGTTAATAAAAATACTTTTAAATACAATGAATTTTTATGCATTAATACTAATAAATAATTTTTTAAAAAAATTATTGAATAATTCCGGAAAAAATTGACAATTAATTTACAATTTGATATTCAATAAAACTTTGACTTTAGGGTCACTTTTTGCTAATTTCAACGTTTGGTTTAATTTGTTAGCTAAGTATAAATTATTTAATTTAATTTTGAATTTCATCATAATTTGATTAAAAAATCTTATCACTAAAACTTACAATTTTTATATACATTGAATACAAGTAATGTTAATAACAGAGATATGATTGCTATTCCAATGGTTAGTATAGGAATCATAACTATTAATCGATTATTTGTTAATGTTTTTATAGTCTCAATGGTTATTAAAGTGGTATTTATAAGATTCGTTGGATCAACTGATTCAATAATAACCATTGATATGTTTTTAGTAATATTATCACCAATAGATTCACTACTATTGATATTAATACCTGTAGTATAGTTGTAATCACTTAAAAGTATATCAGTTGGACTCATATTGACCAATGAATTGGCTCTTAAATGTTAAAATGTTTTCCAAAACTATAAATACTAAATATATTACAATAATTTTAATAATTTAAGTTTTATACTCTAGTACTCTATACTTATTGATAATTTTTGGTTAATTAAAAAATTAAAATATTCATATCTAAATTATAAATATGCATATGGTTACTATAAAATAAATGTTTAATCTTTGAAATATTTAAATACTTATTTTTATTATTAGTTGAAGTAAAATATTTAATCACGTTTTACAAGAAAAAAAGATTAATTCAGATTTAACACTTAATTAGCAATTTATTTATAATCAAAGATTTACAATAAAATAAAATATTTCAACAACAATAACAATAATTAAATTTATTCATAAATATACCTAAATGTGTCAATTATATTACATATTATAATATATTCACACTTTGTATTTGGTATATATAACAAAGTTTTACTAAATTCATTGAAATAAATTAATACAATTACAAACAAATAAGAGTATTCCTATATAATTACAATTAAGTTCATTCATTTATATGTAATTATTTTTTTGTACCAATAATATATTTAAAATTTGATCAATATATAGATTTATATTAAAATTTATATACCATATACCTATTGGTATATTTACAGTAGTATATATATAAATATATTTGCTCAAGTTAACTTAATTGTGTAATATTTATGATACCATTTACATAAGGCCAATAGCATTTATAATAATTTTGACAGCAATTGCAAACTATTATGTTTTAATTAATATATATTTAAACGTAAAATTTTTATTAAATAGTTTGCACAATAGAATCGGTAAATAAAATTCTCATAATTAAAGTAAATAAAATATACGCCCTTATTGTAAAGTTAAAATTGATAAGTCAAATAACTATTGTGATTTAAACAAAAAATAAATAAAAACTAATAAAATAATTATTATTTTCACTGGTATTAATTACGGAACTAACTTTTTTCTTCTAAATTATTAAATAGCAAATAACTACAGTAATAGCCATTATATAAATAAATCTATACTTTGAATACAAACATTTGTCATTAAAATATGACAATAAAAATATTATGTTATTTAAATGGTAGAGAAGCCGAGTTTGGACAGAGCAATGTTACGGCGGCGCCGAATCACTTGCCAGTAAACCTCATGAAAGCTACTCTTAACGAGTCCTCTCTCAATGTATCGTAAATAACAAAACAAATCACAAACGGCTATAATTCTGTTTCGACACAATTCTGATATGTTATACCAGTTGTCATCGATTTTCATACGATATTTACAACTTCGGGGCGCATCTAACAGTGCACAGCGTTTAGGAAAAGACGATTTATCTGCCATCGCTTCAATGGTAATTGTATTGTCTTCAATGGTTCGCAAAACACGAGCTGTTAAATCTTTGTCTTTAAAATTAAAAACCGGATAAATCTCTTCGTCGTAAATTCTTTTCATAAAATCACTATTCATTGCTTCAAAATTTGGGCATTTTTTCCATTGAAGAAACTCTTCGTGAAAAACTGGATCCACTTCACCGACTTCTTGTGACAACATTGAGTCGTCTTTGTCGGTTTGGCCAAAAGTGTTGACACCGTTTTGTGCGATTGAATCTAATTTATCGGCAGCACTGCCTCCGAGTTCATAATTACTCGGAGACTTTTTGGCAAAATCATTAGTTTTAGGTTTGATTGGTTTGACACCATTTGTCCGAACAGATCGATGGTTGGATGGCGTCGATGTCAAGACAAGCATTTTGAGTGCCTGTACTTCTGCCTGCAAGACATCAATCTTAAGGTTTGCTTCGTAAAGCTCTTTCTGAGCCCTACTCCTCAAAACATTGGCCTTATATACCATATCATTCGCTTCAGCGAACAAACTGGCCGTCAGATCCTCTAATTCTGACTCGACTTCAGCTCTAATACGACTCAGTTTTGCAACTTCTTCGTCGCGAAGTTTGAGTTCGTTCTGAGCTCTACTCAACTCTGAACGCATCCTTTGATACGCCTGTTCTTTGACCTCAGAGAGAGTCAAACTGTTGAGAAGATCTTGAGATAATTCTGAAGATTCATTTAATGTTTGATCAGTTTTTTCTTTGGTTTCTTTTGAAGAAGAATTTGACCATAACTTAAGTCCCGATTCTTCCTCCAATTGGTTAAACTTTTCGGTCATACGTTGTTTGGTGGCTTTAATTAAATCGTCGCAATCAGATCTACTTCTTTGATGATTATTAGCGCAATCTTTAGTGCCATCAAGAGATGAATCATTGATGACAAACATTGCGCCATCGCTTGAACTCCTTTTGTTTGCAACATTAGATTTCTTGTGACCGCTGGTCAGTCCATTGTCCGTATAGTCATTATTATCACTAGTTTGCCGATCATCTGACTTCTTGAGCTCTGCCTTATTAAGTGGCGAACACTTTGGTGTTGTTTTGGCTGAAGAGTATGAAGACGTTGAGGAAGATTCGGGTGATTCTTGTGATGCAATCATTATTGTGGTTAAGTAGTCATTGAAGACATTACGGCTTTTGTCGGACAACTGATCAATTGGTTCAATGAGTTGACAAACAAAAGAGTCGTTTAGTTATATAAACACTGAATTCAAACAATCAATTCATTGAATATGTATTTCAAATGAGTATTAAATATATAATCAATTGATTAATACATTATTACTCAACACTCAGTGTTTACTTATCTTTACGTCAATTCAATGAATGACTCAAATATTAATAAATTGAGTCAACTCTAACTCACATTATATATACTATACAACAAAAAAGTTTATTTATATATATTTTTATAAATTTATTAAATTTAATTAAATTAGATATTATTTTATTTAAATTGTTAATAAAATAAACATTTATTATTCAAAAACTCTAAATAAAAATAATTAATTTTATGTAAATAATGTTTTGATTATTAAATAATAGGTTTGACTGTAATATTGTAATGTTTTTTACAAATCATATGATATATTCATAACGTGTGTCAACACTATTGGCGCTAAAACTTAAACAATAAGGCATTGAATGTATTGTTGATGTGATTGTCAATGATTTGTCATTAATTGTGTCCATATATTGACATAAATGACTTCAATGGAGAAGAAGACAATTTTAAAGACATTGTTCAGTCAAATAAGCGACGATTTGGTCAATGAGTTACCACTCGTATCGATAATTACACAAAACGACAAATGCATTGATCATTCATTAAGAAGTGATTGTCAAATATATTTGGATCTCATATCAAAAGCATTAGTTTTGTTTGATATCAATGGCAACAACTTGTCATCAATGGATGAATGGGTGATAATTGCCGATAAACTTCAATTGATGACCAATAAGTATGAATTGAAGCGAACCAATGAATTAATGCAAAAGAGTTTGTCAAACATGAAGACCAAAAACAGATCATTTGAAGACAAACTCAATGAAATCAATCGCGAGCTGAAGCGCGAAGAGTTCTTCGAGTCGACCATTTCTGAGAAGATTCGCTTTTATTCAACTAAACTTAAAGAGTATTATACATCAGTTAAGACTAAAGAGTCTATTCTTTCAAAGATCGGTTTCACCGCTAATTTAAGACATGAATCACTTGAAGACATCAAACAAAGTAATGTTGAGTTAAAGAAACGTTTGAATGATATTAATACCAGACTTAATGAATATAAAGATTTCAATCCAACTGATAGTGATTTAAGGCATAAAGTCATTGATATGAAGACACAAATCAATGAATATGACAACTATTTTGATAATAAAATGTGATTACAAATAATTTAAAGATAAGGCAATTCATTAAAATGTTTTTTAAATTTCATATAATTTATTAAAACCTAATTTTAATTTATTCTAAATCTATAAATCAAATCTTAAAATTTAAATAAAGTTTTAAACAAAAGTTTCTAATTTGGATCTCATATATACTCAACAGTTATACTGTATAATCATTTTTGAATTAATATAATTGACTGAATGTCTAAATGAGTGAATGCGGACGTCCATCAAGTTTAGTGATTTCATCTCTTTCTTGTTGTGTGAGTCCGGGTGTAGTTTCTTCGTGTGGCCACCACGACGGACGCACAGTTTGTCGAACTTCCCAATCGGGGAATGTTAGCGCAAATTCCTCGATCGACATGTCTTTTACATCAAGCATTACATCAAATTTGTTGTACTGTCCATCAAATTGATGATCAAAATAGTTAACAAAATTATCATTCATTTAAGACAATGTCTCACCATTTTTTGAGCCTCTGTCTGAGTCCGCTTTGAAGACTCAATGAATTCTTGCACTTCTTTATCATTTTCTCTTTCCTGTCCATCGATCTGTTCCGACACTGTGTCCTTCGGGTAAGTAATAGACAGTGCTTTGTATGTACTCTCCAGTTGATCGACGACTGTCTTATTGATGACATTTTTCTTATAATAGGCCCAATCAATGGTCGGAGCCGTTTCGGGATAGGATAGCATTCTGTTGTTAAATACAATTAGCATTCAATTTAGTGATCAATCAATCAATGAGACAATTAATTGCAACTTATTATGACCTTCGAAGGTAACCATCGGACTTGGCTTTGAATTGATTGAATAGCTGTTTCTCAGCTTTGGGAACCACTTCATTGAATTTGGCCCAATCTATGGCTGATTTGGTGATACGTTTTGCGGCCATCGCTTCAGACAATTATCTCTGAACTTCTTATTTTGATTTCAACTGAAGTTAAGATCAGATGTGTAAAACAAATGTCGGATTCAATAAATTTGTTTAGAAATTACGTTTAGTTTGTATTCAAATAAAAGTTATTTTTCAATATATTTTTGATAAAAGGGTTTTCAAATATATTTGTGTTATTTATGACTATATTTTTAACATAAAATGGCGTCAATTGTTCATAAAATCGCTTTTAATTAATCACTAAATTGTTATTATTTTATAGGATTGTCGGCAAACATATCGATTATTCTGTAATTAATTTTAAATACAAATAAAAAAATTAAATTAAATTAAATTAAATTAAATACACTAACAAATGCATACTAATTAATTTATAATTAAATTGACCATCAACATTTAATTTATATAAAATGTTTTAAAACAATTAAATGATTAATTAATTAAATGGTCAATTTATAATTGTTTAATTATATAATTGAACATGCACATTTATTATTATACTGTAAATTATATGTTTGTCTTATAAATGCAAATACCTGTACAATACTACAGACAAATCCCAGTTATTATGTGATAGTATATCATCTAAAATACAATATCGATATTACAGTATTAATATATAAATTTTAAATTATATAACATTATAATTACAAACAATAAATTAATTATTGATTGAATTTATCTAAATATAATGTAAATATAATTATTGGTATACTTTATATACAGAATATCAACAATAAGTGAAACAAATAATTAATTGATTTTGAATTATATTGAGGACTGACTGTATTGACTCATCAGTCAAATTGATTGCATGTAAACAAAAGTGACTCAAATTGAGTGAATGTTTTGATTGCCATTCAATTAATGACTCATTTGTTTGAATCAAATATCAATTGAATGAAACAATTAATGTTTGGATTGTTTTTGTATTGATTAGTGATATCATTGTTTATATGAGTAATCATTAGATTATTAACTCATTGATTGTTAACATTTATTTGGTATTAAAGTGATAGTTGTGTTGATTGGTGTCAATCGATGGCCACTAATAATATATCCATAACTTCTTCTGTTATTAATGAGACGACCAGTTCATTACCACACATACCGACACAATCGCCACGATTAACACATGAGAAGCGGTCCAATCAATGGATCAAATTGAATGTCGGCGGTACTCACTTTATGACCACAAGAATCACTTTATGCAGAGATCAGAACTCATTTCTTTATAGACTCTGTCAGGAAGACCACGACCTCAACAGTGATAAAGTATTTACAATTTGTTTGAATAAATAATTTTCATTAATTGATTAATTGTATCAATAATAGGACGAAACGGGAGCTTATCTTATAGATAGAGATCCGTCTTATTTCGGACCTATTCTTAATTACTTAAGACACGGAAAGCTTATCATTGATAAGGACTTGTCTGAAGAAGGTTTGAATGAATGAATTTAATTGATAATTGATTACAAATTGTGTCCACTTCTTAACATTAGGAGTCTTAGAAGAAGCAGAGTTTTACAACATAACAGAATTAATAAAGTTATTAAAGCAAAGAATCACTGAACGCAATAACAATAAAAAAGTGGACAATAGTCGCAAACATGTTTATCGTGTCCTCCAATGCCATGAGGATGAGCTGACACATGTTGTATCCACTCTATCTGATGGCTGGAAGTTTGAACAGTTGATTAATATTGGATCAAATTATAATTATGAAGAACAGGCAGAATTCCTGTGCGTTGTGTCCCGCGATTATCCCAATAGCAATGCAAGTGATCGCAGGATCGGCTCAACTGATAAAGCAAAGGTATAACCCATTGTTTAAATTTGTATTGTTTTTGTGACCACTATTGTAACCGTTATTAATCATTAATAATAAACCTTTTATTCTTTAGTTGATCCAACAAAAAGCAGCGAACATGTGAACTCAGTTACGACTTAATCCATCCATTTGTAAGAAAGGGTCTGTTATTGATGAATGAATATATAGTATATGTTTTGAAGTCATTGAGCATACGCTTTGAATTGCTTATTGATTTAATTCATTTGTGTATACAATAAAGCCGGTGCTTATGTTATAATTAAAGACCGGTTTTTATATTCACATATTTATTAATTCACTTAAAGTGCTCTGTTTTTGGGCACATTTTCACATTTTAGTCCACTTTTTATATATGAATATTGTTTGTATTTGTTGACTGATTGTATGACTTTTTACCAAAGATTTACAAGATTTGATAAATAGGTTTTCACAACAAAACAAATGTGAAGACCTTAGGTGACTGTCACTCACCTAAAGCTTATGACTAAATTAAATGTTAAGTTTTAAATGTGTACAACAAATATGTGTTTAAATGCAAATAATGACATTAGAGCGCCATTGGCCTAAGTTTATGCCTAATATAATATAATGTTATAATTTGGTATACAATCGACTATATAATTGCATAAATTTATAATACTGTATATCGACTATTTTAAACATATTAGTAAATATCAAAAAGTTATTAACTATTTGACTCAAATTATGACATTTATAATTATGAGTGACTGTCGGTAGTGCCGGCACTTACCGTAAGTTACGCATAAATACGAGCATACATTACCTTAATATGAATTTACAGTAAATCAATTATAAACGCAATGTTTGTTTGTTTTTTTAAATACAATTGTATAATGACTTAGAAATTTTAAATATTGTAATATTTATCAATTTAAGCAAATTATTTATTAATAAAATAAAAACCGAAACCATTTAAATACAAAAAAATTATTGTAAAAACTATCCTAAAATAGCTATTATTTATAAGCTTTTAATCTCCAGAGGCCATCATTTAAGAAGTGGACATTTTCGATGGCAATTCCCCGATTGATTTTAGCTCTTTATTATTAAATACAAACCAATATATAATTATTATATAAAAATAAGAAATAACTTACATATCATTTGTTGACATTTTTAAGATTCCCATAGAAAGTGCGTGTTGTTTACTTTCGGCGATCACAGTGACCACAGAGTCAACGGGTAGGTCGGGTGTCATTATAGCTCCTTTAGATGTAAGTCCCGGACACATGATATTAGCACCGCTCAAGACAAAAGTGATGGCACCCTTGTCTACCTGCATAAGGGGACATATGAATGGATCTAATGAAACATCCAGTCATAAAAACAATTATTTTATTTCACCACTTAATTGATTAATCAATCAATTGCTTACATTTTTGAATCAATTTCAATGTAGGAATATATAGACCATCTCTCTGTCTGAAGAATAGATGATCACCATTTGGTCCAATAACTACCTCAATATGTTCGTGACTGTAGACAAACACATTTAATGAGTCAATCAATTAATCTCAAGAATAATATTGATAATAAACTTTCAAATTATAATACCATTTCAATGTTTTAATGGCCTCCTTCTTAGGCAATATCTCATCGATATAGTCACTGATATTAGGGAACTGATCCACTATTTTGTTTTTAATTGCCTTTTGAACAGACGACTTGAGTTGTGTGACACCGGAAACGTTGGATTCATCAAACCTGACATCAAATGATAAGACATTAGTTGATTGATTGACATTAATTGGTGACAATATATAACTTACTTCTTAAACATATTGGCTATCAATCACTCAAATGGACACAACTTTTCTGTAAAAATATCAGTAAATCAATTGAAAACACATTGACTTATATTTAATGCATTTCTCATAACATATAATACGTTACTTACGTTTAAATGTATTAATAAAATACTGTAATGTAATGTCATTTAACTGTCAATTACTACACATTTTTCAATATTTGTTATAAATTTACAGTAGTATTAAATACAATCATTTAAAGTAAATTATTGTAAATAACAAACAATTAAATAAATGAATCAATTATTTTAATGATTAAAATCAATCAATTTATCTAAAATCAGTAATTTATACATTTTTAACTTAAATTTTATAGTACCGGTAATAGTTATATATTTTACTGTATATACTATAGTACTGTATATTAATATACTGTATATTGATATATTAATTTACTAAACAATGATTTGTAATATTTTATGAAATTTATGACAATTTACAAAAAGGCACAAAATATACATTTTTGTTGGTATTATTTTTAAATACTTTTAAATCAATGGTATCTTCAAGTGGATTCATCGTCAGTCATTTCCAGAAATTTGACGCATATATCAGTAGTACACTCGCCCTTTGAGTTAAATAAAAATTTATAATAACTACCGTCAGCACAGATCACTATAATTAAAGTAATAAACAAATATTTAATAAATTATTTTTATAAAAATTAAAATTAATATAAACAAACCAATCACTGAGTTTGGTTCGGCACCAAAGGCACAAATACAATGTGCGTTAACCGGCAGTTGAAATCGGGAAAAACTCCACTTTGAGCTGAAATACTTAGGAAGAAACGATGCCGACGCCAAACTTATGGTTAAAATTTATTACAATTAGTTCAATAAAATCATTTACATAAACACATTTAAGTCAATTGTTGTAAACCTCGACTGTTTATTTTTCTTGCAATCTTCGGCAGCAAATATATGAATCGTCCCGTGATCTGAGGACACGCATAGCAACGATGAATCCGAATTAAAATTAATACTATCGGTAATATTCAAAACAAATAAATAATTTTAAATTAACACAACAATAGGTCATAAAACAAACCAATATATGTTAGCTGTATTGGCGCCTCTTCTCAATTCGTTAAGAAGTGTTCCGTTAGAGGTATCAAATATACGGATTAAAGTTCCCTTTTCTGATGCAGTGGCCAGTCGTGTACCCGAAAGATTCAATGAAAGGCAACTGAGTGGACCCTCGTGTGCGAACACATCTATTTGTTTATTAGAATTCTGAATATCATAATTGATTAGAACCGGTATATAAACATTGACATTAATATCTAACCGCTAAGTCGACCATTTGAATGTGTCCGGTCTTACGCGACGGAAAGGCCAACATTGAGTTATTACTATTTGGACACAAAACGCAAAGACCTATAATAAATCACAACATTATTAATTGTGTAAACAATAAGACATCAATTGTTCACCTCTTGGATTATTACAGGTCTCAAACACATTAAGTTGTTGTGGATTTTGAGTAAATGTATAAACTTTTATCATATTTTCTAAGACGACAACAATTCTGCAAAAAAATTGGTTATTTGAGACAATCTTTGGCTAATAAATGACAACACAATCACTGCAATACTTGTCTCGACGTAAACGAACTGCTTTGACATCTGATTGAAACTCGAGTTCAATGACGTGTTTTTTCTTGAGGTCGTCCCATACCATCACTGGTTAAAGACAATCATATTATAATTGACGGAATAGTTTATAGTGTTATATAATGTGTGATAAAATGCCTTTTTTGGTGGAAAACTGTGGATTTTTGCCGCCACCTACTAATGCCAGATAATTGCAACGGAACAACATCTCGACAAACCCGATACCACCGTTTCCGAAGTCTGCGGTCATTCAAATGGTCAGCAAATATGACATCAAGTCATTGGCAAACCTTGTTTCTCCTTTTCCTTAATGGGATCCGCATTATAGACCCGAAAGCCGTTGTGAAGACCGCATGCAAAGCAACCCATGTCTTGATTGAAACCGTAAAACAAGAGTCGGTTGTTGTGACCATTGATTGCAGTCATTGTCGTTGACATCAAACTATCATTCAATACAACACTCAATATATTGTATACAATGTGTGTCAACACTAACGTCAAGATTGCAAACAAACACTGCTTTCGATTGCATTCACTAAACAACAACTCTTTCAATAGACATATAGAGGTCTACAACACTTCACTATAAACTTAGGATTAATTCATCTTTTATTTAATACTTTTTTATGTAATAATATGTTTCTAAATAAATAAAAAATACTTTAAATTATAATTAACAAAAATTATCAATAAATTTAATGATAAATTTGGCAAATAATTTATAAAATAAATTTATTATAGACTTGTCGTTGATGTCTATCAGACATATGGTATAACTCCTCCTATTTTGGACTTTCAATACACACTTGTATTGAATAATGAGATTTAAAGGGAGACTCACTTTAGGACTTTAATACTCTTATTGTTTGTAGTGTTTAAACACATATTTACTTACATTTAACCAAATTTTCAGTGATTTTTGATTGAATTGATTTCTAATTAAATTGAGTCCAGTTATTGACAATTAATCCAAACAATGATCACTACAAGACATCTCAAATGTTTATACATTGTCTCAAAACAAATGAGATTACTATCGACGACAGGTATTTGCAAATAAAAGTTTTATTTTTATTTAAATTCATTATACCATCAAATAAATTACTTTTTAATTTCATATTTCTAATTATTATAGTTATATAATTAAATTATAAAATAAACTAGGTCAATATTGATCAGTTTGGACTTCATAATAAATATTGTATTTTGTAATTATAAATAACTATAAATTTTTATTTGATTCAATCAAATCAAATTTGGATATTAAAAAAATATTTGTTTAGATAATTGAAATGTATTGAAATAATTTTTAGGATATTAATCAGTTTAAATGTTTATAATTATTTTAAAAGACAAATTTATTAACAAATATAAAATTATTTTTTTGAAATCTATTAGTAATTGTGATTTTAAAGTATTTTTTAACTTATTTTATTTTTATTAAACCATTACATAATAATAAATATTTTAGAAACCAATAAAATAAATAACATTATTGAATGGTGTTATTCAATATATACACACAAATGTATTTTAATTATTTATTATTATGTTATCCATTCAAAGTTACTAAAAAGTTAGTAACAAATAAGCAAATAATTAGTTAAAATTTAATTATTTTTATTTAAGTTTTAATAATTATTTTTTAAAACTTTTTGTTGTTTATTATATTATATATTTTAATATATTAGCATAATCATTTTTAGTAAAATGTAATGTTTTTATTTAAAATCAATTTATAATATGAAAAAACTGCGTTCAATATCATCAGTTGTAAGACAAGAATATTTATTTAATAACAAATCATATAATGTTTTTTTGTGATTATCTATTATATGATGACATTATTTTGTTATACATTTAGGTATCTCTTTATAATTAACAAAATTAATCTATTAATCTTAGATATTATTAAAATTTTCCGTTTAAATTGTGTAAAATAAACGGATTTTTCTCAATAATTATGCAAAAGTTGATTTAACTAAATTAATAACGACAAATCACAGGTAAAATATTTACTAATTTAATATGAGTTTATTCCCCGATATCGATAAAAAAATAGTTAGATAGCTTTAAATGGATAGTCTATTTACCATTTTATAAAATAATTTGTTAAAAATAAGATTTTTATTATTGTGCACTTATTATCATAAAATAAATAATTTAATGATTATTACTGTTATAATCGTAAGCCTACACTCATATCAATGTTGGAGTAAAGGGAGAGAAACAAAACATCGGTTATATTCAATTGAATCGACCGAAAGCTTTGAATGCGTTATGCGATGGACTCATGCATGAGGTGTCCAAAGCTATGGATGAGTTTGAGGCCGACTCTCAAATTGGTGCCATTGTTTTGACCGGAAGTGAAAAAGCGTTCGCAGGTTTTCATATTAATTTAATATGAATTATACCATATATTATCATTTAACAACTATTTATTTATATATTAACTTAGCCGGTGCTGACATTAAGGAAATGGTTGACAAATCTTTTAAAGACTGTTTCACAACCAACTTCTTGAGTCATTGGGATCGTGTGTCCCGATCTCTAAAGCCAGTTATAGCAGCAGTTAATGGATACGCCGTGAGTTCATTAGAGAAAAGAAAGTTTAGTAAAACTGAATGTCATATAACTGAATAGTTAGGCGGAGGTTGTGAATTGGCTCTCATGTGTGACATAGTGTATGCCGGAGACAATGCCAAGTTTGGTCAGCCGGAGATTCTTATCGGAACCATTCCAGGTGTGGAAATTTGCATTAGATTTGTTGATATTTTGTCATAAATATAATCGATATTATTAGGTGCCGGCGGAACACAAAGATTAGCCAAAGTTATTGGCAAATCACGGACTATGGAAATGGTTTTAACCGGTCAACAGATCACTGCTCAAGACGCCGCAAATTGGGGTAACAGTGACATCGCTTTAAATATTTGAAACATTTTTTAATTATTATATTTTAATTAAATTATTTAAATTATATTTTAATTAAATTATTTAAATTATATTTTAAAGGAATAGTTAGTAAAGTGTTTCCAACAGACAAAGTTGTTGAGGAAGCCATCAAATTAGGTGAAAGAATCTCAAAGAATTCAAAGATAATTAATGCCATTTGCAAAGAATCTGTTAATAACGGTTTGGACTATTAAATCATAACCAATAGCTTATGAAAATAATAATTTTTTTATTGATTTAAAAAAATAGCTTATGAGACAACTTTAAAGCAGGGGTTGGCTACTGAAAAACGGTTATTTCACTCGACATTTGCAACTGTAAGTCATTATTACATATAATTTCATTATTAATTGATTATAACTACCGGTTCTATGAATCAACAGAATGACAGATCTGAAGGCATGAAAGCATTTACTGAGAAAAGAGCCGCAAATTTCAAAGATGAATAAAAATTATTAAAATGACATTTAATGTAATCTTTTAGCATTTATTTTGGAAATTATTGATACAATTATTTTTCAATAAAATATTTTTCTATTCAATAAAACCACACTGTTGTTAGTTTACTATTATAAATATGATTTTAAACTAGAGATAGTTTATTATTATTTAATACAATATGGTATAAAATTATTAAATAATTGCATAATTTTAACAATGCAAACAAAAGTATTTGCTGATAAATTGATAAATAAAATATTTAATTAAATTTATTTTAAAAATTTAATGAATAATGAGATAAAAAAATTTAAATGAATTTAATTCGGCGTTAAGTCAAAGTGAGAGATGAGACAAACTGGTCAACAAATCAGACACATCTGTTCCAACCTTTTATTTCAAACAAATCATTCAATAAATTGATTAAATTTACTGAAAAATTAATAGATATATACAAACCTCTTCACTAGTTTGAGACAAATGTAATCGATTGGTGAATGTGGTGAGGAGTTCGAGTTCTGCATTTTTGCCCGACCGGTGCCAATATATGGACATCATTTCTAGCACTTGCATCACCTCATTCTTCAGGTGCTTTGAATTGATGGTAGAGTCTGATCGTTGCATCGATTGAATCAATTTGAGTTTCGATTGCGCCAAATGTAGTGGTGTTCGGCCAGAGTTGTCCAAAGAGTGGATATCGGTTCCGGCGCTCAACAGTAATGTAATCACTTGTATATTGTTAGTACAGGCGGCCAAATGAAGAGGTGTGTTACCAATGGCGTCCTTTTGGTTCGGATTCGCGCCCTTTTCTAAGAGCAGTTGCGCTTAAAAGTTCACAAAAAAACAATTATTTAAGAATTACAGTAAAATTGAAGACATTCTTAGTTTGACTTTTTTATGAGATAATACCTATTTGTGTGTTTCCCTTACAGGCGGCAAAATGAAGAGCAGTTCGACTGCGTTCATCACAAGACACTGGATCTATACCTTCGTCAAGCAATCGCCGAACTGTTTCAATATCATTACAATTTGCAGATCTTCTCAATAGTCGTTCGCCTATTATATCAAATAAAAATTCATTCAATTAGTAAACTATTGATAAGTTGTTTACTGAAGACCTGTTATATCTTTTGAGATATGTTTGCGTTTTATATCATGACTTTTAGGTCTAATTGATCTCATTTTTGGTTTCAAATCGTGTTGTTCTTCACTATTATAATTTAAATCATTGAAAACTTGGACATTATTGTCACTCTTATAATCGACAGAAGAATGTTCTGATTGATTGTCAAACATCGGAACCATTCGGTTGTTATGTGAAGAGGATGGCAGACAAAGACTATCATATGGATAGTGATGACTACTTGATGGCAACAAATGTGATGACGTTGACGTCTCTACAGATGTTGACGCCACTGAAGCCATAGCTGGTATTGAAGAAGTTGATGGTGAAGAAGACACAATCATTCTGAACTCAAAGTCCTGGACATTGATTTTAAATAAATATTTAAATCAAAACAATAACTCAATTTTATGTAAATATGATATAAAATATTTAAAGATATTAATCATACGCTTTGGTTGTTGCCATTGTTGTCTTCATTGTCACGATTGATATTATTATCAATGACAGCGATGTCAACGGCATTGTCATTGAACTCATCCCTGTCGTAGTCACTGACCGATGAGGCCAACGACATACCGATACTGTCATCGCTGGCATTACTGCCGGCGTCAACACCAGAGTCGTCGGCTGACATCAACAGTCACTACAAGACATAACAAACCATCAAATGTTTGGTCAATCATATGATCGACAATTAGCTCTCAAAACACAACAAATTGACGTTTTTGTTGTTATTATTGTTGTGTTTATTATTAATATAATATTTATATAAATTATTAATAATAAGTCATATGTTTTGAAATTTAGTTTTTCATCACATTTCACGTGTCTTTAGTTTTGTTGACATCGATGTCATCACCGAAAACACCAACAAAACAATGAGTTCTTCAGATCCCAGAAGACGCGTCTGTGTCTGTGTTTTAGGTGATATCGGCCGAAGTCCACGAATGCAATACCACTCGATATCTTTAGCTCAAAATGGTTTGGCCGTCGATTTGATCGGATTTGAAGGTTTGGACACAAATGTGATGTCAATTGAAGTAATGGTTAATGATTTGTTGTTGACTACCATTAGGTTCAAAACCACATCAAGAGATTATCACTAATGATAACATTGATTGTCATTATATGAGACAAATTCCTCAATGTTTTAATAGTATGAAGAGATTTGATGTTTTTGAGTGATTTAATCATTAAATCTTTTGCTTGTTTTTAAAGATTTGCCTAAACTTCTTGTCTATGCATCGAAAGTCTTGTGGCAGTCGATAATACTTTTGTATTGTTTAATGTCTTTAACAAAATCTGATTATATATTAGTTCAGGTGATTGTTCACAAATTATTTATAGTTTAGTTGTAATTGTTTAATACAAGTGTTAATAATCAGAACCCGCCATCTGTTCCAACTCTGGCCATCATTTGGATTGTTTGTCGACTTCGTGGCTCTGTTTTTGTTATTGATTGGCATAATTATGGATTTACTATATTAGGACTAACATTGGGTGACAATCATATACTGGTTAAGACATGTAAATGGTTTGAGAGCTACTTTGGCACCAAATCTGATCACAATTTTTGTGTAACAAAAGCATTAAAGAATGATTTGAAGATTAAATACAACATTAGGTTTATATTAATTCATAGATTAGTTTTTGCTTTAATTTTTTATTTACTGGTAATTAATTGTATATATTTTTATGTATAGATCAACCGTTTTATACGACAGACCGCCTGATATCTTTCGGACCATTTCTTTGACAGAAAAACATAATTTAATTCAGAAATTAAAAACAGAATACAATGAGTTTATGGGAAGTGATGAAAATGAAACCATTTTTACAAAATATGATACAATAACTGATAAAATATCGTTGAATACCAATCGACCGGTATTTATAATGAGTAGCACGAGTTGGACAGAAGATGAAGACTTTAATATTTTGTTTGAAGCACTGGAACTCTACGATAATTGTGCTAAAAAGTCAAATAAATTACCGCAATTAATATGTGCTGTCACTGGAAAAGGTCCGCTTAAAGAATTTTATAAAAGAAAAATTGCCGACAAAGACTTTAAGTCAGTTAAAGTGATATTTCTTTGGTTGACAGCACAGGACTATCCAACACTCGTCGCCAGTGCTGATCTCGGTATATGCCTTCATAAGTCTTCCAGTAATTTTGATTTACCGATGAAAGTGGTAGACATGTTTGGCTGTTGTCTACCTGTCTGTGCCTTTGATTACGATTGGTTTGTATTTATTTGCCGAAACATAATTTTTTTTATTTTTAAATTTTTGTATTTACTGTTATTTCTAACATTTATAGTATCGATGAGTTGGTAATTAATAAAACCAATGGTTTGTTATTTAAGACTAGTCATCAATTATGCGATCATTTGTTAAAACTTTTTGAGAATTTTCCTGAAGAAAGCAAAGACTTGAAGTCATTCCGCAATCATTTAAATGAAAACTTTTTGAAATATCGTTGGACTGACTGTTGGAATCAAAACGCTTTACCTATATTTTCATAAACTATTAATATTTACTTTATATGAAACATAATAAGTAGGTATTTTTTCAGATGTATTCAAAAAATCAATAAAATATCTTTTAATTTAAAATACAAACTTTATATAACAAAATTTATTTGAGATAATTAATGACATTTTATTAAAACAAAATAAATTGAATTGAATTGACAACAAAAGATATATATATATATATATATATATCTATTTAACTGATTTGTTTCAGTGATATAAATGATTGGTCACTACTATATGACTACCATATGTTTAATGTATTGATTGATGAATGACTGGAAAGTGATGATCAAATGGTCAGCGCTTTTGATGAGTTCTGTTGAAGTCATAGATGTCTTTTCCTTCTTTGCTTTTGTTAGTTGACTTCTTTCTTAACAATCGCTTAAACCAAGCGCTGTATTCCCTATATTTGGGTTCATCGGTAAATTCGAGAGACTTAATGTCCTTCAAATAGTTGCAGAACTCTACGGGAATGTCAGCGCACAGGGACTCAGTGGTTGTTCGCTGTTTCACTTTTGAGATTTGATTGTATCGTTCTTTTACTTCCTTAATCTTGATGCCCATCCGCGGTAGCTCACCCTTCAAGAAGTATACTAACATATAGCCGAGTGTTTCCATGTCGTCCCGTCGGCTCTGTTCGTATCCCTTGTGGTTATTAATACTCATATAACGTGCTGTTCCTATAATACCTTTTCTGTCACGAAAATGGATGTGCTTTCCGTTATCAGTATTGTTTGCAGAGACCAAAGTCGATGATATAGACGATATTGTATTTGTCATTTCCCGACGGACCGTACAAGAAATTCTCGGGTTTGGTGTCCCTATAGATGAGTCCTACGCCGTGAAAGTACTCGAATATATCGATCAATTGTATGGCCAACAGTAACGTTGTTCTTAATAATGTTATACTTACCGCCGACTGTTTCCATCACATCCTCCAGACTCGGACCCAACAGATCCATAACCAGTGCGCTCCAGTTGTCACCGCACGTCCCAAAGTAATAGTCGAGGAATACCTTTTTTGAGGAGTAAACTTATCGGCCTTTAACTTCTTGAAAAATGGAAACTCTAGAACTAGTTGTGGCTTTGCTACCGATGTCTTCTCAAACTTGATGGCAACCTTATCACCAGTAAAGATGTTTTTGTAGCGACCGAACGATCAGTTACTTCAGTGATGATGATAACCAAAATTAAATTATATAAATATTGTATACTTATAAGTAATTTTACGAAAACCAATAAAACATATTTTTATTAATATAAAGTATTTTTGGCACAAAACCCTTCCATTAAATTTAAGTAAAAATACATAAAAAAAATTCACATTATATATATATAATTTATATTTATATAAAAGTATAAAACATAATAATTTATAAATGACTTGAGAAACAAAATTACAATAAAGTTGTTTTAAGTATTTCCTAATTATTGCCATTTTCTTTGGCAGTTGTCTTGAAGTGTTGCTCTATTTCGATGTATTGACGGATCAATCGCGAGATTTCATGAGCCTTGCAAAGAGAAATCAATAATTAATTGTTTATATAATTAAATATTTTGCAGATTTAATACCTGATCTGTTTGTATTCGAGATATTTTTTGAATCATAAGATTTCCACATTTCATATCAAGAAATAGAGTCCCGTCTTCGGCCCGGACTTTTCGGGTGGAGATTACTTCAGAAAACGGATGTTTCCATAATGTCTCCTAAAATTATAAAAATATATATTAATATTTTTAAATAAATAATACAAAATTAATTATTATACTTACATGAGTGATGATATCAATGAAATGGACGCCTTCTTTATTGAGGGCAAGTATGTGATCGGGTTGTTGTTGTTGTTGCTGTTGTGTAGTCGAATCGGTTTGAATTCTCTTAACTGCAAAAAAACATGAACCAAATAGTGGCCACTTTTGCAGAATATCAAGACATTGAGCTTTTGCTTCGGTAGTGGTCAGAGCCGACATGTCATTCCAGTTGCTTTGAACCATTTCAACCCATTGCGGTGGACGCAGTTCTCTCATTACAAGAACTGGTTTTGGCAACAGATACTTAACTTCATCTTTGGTCGGCATTTGTTCCATATCTGCCGCCCTATGAAGCAATGATGCAATTCTTGCAATTTGTGGGACAACATCTTCTGGTAGTTTTTCATTAGGAATCACAAGCAATAAGCCCTCCAAATAATCGGGTGCGACCTGATTGAAGATCACTTCGATGTATAAGTGACTATCAAGTCTTAAAGGGTAATACCAAACGGATCGGCAAAATATGAGGTAAAATAATTGTCCGTTTTTTATAAGATCTGTGGTTACATCTAATATATATTCATCTCTATTTAAAGGCATTGTAAACGGATCTAATGTATAATAGTAAATGAAAATTAGAATTTTTGTTATTCAAAAGCTTAAAAATATTTAAGACAAAGACCTCCTTCGATGATACAGTAAAGAGAAAACTCTTCCATTTCGATGGCATTTCTAATGTTAAGCATTTGACAAATCTCTTCAATGATATCATTGACGACCGTAGAAGAAGCCGTATTAATGATTCTTTCAGTGCCTCCGGGAAGTCGATACATCTGTCTCTTGGAGTTTCTCCCGGCAGATATGGCAGCAATTTCTTCAATTGACGGCACATTTTTACGGCCGCCATATTTAAATGTCTTCCTCAAGTTCTTGAGACAAACATCTGCAGTGGCGTGAAAAGCACGCCTCTTATCAAAGGCAGCCGTTTCTAAGTATTTGAATAAATAGGGTCTCAACAGCTCTGAACTGTCAAAATAGGCGGCGACTATAGAGAAGAGGCGCCAACCCCTCTGACAACTGTCTCTGTATTTTAAAATCATTTAAATTAACATTAATTCGGTGTTTAAAACTGTTTTAAAACAATTATACACTCAATGAGTGTTCATCGCAACAGTTAGTCTTACAGATGAGTGAATTTTAAATTGACTTAAACTTCAAATATTATAATAGCTTTTTCAAGCATTTTTAAAACTAACAGTAAATGTCAAATTTCATGTCTAATTAATCCTAAAAATACAATCAATTGCTTACATTTTGGCACTTTTATTGCTTGTCGTTTGCTTCATAAGCTGACAATAGACTTCATCTCTGATTTGGGGATATTTGTGACAATTCTGTGTTTTTATATATAGTATAAAACACACATAAGTTATGTCAGACTTTAATTGTTGTAATAAATCATTTAAATAAATTCTCACCAAAAGTATATTATAAACGCAATTGACTTCCGTTTGGTTTTTAAGCATTGGTAAGTCTCCCATATATCGCATAATTGCTATGTTTTCACGAATATTTTATTTAATGATTTAAATTAAATGTTAATATAAAAATGTAAAATGCATTCAATGAAGTCTCAAAAATTCATTAAACCATTACATAAAAAACATACCAACAAAACATTCAACGGCTATCTTATTGAGCTCTGGAGACAATATTAACAATGAATTTTGTATCTGAATCTGTCATTTGAAAGTAAATAAGGAAATGATTAGATTTGATGGCAAATGTCTTAATATGTTTGAATACATTGGAGAACTTGACTAAGTTTGCGATCTCACTCCACGTCCATTCTGTCGAATCGCTTCCCTTTCCTTTCTTATTCTTCTTCTTTGATTTAATACTTTCAATCAGTTTTATTGAACCTCTAATTGAACCCTCCTTTGAACGCAAATCATATCTTAACAAAAAATAACAAAATAATTATAATAACATATAATTTAAAAAAAAACTAGTATTTACTTATTGATAGACTCTCTGAAGTTGAATAAAGCGAACTGAAGTAATGAAAACTTTCCATCATTTAGTTGTGAAACTTGTGTGATATCACTCTTAGAGTCGTCGAATTGTTCCTAAAAATTTTAATTGAAGATTGAAATCAATTTGTTTAAAAAATTAGAAAAAAATATTTTTAAATACATGTTTGCTTTCAATCCATAGTGAAGTCTCGTCGCGCTGAGAGCTCTGGTCATTGGATCTCATGTCGTGTCTCTCATTAATGTCTTTATGAATATTACCATTTGTGTGACCATTCATTTCTTCTCTCACTTCATCCTAAAGTCAACCAAAAAAACATATTTTTAATGGTTTTTTTGGTTCACATAAAAGCATAAAACAAATGAAAGGATTGACAACTGAAACGATGTATACCATTCTGTGTGATATATTAGTCACTTCCTGTCTATTCAATGGTACGACTAAATCACACGGGAATATACCTCCTTCTCCTGTTTCCAGTACACCAAAGAGCCAACCTATGAGTTGAGATAATCCATTAGACTTATCACACAAAACAAATAATTTAATCCCAAAACAAAAGTTGTGTATAAATTAGAAAACTTTTTTCTTAAGAAAGAAAATCTTTTTTCACAAATTTTTATTTTATTATTTAAATGGTTTGTCGACAAAATAATAACATTTAATATAATAGTTTATCGACACTATTATGTATATTAATAGACACTAATATATTTTGATTATTTCCAATCGCTTTCAATGGCATAACATTGAGTTTGAACACATAGTCGAAAAAAATTACAAATTTGCGATAATATGAGTGTTTTTCGTTATAACAAACAATTGACTGAAAGATTGTAGATTGAAATGATTGTTAGTCAGTAGTAGTATTAGTAGTGAGGGTCAACACTTACGAAATGCCTGTTCCGCACAGTCAGCCACTGGGAACATACAACTATTTTATAGGACCCATACCATAGGGCACGGGTGTGTGTGTACTACGATATACTGTTAACTATCGACTATTAGCCATAAAAGTTGTGTTAAACTACAAGTTTTGTGACAATCAAATGCATATCTAAAGAAAGCTTCATAAACTGTGATATACTCTATACTACTGTAAAGTATATCACTTGAAGTAACTATTGTTTGAGTCTCATATATATTGTATACCTTGTATTTCAATGACTTTTTTTATTCATTTAGTTTTGTCAGTAATGTCTGTGATCTCAAAATGCATTCAAATGTATAATTATTTGTTATACTGTATTACACAATCATTACATTACATTTTAATATTAGTTTTCTACTGTATATAATAATCTATATTAACATAATATTTATTGAAAGTTAACAATAATACTCTATCAATAATAAATAAGTTTTATAAATAGACAAAATTACTTTCTTCGATAGTATTGTTAGTAATCAAATATAGTAGTAATCAAATATTTTATTTTTGTTAATTTTAAACTATAAATCAAAAATAGTATAAATTATTATTTATTGAATAAGAAAAAATGTTTTTAATTTTAGTTATTTAGTAAAAATATATGAATAATTCTTTTGAAAAAATATATAATAAATTAAACAATTTTTATTATAAATTTCATTCAAAATGTTGTTTATATATATTTACAATTTTTCTAAATTTATTTTAAACCACTATTTTAAATATAATTTCATTTATATGTTAGATATACTAAAAATATCTGTAAAGATATGTTTAAAATTCATATTATCTCGATTTATATGATATAAATCGTGTTTTTGTGCGCTGAACCTAACCTTAATTATTCATAAATTGAGGTTACATTTGAAATTTTATTTTTAAACAAAATAATATCATAACATACATGATATAACGTTAAAAACTTTAAAAATACTGTACTTTATTAATGATTGTTTGTAATTGTTATTATAATTACCATTAAACTTATCGTCATTTGAAATGTCTTAAACAGTAATAATAATAACTAATAACAACAAAACATTATTGTCTAATATTGTTAAGCTATTTGACAAAATGTTTGACAAAATGTTTGATAATAACTCTATTAACATACAATTGTAACATAAAGTATTATATATAAATTATATATAATATTTTTATTGACTTTTATTTTATTTTTATAGTTGTATTCAAACAATAGATTTCAAGTTCTAATAATTTTAAATGTAATTCAATAAAAATTTATATTGTTTTATAATAGTTAAGTCATTGTTAATCAGATATACCTAAGATTATTACTTATCACAAAAATATAAGCTTTTAAATAATTATTTAAAAAAACATATATTTGTAATTATAATTATTTATTTATTTATATAATTAATTTAAATATTGTTATATAACAGACTATTTATTCTTTCTAAAAATCTTAAAATTAATCATTTTTAGTATTATTTTCTACTTTAAATCATTAAGTATTTGCCAAAAAACTGCAGTAATATAGTCATTAGATATTCAAACTCTTTGTTTTTTAAGTTAACATTTTAAAATTATAATATAATTTGTGTCACATCTTTAATTTTAATTTTAAAAACATTTTATTAGTTATTTTTATTAACAGGGTTAAGCAAGGTTTTGGATTTTAGGGGGGGGGGTAGACCGGGATAAAATTTAAAAAATTCTCGAAAAATCTTGGGGGGTATTGGGTGGGGTAAGATTTTTATTGCATTTTTAAACGGCAATTTTTTCGAAAATCCAAAATCAAGGTGGGGGTCAAGAGAAAATTCCCTAATATTCCTTTAAATTCCCGAATATTCCCATGTAAATTCGATAAAGTTCCCACAAGTTCCCGTATAAATTCCCAGGAAAATAGGTAAAATTTCCAAAAATACAAAAAAAATTTAAAAATTAATAAAAACATTTTAATAAAAAATAAAATAATAATGTATTTAAAACTTAAAAATAGTTGATAAAAGCATTAATGATACACTATGAGTTTTTTAGTATTTTAGTAATTTTTAACTTTTAAAATAATTAATTTTTTAAATAATACTTAAAGTTTATAGTTTATAGATATATATTTTTATTTTTAATGTTATTTTTATATAAATACTGACTGAATACTAATTATAAAATTGATTTTTTTTTAATTTTTTAGTTAAAATTTTAAAAAATATTAATAAAATCCTTGTAATATAAGTATTTATTGTTTCATTAACTTGTTAAACTATCTTAAACTTATATTTAAATTGTAATATGGTTACTCTTTTCAACAAATAGGTAATTTTTAATTTTTTAGATTAATATTTTAATTAAAATTATGTTATTTTTAGATGAGTATTAACGTTATTTTAACTTTTTTACTTATTTTTAATCAATAATTTGATTCATATAAATTTTAATAAACATAAAAACACATACTAAAATAGTTTTAATTAAAATTAAAATTTTTTAAAACTTAAAAAAAAATTCGGCGCCTTCGGCACCGAAATTTTAGGGGAGGTCATTTCTCCTCGTTTTTAAGCGACAATTTTTCCCATTTGGTCAAAAAGACTGGGGGGTAAAATCCCAAAATCTCGATCCTAGGGGGGGGTATTTTGGCCTTACCCCCTACCCCCTTACTTAACCCTGTTTTATTAACTATTTATAAATGATGTAATTTAATATATATTTAATTGTTGTATTTTGTAATTCATATGTCTAAGGATTATATAATAACAATAAATAGTCATTATTTTTGTTTTTGATATAATGCAAATTACAATTTAAATTCAATAGTAACAAACAAGTTTTTAAAAAATTAAATTGCATTTATCATTGATAATATAATATTACACAATTTTAATCGCAAATTAATTTGTTAAAAATAAATTAAACTATTTCTTATAAAACCTTTAGTTAATATAATATCTTAAGTGAAAAACTAAAGAGTTATAAAGTGATTTAATTAAAATAATATATTAATATAATATAATATCAATATTATCAATGTTGCATTAGATTAAGAAGATTATTATTTTATGAAATTTTTATATAAATGTGCATGCTACTTTTGGAAAATTATTAGTTAATACATTCTGTATCTTTCATTAATTATTATCTTTAAGTCAATTCATTAAGTATTTAAAGTTTGGTTTTGTATATTATGTATGATTTGTTAAAATATATAATAATTAGGAAATGTTATAAAATGAAAGGATGGGAATACATATTGTTTATCTCTCTCTCTCTCTCCCTCTCTCTCTCTCTCTCCCTCTCTCTCTCTCCTCTCTCTCTCTCTCTCTCTCTCTCTCTCTCTCTCTCTCTATATATATATATATATATATATATATATATATATATATATATAACTCATTCATTAATGTATTAAAAATAATAATTAAATTGAGGAGTTTCATACAATCACATTATATAAACATTATATAGCAAAAAAATCTTATGAGTGACAATAAAATAACCTAAAAAGTATCATTTTAACGGAAGTTATTTTTTTATGTAATAACATATTTTGATGTATAAATAAACACGGAATAAAAAGTCTATTAACTAGAAATCTGTTAAATAATAACAGTATTATATAATATATATTCTTATAATCTTATGGTAATTTTTTTTAATTTTAAAGAAAAATCAGTAAAATTATTTTTAATTATTTTATATTGATCCAAGTTAAGATTATGTCTAATTTACAGTAACATACATAACTATTGATATATATATATATATATATACAGTATATGTTAAAATATTATACTATTATTGTATTGATATATTGATTTAAGTGCAAAAAACAAAAAAGTTTCGTTAAAATTTTGCGATGTGTTAACCATTACAATAATGTTAAGATCAACTGTTGTTTTGCCAAATAATAGTAGTATTGTAAAAATGATTTATTTTTATTAATTTTTTTCTAACTTTTAATTAATAACTATTAAAAAGTTATTTTTGTTGATTTATACGTTCATATTAATAACTAGAGTTTCAATTTCAAGTTATTTAACTATTTTTTACCGATTTCGGAGAATGAGCTCATATTAAATATATGAGTATTTCATATAAAAAATAAGTAATTATAGAATAATCCTTTAATTTAACACAATTTTAGTGATAAAAATGAAAATATATAAAATTAGTAAACTGTAAAATGTAAAAAATGAAGAAAAATAAATTATAGTGATTTAAAACTATTTTTTAGGACATTTAAAATGACAGTCTATTTTAAATAACTATTGTCTGTTAATTTATATACTGTATAATATACAGTGTATATTAGAGAGCGAAAAGTTTCGGACCCGTACCTGATCTGATACCTAAAATCTCGGACTCGGACCTGACCTAACATAGGGTACAAATTTACCTGACCTGACCTGACCTGACTATGTCTGTCCGAAAATAATTTTATCAAAAAACAATTTTATTCATACTATACACTCAACAAATTTCTCTAAATTAACTTTAATTACTCGGTATTAACTGATCGTAGATCTAACTTAGATTCTAATAAAGTTAATATGTTATTATTTATTAAATCAAAACCATCATCTTTTGTAATATTTTATGTTTAATTTATACAAATATTTTATAAATAATAATTTAATAAATTTTGTGTTTGATTGTCATATTTTGTAATAATTGTCGTTTAAATAATGAATAAAATATTTTCAGACCTGACCTGACCAAAAAATTTTGGTGTTCGGACCCGTACCTGACCTGACCTGAGCCCTAACTTTTATCTGACCTGACCTGAAAAATCAGGTCAGTTTTCAGTCTCTAGTGTGTATACAAGTAATATATTGTATACTGTATTGTTTAATAATACTAACAATAATCTCAATAAAATCTTAAGTGTTATTAATTCAAGAATTTTTAATTTCTTTTATATATTTAATTAAATAATAAGTGAATAAAAAACAATTAAAGCAAAACTATTATACAAATTACAAATATTTATATTTCACATCAGATAAGCTGGGATACATTTAAATTACTGGTAAATATTTCAATAATTATCAATAAATTTGTAAATATTTTCAAAAAATAAATATTAAAGTAATGATAATACTGTAGACTCGTTATAAATATTGAAAAAGTTATAAATATATAAATATATAAAATATTTTGTCAAACCTTTATTTATTTGCAAATTCTTATTCTTGAGAATACGAATGATATCATTCTTCCTAATGTTGAGAATCGATGGCTCATCGCTGCTATAGTTTCTTAGAGCTCTAACAAAGTCTATTTGACTCTAAAATTGGTCACAAATTCATATTAGTTTCACTGATAGTCTTATAAATTATTCATATAATGATTACCTCTTGTATTTCTAATGCAAATCTTTCGATTAGACTTTTAATTTGAATTGCCTTTTGAATAAAATAATACAAATTACAAATAAGTGATTTGCTATTACAGTATACTTAATATTATTAGGTCATACTTTTGGTGATATCAATGTTATCCATCCGCCACCACTTAATAGTATCTGAAGAGTACAACTTTTTGGGATAATTACTTCGGAGATATCGTTTAAACTTTAATAAAAAAATAGTTATTTAATTATTATAATTATATATGAATATTGAATTAAATGATGAAACAATACCTAAGTTTATCTAAAACTTTAAGATAATCACAAATGGCATTTCTTTCGCGTTGGATTAATCTGACGCCAGAGTGAGAAATGGCCAGAAAATGAACATTTGGTAAATTTCTTCCGCCGGACACTGGATACAGACGAGCAAAATAAGTGGGCATTTCTCTGACCAAATCAATCAAACTCTTCTGAAACTGGATCTTAGGACAAGACGTTAATACATTGTCGGCATTAATGCCAATCGATTGAAGTTTTGATTGTATCTTAAATTTGTCTTCTTGTGTCAAACGAATACAAGTAACAGAAAAGGCGTCCCTAACTATCTGCAAGAATATCAAGTGAAGTGCCATTGGATTGTCAATGGTTTCTTGAGGAGAGAACACCTGTTAAACAATTAGTTTATATTAATTGAAAATTTAAATCAAATTAACTTTATTTAAAATTTCAAACCTCTTTCCTAACGTTTAATTTCCAATTGACTTTAGAGTAGGTAAGAGATGGTGAGTCGTTTGGCTGATAAAGTTTGGTCTTTATTTTATCTGTTGTTAATTGTTCTTCCCGTGAAATCATCGACAGTGGCGGCGCATCAATTGGGTTAAGAAAGTCATTACTTTCTTCAAAATCATTTCTGTCAAATGATAGTCTGTCTTGAGATAATGACAATCCAATTGGTGGCGGAGGAAGTTTGCGATTACGTTTAGCCATTATTGGAGAATTGGGTGCAAAATAACTACTGGAAGCGGCCAATGATGGCGGACCACTTGTCTGCTTATATAATGGTGTGTGAGTCGACATATTGATTGGTGGCGGAGGCGGCGGAACATTCATTCTTTTAATAGGTTTCGATGAATTCAAGTCATGGTTTATTCGAAGACCAGATGATTGATGATTCATATGACTCGAGGCAATGCTTTCTTCATAAGCAATACTATTTGTGGCACTCATCTCATCGAAGAACACTCTTTCGGGTTCAGTTGAATAACTGAGTCCATCGCCACACTCGGCCTGAATGGTTGAACTTACAGTACCGGTGCGTCTATTAAAAGGTCCCAATTCATCACGTCTTTCACGTATTTCTCTACTCTGAGTTTTCCTGTTTTTCTCTAAACGGTTCGACACATTCTTCGAGAAGTTGTCCGCATGACTGCTATGACTGCTCTCATAATTATTGAGAACCGGAACGCTTTGGGCATACTTTGAGTGTAGACTCTCTCCAGACTCGTCTCTAAAGCCTCGCCGAGCATTAGGGGGAGTCTTATTGCTTTCAATTAAGTTGTTATTATTTCTTAAAGATCCCATCAATTGTTTTTCAAGCAATGCTTTTCTCTGTTCAGATAACTTCTTCACTGATCCAACATTTGCGATGTCATCCATACTTCTGCTTTGCATTGGTGTTCTCTCTCTGTTATCTTTTTTTGATCGTACACTTTGATCGATTGTCAATTGTTCCAATTTAGCCTTCATTTCTGAACTGATTCTTAATTTTCCAATACTTCCCGGAACTACATTACGGATCACTTTTATCTTTTCTTCTCGTTTTACGAGTTTCTCCTGTTTATCAATACTTTCATTGTTTTTGTTTTCTTTATTTTTATTTTGAGGACTTAAAATTCGTGGTTCATTATCATTACTAGTATTATTAGTATGGAAACTAACTTCTTGTGTTACCTGTGTATCACTAAACTGATCCAATCTTTCTTCGTTATTTTTCTCGCATTTCTCCATTTGTTTTTTACGTTTGAATTCAAAGAAATTATTAGCTGGCAATTCATTTGTTTCAGCAGGTGGTGGCCACCGCCATTTACCGATACGGACAGTCTTAGCTCTTCCATAGGCATCAGTTGGTGACAAAGGTGGTGGTGGTGGAGGTGGAGGAGGTGGGGGTGGAATTGAGCCGGGAATTTGAGACCTAGTATTAGTGTCTTTATTTGGAGGTAATGTTGTTTCTAATAATGTAATATTTTCAGTGCTTAATAATAATGTTTGATTGTCGCCAATTGGTGAATGCAATAAAGGTATGGATGGTATTTGAAGTAATGGTGATATTGGAGAAAGTGAAGACATTGGATACGAAACATTTGGTGATGTACTCCCTATACCTTCGCCTGTTTGACCATTGCTTATCGGAGAGTTGGAACTACCAATAGATGACTGGACTAACAATTGCTGAATCTGTTGGTTTTGCTGCAGAAGTTGCTTCTGTATCTCGAGATTCTGTTGTAGTGAAGAAGCGAGGAAAGCCCTTTGTTGCATTTGAACCATTTGCTGGTGAAGAACCTGTTGCTGAATCATCTGAGATGTGTCCACCATTGGCACTGTCATACCCGCAATGTTTGTAAGACTTAATGGCGATGTCATTGAGTTTTGAGATTCATTTTGACCATCAGTTTGACTGATAGGACTATTTGAGTCAATGGTTGTCAATGTATTGAAACTCGAGTTTTGATTGTGTTTTCGATTTGTCTGATAATTAAAAAATTAATTTCAAATTAATTTTGATAATTTTTTTGTAAAGTTATATATATATATATATATACAGTATATATATCTAATCAAGAAAATAATAAACGACTAATAAATTAATATTGAAGTAGAGATAGTGATAAAATTAATATAATAACGTTAATATTAAATATAATAAGTTAGATATAAATGAAAAATAAAGCAAATATATTATATATGTAGTATTAATATTAAAATATAATAGTATAGTATTGTATGAAAATAATTTTATTCATCAAAAATAGTCTATTTATTTATATACCCGCATAAGTCGTATTTATTATATCATATTAAGTACCATCACTTATAAATACATTAGATTATCAATTGAAACAATATTTTAATCCTATGCACTCATATTTTTTATGAATAAAATTAAATGAAATAATTATTTATAGAAATAAGTTTAGTAAAAGATTAAAACAGTGATTATATAAATTTAATAAAATTAAAATACAAATTAATTATTTACTTCAAAATCATTATTTCCTCCGCCTTTCAAAGTGGACACTAATTTGTTGGTCTCAACTAAGCACTCAAATTCATTTGTGTTGATATCTAAATCATTCAATGGATTCATACTTTTGTGATGTTTTTGATTATTTGGCAAACAATTGCTGAGTTGAATATTAGATTTGTATTTTTTATAACTATTACCACCTTTTATTGATGCGGCCAAAGATCGGGCGTCACTTAACTCATCCAGATTTGCATCCAATACCGGATTAAATAAGTCATCTAAATATTGATCTAATTCTGATGTATGCGAAGGGATGCGAATGTTTCGGACGTGAGATGCGAGTGAAGGCGACTCTGATGTATCAGACATCGCGGAACTCCTAATTAAATGGTAATCACTTTCCCGACTAATTGTGCGGTCGATATAAACTTTAGAGTTTAGTGAATGTTTGTTGAGTGTGGGAACCTGTAGTTTACCCAAATGTTTCTGATATCGAGAGTTTTGTTCGATTAACTTATCGTTAAATTCAGCCAATTCTTCATCATTTCTTTCAATAATTGGAAAATCAATTTCATTTTCTGGAGATGACATTTCTGATGATAACGAAGAAGTGGATGAACGACTTGATGGTCGAATCAGATGAGACTTTCGTTGGTGTAATTTTTTAACAGGTGGTCTCTTCGAAGAATTTTCAATGTTTGGCTCAGCAGGTAATGGACGGGAACTCATATTTGTGGCTTTAGGTAGACTATCAGCCAATTGTGTAGAAGTATTTGATTCGTCTTTTAAGTTTGAATGACTTAATAAATTAGGCGAAGAGTTAACATCAGGTCCACTATCACTGCCTTCAGTAAGTGAAGCGGTTTTATGTAAATCAGTTCTGGAGAAGTATCTGTCATTGAGTGCCGAAGAGGCTAAACCCAACTCTTGCATTGAAATACTTCTTTTATTTTGATTAAGTTTTGATTTTTTGTCGCTACTCTTCATATGAATATTTCTTTTCTTTGATTTGAACTCAATGTCGACCATATTTTTCTCCGTTTCTGATTTGTTTGATATATATCTTTGATTCAATTTACTGGTCTCCGAGAGCTGTATTTCTTCATTTTCAGTAATTTGATTGTTATTAAGATATCGTTCATTAAGTTTGCTTTTCTTAGATAAACCCATCTCTTGTTCTCCGTTTGCAATCATTTGACTCTCATTTGTCTCGTTTGAAATGAGTTGTTCTCTCGAAAGAGATCTCGATCTTGGATTTACCTCTGAAGTCATGTCTAATTTAGTCATCGATTGTTGACTCTTATGACCAGTTTCTTGGGAATCGTAGTTAAGATTAAAAGATTGCATTGGTATTGATTCTTCAATATTCAAATCAAGTTTATAAATGCGCTCCGGATTGTGATATCTGAAATCAAATCATCAGATTATTTGTTGAATTGATATTATACTTAAAATACATACGAATTCTGTTTATCGCTTCTCTGTTTATTTCGATCGGCCGTCACTAAGAAGTAGCTTTTGTTGGCCGGGAAAGAACTCGGGATTTCCATTTGCGATATGACATCCATAACATAGTCACTGCCATTGAGACCATATATGTCTCCCTCGTCGTCGAGATCGACAGTCCATCCAAAGCTTGAGTTAATGCCTTTGACTCGAAGTGCTTCCGATGTAAATGCTTCGGCTGTAGTCCAGGAATCGATTGGGGCGTATCTCGTGTCACCTAAAATGCATTATTACAACATATCATATCATATCTCTAGCATTCCTTTAATATCTTTATGTCTTAGCTTATCAGTTATAAGTGTAAATTGTTTGCATACCATCAGAAAAGGTTGTCTCTAAGGCCATATTACACCTCTTTTTGTTGGCTCTCCATTCAAGAAGAGAGAGCGGGTATGTCCTTACATTCAGACTCTCAGACTTCTCACTTTGAAGTAACTGTCATCACAAATGGTGTCATCAATATTAATACCCTTATTATAATTATGTCAATTAATTGTCAAAAGATATACCTGTTTTTGAGTAATGGCTTTGTATCCATCGTATCCGTGATCCGACACATATCTGCAAAGTATTCATAATAATAATTGTTTAAACATAATATTTTATTAAATTATTTTATATTAACTCACTTTAAAATATATTTATAAAGTAAAGGATTGGGAGGAAAGCATGACAAACAGTTAGCTAACAACTGCCATCCTCTCTCATTATTGGCTTCATTGTCATTCTTCCATGTCTGATTACACAATTGGCACAGTATCTCATCCCTGAGCGCTGGGTTTGCCAAACCTTTTTGTATAATATAATCTGCTAAAACTTTTTCCTTTTTTCCGCACAAATTAATATCATTCATAAACCGGAGTATCTGTTAAAAAATTATTAAATTATTAAATTTACTGAAATCTAATAATCAATAATTATTGAAATACCAGTTTAAATATGGCCACTGATTCTTGAAAGTCTGTTTCATTGTTTTTAACCAAAAATGGTGTCTTAATTGGTTCCCTTTTCATACCCCATATATGAGCCCTGAAGTATATATTAGTAAACTTTGTGAACGCGTGATAATCAATATCTGCTGGAAGTCTCCATTTATATCGTATTTGTTTTACATCGCTATTAACTTTTGCTATTTGATGACTTTGATGTACACATTGCCAGTCTATTAATTATTTCAATTAGTTGTTTGTAATACAAGAATAACTACCAAATTATTGATGTCATTATACCATCGATTTTGGTGAATATGAACGCCAATTCTGCGGGTATTTCCAAATGATTAATACCAGTAACAGCTCTGAAATGTCGATCCAATTCATCGACATTTCTATTTGTTAACTCCTTTTGTGATTTTAAATCCGATACTCTCTCGGACTCCAATTGACGATATTTTAATGCTTTTAACTAAAAATATATATTATATATCAATACATTAAAAATATCATTTAAATAATTTTATATAAAATAGAGGTAATAATACTGTACTGTATAATACAAATACAAAAATCCAATTTTAGAAACAATTATTACTATATTTATATTATACAATAGTAAGTGATCACTTTTTTGTGAAACTATTTTATCAATATATGTGAAACACTAATAATTATAATTTTGTATTTTATGTGTTATAATAACACAGATATATAGTATATAAAAATATTAAACAAACTTTTTGATATTCAACTTTCTGTTTCTTCATTTTGAAATTTGCCTGCATTTTGATGACACTATTTCTTAAATTTTTGTACTCTTTTCTCACTTTATATCCCCTATAATATGATTGAATTCTTATAATATTTTTCCGATAATTACAATAACCACGACGTGTTAAATGTGATCTAATATATGATTGAATTTTAATAATCGATGAAATCATTATTTCTTTTCTCTCCTTTTCCAGCGATTGTTGTAATAATTCCTTTAAAAATATCTGTTAAACAAATCGATGAAAACATTATATTAAAAAATACTTTTAAAAATACAATTATTATAAGTCAACAAAAGTTAAGTTACTTTAGTTAAGCCATATTGATATTGTTGGCTATAGGAAGCAATTCTTTCTAATATCATTTTACAGACATCTTTAGATGATTGTCCTCGAGGTGTAAGTGTCTTACTCTGCAGTAAACATCGATATCTAAAAAAAGATATTTAATTATTTTCTAATATGTAGTAATAAAAAAATGTAAAATCAAACCTTAAGGCAAAAATTTGATATTTAAGTCTAATAGGAAATCCCAATTTGCGGATACGTATGGTCTCTAAAATCCCCGAATATCTCAATTGTTCCAAAACTACCGGCACTTCAAACTTCATTGAAGTCTTTTCATTGTTTGGTTTAATACAGCGAACAAACCATGGATTGCAAACCGACATATTATCAATCAACGATTGTAGTGAATCTTGAAATCGCGCCGAAACAGTGGCCGCTCTCGGCTTCATTGTGATGAATCTGCCGTCAGTACGACTATAGGTTTTATTGGCTTCAAATGTTTCGCGAAGATTTTGAAACATCTTTGAAATCATTGGCATTTTGCTACTAATTAACAAATCGATTACATCAGATCTAAGTGTATCCCTGTTTTTGTCAAGAAAGCCGTCAACTGAATACCAGACCTGTCCGGCATAATGTTTGATACCAAACTCCAGACATGACATACGCGGTCGACTATATAGTTCATTGAGTGCGTGATTATAGTGACACTTCTCAAGAAATGATTGATCCGTTGCTTTCGGAAAATTGCTTTCATCGTCGAGAAGCGACAGAATTCCGATCGGTTTTTTGGAAATTAATGATATTATTGACTGATTGTCGGGAAAACTCAATGGTTGCCAATCTATCTTTTCCTTTGTATACTCTAATTGTTCTAATTTGAAGACATGTCTAATAAAATGGGACTGAAGTGTTTCGTTAGCATAATTGATACTCAATTGTTCAAAATTATTGTCCTTAAAATTTTCAAAACCAAAGATATCTAAAATAGCGAGACTTGTCTTTTGGTTTCCTTTATATATCATTAAATTTACTCTTTGGACGAGCCATGAGAACAGACAAGAATATAGGGCTTTAGATATGGCATCCCTGGCATCCAATGCCTGATCAATATTAAGAGGTGAAACTAACTTCTCGTTTCTGGCTTCTGTCACCTTAACAGTCATCGCTTTGAAGATTCCATCTAAAGATAACTGAAGCAAATGCGAGACCCATCTGATCTCAGCATCACTTCCCACTTCGACACCTTCCTGTCCGTGTCTGAATTGTTTGCGATGAAAATATATATTTCCCAAATGAAGAACTGCTGCCAACATACGGAATATAGTGTCCTGTTCTTCATTAGTGAATCCAAGGACTTGCATTGCACTCAATAAAAATCTAAATCCTTCGGCATCGTCTTTACCATCAATTTCACACGACTGACCCTGATTTAAGTAAAAGTACTTTTCAGCGACTTGTAGACCATATTTTTCTTTCTCTTCATTTGTCAGTCCAGTTAATAATTCGTAAAATACATGATAATTGCGTTCATCCTGTGATTGGGTTACAATCCGTGACTTTTCTAATAAATATTCAGTAATTCTGGCGCCGCTTATTATACCACTAGATATCAAAACATTATATATAATTAATTATTATAATATTTAATTTAATGTTATTCTTATTGAATTACTCTTTAAAATAAATTTCCAGATATTTTCCAAAACGACTTGAATTGTTATTTTTAACAGTCTTTGCGTTACCGAAGGATTCGAGCAAAGGTGTGGCCTCTAAGATCTGTTCGGTAATGATATTACTCGAAGATTTGTTAACAGCAGCCAAATATTGCATCAAAAGTTTGGTATTTTCAGTCTTTCCGGCGCCACTCTCACCGCAAACCACAACAACCTGACCTTCGCTGTCGGCATTCATTTTGCTGTAAGCGCTGCTCCCGATGGCAAACAAGTGACTGTAATTGCATTTTTGGTTTAAAACTCATTGCTCTTTATAATCGGCACTAATTATTGTCACTTACGGGGGTAATGTTCCTAATATCTGACTCTCATATTTTTTAACCATATTTAGACCATAGATATCATACATTTTGTAGGGATTTATTGATACTAAAATACTACCAATAAATGTCTAGCATAAATAATTTAAAAAATAATTAATTAAATTAATAATTATTTAAACTTTATCAAAATTGATGCATAATTATCTAAATAATTTAATAAGATTTATATATCCATAAACAGATAAAATTATTGTAACTTATAGTATTAACAAATTAAAAAATGATTGACTACTTAAAATTGATATGCAATTAAAATTATATATGCAATAACAAAACATTTTATTTAAAATTATTAATCCTAATTAAACATTAATAAAATTGTGTGGAAACTAATTACTGATAAATAAATTATTAGAAAATTTTGTGCCAATCGATGAAAAAATTGTAAAAAATTTCAAAGTTAATTAAAAAAATTAAAAGTTAATCGATAAATAAAAGTAAAGTGCTAACCATAAAAAATTGGCAAAATTTTTATTCTTTTTTTTTTGAAAATTATATTTTATATACCAAAAGAATAAATAAAAACAAAAAAAAACTTTAAAGTGAATTAGTTTTTAAAGCAAATATAAATTATTATATATTATGTGATTCTCTCATCTTATGTTAAGACAATTCTTAATTTTTTTATTGAGTGAAACTTATAGAGAATTTTGAAATTTATTTTTATGAATTGTGTCAATAAAATAGTTTTTAAAACACTAACTATGATTACTATAATACGATATATAATATATAATATAATATACAATTTATTGAGAGATAACCAGAAATAAAAGGGTCATTGAATTATTTCGAGATCACGCCCTAAATTCTTATGTATGATATGAACATAAAACATAATTATTTAAATTCAATATATATTAATATAATATAATGCTATTAATGATTATTTAATAATGAATACTTAGAAGTACTCATTGACGAGTCAGTAAAGTTGTCCACAAAAAGTAATTATCACTTAAAACATATGTATATTCTCTTGATTTGGGAAAGTGCAACGTCTGTGTTATTTTCATAGTTTACTTGAAAACTACATTAAATCTAATAACAAGTCATATATATTACGTATATATATATATAGTATATATATTGCTTAATAATAATAATACCGGTATAACTGAACTCATGTGTGTTTTTAAATTCAATAGCGAGAGAGAGAGAGAGAGAGAGAGAGAGAGAGAGAGAGAGAGAGAGAGAGAGAGAGAGAGAGAGAGATCATTGATGACCTAAGAAGAAAATTTTGGCTTTAAGTAAATAATTTAATAGAAATTGCCTCAAGTTTTATACATTTTTTCTTGTCTAACATCTGAGAAAAATGACTTCCCATTTGTGAACATATTATTTCTATTAATAGCAAAATTTGTAATAAAAGTCACAGAATTTTTATATATCGTGTCTACAAATAAAAAATGCTTAGTTTCTCATACAATGTTATCAAAACAAACTCTTTTATTATGTGAATACACTTTTGTTTGATATGATATATAGTGTAATCGACACATGAATTATTATATAAGAAAATATATAACAATAATACCGATAGTGTATTACTATATTATAACTTAATATAAAAACAAAAATAGACTCACATTTATTATTTCTTCATCATATCGTGTCTTAATATTCCAAAGAATTGAAGTTTCATTTAAGTCACTATAAAAATAAACAAAATTTAATTTAAAATTTGTTAAAATTACTTTAATTATGTCAATTGTTTCAATTGATAACTTATTGTCATTGTGTATGTGATATAAGAAAAAATTGCCCCAAAAATGTATTGTAAATTTAATAATATTTTATTACTATACTATACACAGTTTAAAAGTATGTTTTCATAGTATTACTAAAAAATAGAAAATAATTAAAAGTACTAAAAACATTTGGTTAAACATTTATTATTTAAAAAACAAATATAATACAGTATTACTAATATGATTAGGGATAAAATATTATATAAACATATTTATTTGGTAACACGTATTTTACTCATAAATAAACTGCATATTAATGAAGTTGTGGGACCCGGACTGGCACAGGGAGGGGAAATGTCAAAACATTTGGGTGTCAGTGGTTTCAATATTTTCATACAATACTTTTTCATATATATTTAAAAATAGTAAACTTATTTTTTTGCAACAAAAAAAAGAGGCGAATAATTGAGTGAATAGTGAATAACTAATTGTTGTTTCCCTTTGAATGAATAATTTATGCGAAAATCGATATATAAATAGCGCGACATTTTTCTCAATACAAAACTTTAAGATTTCATGAATTTTATTAATCTATTATTAAATATAATAAATCATTGAATACACAACAAAAATTTGGATGTAATTTGTAATGAATTAAATTGTTTTAAATAATAACAACACGTGAGATATTTATGTTCATTATTTATATGGTTTGTGCAGTATATGGTATGTTTAAATTTATTTTATAATTTTATATAAGATATATAAAAACTAAAAATATTAAATGATTTGTTTTCAAATATATTGTTTTTATATATTCGCTTTAATATTGTTTATGATTTTAAACATTTAATCATTTAATTAAAACGTTTATTGCTATAATTTTAAAGTTAAAAAATTGTGTCAGTAATCAATGTCTAAACTATTTTTAGAAAATCTTTTGAAAATTATAAAACTTTGTTAATAAATATTATTTATAAATAATAAAATTTTATTGATGAATTGCAAATATTTTGCAAACAAAGTTCATTGAAAATGTATTTAAAAACTCGTAAAAATACTTTATAATTTTAAATTAAATATTATATTAAACAATTTTAAAATTCAATAAATAAAGAAATATATACTGTATAAATTATAATTCAATTTATAATAAAATAATTTTAGATACTTTTACTTGCAATTAAAAATCACAATTTTAAAATATTTCTAACTTTAAAGTAGGCTAAAGTTTGTAATACTGAATATTATTTTGTTGTTGTAATAAACAATAAGTTACCAAAAGTCCACATATTATATGATAATAAATAATTGGGATTTTTAAAAGATTTTATTTCAGATTTTTATTGCTTTGTTTTTTCATTTAGTTTATATTATAATAACAAAGAATAAAATTATTATTTTTTTTATTTGAATCACTAAACGAGTCGTTAATAAACTTTTGATTTGCTTATAAAATGAGTCAAATAAAAGGTTGTCTGTAGTTATGCATACAATTATAGCTTACAATATACTGAGTAATACTGTACTGTATGTAAATTAATGCACAATTAATTATTTAATATAAACCATAGTTTCTCATGTTATTCAAAACATTAATTGAAGACAATATATGATAAAATTAGAATAATCTAGAAATGATTCCGATTTGTTAAAAGATATTTTTAAATTACTATTATTATAATTTATAAACATTTATTAAATTATAATGAATCAGTTTGTTACCAATTATTATATTGATACATAATATACTGTATATAACTAAATACATATATAAATTTATTTAAGTAAAACTAATACAGTATGCCTTATATATGATAGGTTAGATAATAAAATAAAAACCATAAATTAAAGTCTATTTATTTATTTTAGTAAATCTCTTGAGAATTTGCTTAAACAGATTGATGATTGACTGTAAAATCTTTTGAGTGAATTAATAAAATACATTACACACACAGTTAGGTTATGGTTGTCTTTTTTTTGACCACCAGTTCCTCAGCTCAACCATTTAAATGTGTAATAAATAGACTCTCGAAATAAAATGTGGTTTTATTTCTTTAAGAATTTCTATATATACTGACAAACGAGTTATTCAATTTTGTCGACACTTATAAAGAAATAATTACAAATTATTTAAATGTAATTATAATTTCAATAAATTTTACAAAACTATTTTCAAAAATGAAAAATACATTCAAACAAAAATTTACTGCAAAAAAGTTTTCAATAAAATTTTGATGAGAAAAAATTTTGTCAATTGAATGCCAAACATATTCTCGTTTTATAAAATGCTTTAAATATTAATTATAATTTTTTTTTTGTAAAATCATATTTAAAAATCAATTAATAAGTAAAGTAGTAATTGTTATAATGATTGGCTTTGCGCTTGAATTCAATTATAGTAAATATATCGACATTTTAATTATAGGTAAAGCAATTGTATCTACTTATGGTATAATTTTGAATCAATATTTCAAACCAATTTGAGGCAAACACATAGACATTAGTTATAATTATATATTAATTTATTATTGATTACTATTTTACATTTTAAAATTTCAGAAAAAGGTTATGTTATTTTGTCATTTAGTTTTTTAAATGAAATACAACTTACACTAAGTCTACCATATCGTCGACCCCCTCGTCGGTCAGATCGGGAGGCTTTGAGCAAATGAGACAAATATAGACAAATTAGACAAATGCAGACAAATATAGACCATCTTTTGGTGACCTACCCGTTCCAGATCGTTGTCATCCATTTTATCAATTGATTCACTCAATTAATGACAATTATTAAAAGACGATTGACTTTACAAATATAGATGAAATAGTTGTGAGAACTGAATAGCACTTATTGGAGAGTATAAGCAAAGCTGTCGAAGATTTCATTATTTGACACTTGTTTTGGATATACTCATAGACTCATTGATTAAAAAGTGATGACAAATGGATAACTTAAATGATTATATAAATTGATAACAATTAGCGAACACTTGATATAAAGTGTGTGTAAATTAAATAACTAATAGAAAAGTTTTTTAACAATATTTTTAAACATGAAGAGGAATGACATGAAAGGGGTTAACACAATAGCGGTGATGTTGTGTTTACTTTAAGTGCTGAAACAAAATCATTTGTTGGCATCACTGCTGGTTAGGCCAACTTGGCATCGATGGCATCAACTAAAGGACAGGTATGTTTGTGCTGTGTGTATGTCTTATGTTAAGTGTTATGCCTTTTCTTACATTAACAACAAACTATTGGCTCTCCATTTGAGACGAAAGCTGTTCTACAGGTGTTTCAAACCAAAGATATGGTTATTAAGGGCTTCAATGTTGAGGAATGTGTTCCTTAGCTTAGCTCAAGGCTGTCCCACAGCACAGGTATTACTCGCACTCAGTAATACCTGAGGACTAAAGCACCCCAAGTAATACACAATACATTTAAAACCTTATGCAACAAATGATTTAACTTTTTTCATAATCTTTATGACATCTGGTGTTTGGCGTTAAAAGACAATAATTAATCTAAAAACCGGCAAAAATAGGGCTTAACTGCCATATATAGGCCTAATATGATGAGCCGTCACACTCCCCAGTGGCGCAATTGGTTAGCGCACGGTACTTATATGACAGTGCTTTGTGTGCATTATACTGAGTAATGCCGGGGTTGTGAGTTCGAGCCTCACCTGGGGAATTTTTTTTATCAAATACTTAATAAATAGTATTTTTCAATGATTTTATTTTTTTAATATAATACAAATAATGATATATTATAACAGTAATACTTAAATCATATAATAATCAAACAATGTTAATGTTTTATAAATTAACAATATAAATCATAATAGAAAATTATACTATAATTTAAGTAATTTACATAAAGTTATACAAAAAGATATATAGTTAGAAATTTAACGATACATATAATTTAATTAATATTACGATAATTATAACCAAAATCTATATTATTAAATCATTTTTTAGTACTGTTTTATCTCACAATAAGCATCAATAAAATGATTTATTCCCAAATAATGCAAAACAAATAAAAGTTATTATGAAGTAATAGAGTAATCATTAGTGAATTCATAAATAGTTGATTCATTAGTATTAGACTTATTGGTTGAAAATAGATCGTAATATCGTTGACATAGAGAACGGGACAAACCATGACTGACAAAAATATCACTTTTGTTGCAAATAGTGTCAAAAGAATTGGTGGCAAAAATGAATTTATTAATTCCATACCAAAACAGTGAATAAAGTTGTGTTTCACTGATTGTCGCCGAATCGTCGATTAAACAACAGTTGAATTTGGATTTTGAATTATTTGCAAATTTCGTATAAAATGATCTATCATTTGAAAATAGATCGATACGACCGATGATTACGGAACAGGTGTTCATTAGATCATTCTTCACTTGATTGTAGATTTGGTCGAGAATTAGTGCACTTTCGACAGACAGTTCACTTTGAATGGCAGACGTTTCCAAATATACCAAACATTGTTCATAAAGTGCTTTCTTGTTGTCGTCGATATCCTTCGTTAGCTTATGTTTAATGTTTTTGATAGCATATTGATTCAGATGGAAGTGATGATCTTCCATTTTATAAGTTTTAAGTTTTTTACTTTTCAATATATCCTCAATTTTCTTAAGTGAACTGTCATATGAAGAGGTAATCAACACTTTTTGGCCTTTCAAGACTTCGGATAATGCTATTTGTCGTCCAATTTCAGACAATAAATGTGTTTTATCTGTTGATTTGATTAGAAAGAAATCTGAAGTATTTTCTGAAGAGTTGGTGACGACATCGAAAGCCATTTGAATGCATTCAATCTGTTGTAAATCAAATTTCATTTCATTTACATTCACTACAATACCTGATCTTTTTGTATGAAAAATTGGATTAAATATTTGTTTGCAAATCGGAAACGATTGTAGTTTTATGGCAGCTCTGGCCTGACTTATGTAATAGTGAGCGCATATGATTGGTTCGGCAACTATTAGGGCATCATTTCTTAGAAATAACTCTTCACTACATTTAACAACAAAAGATAGTTCTTCGACAAGAACTGAGTCTACTTTATAATCCTTAAAAAGTCTTAAGTGATTCATTTCTGACTGATTTTCTGAATTCAATTTACGTATTGAGTGATTGTTAACATAAGCCAAATACTTCTTGCGAGTGATAGAGTGTTGAACACTGTTTGGCTTCAATTGGACGGCCGTTTGAAACACTATTAACTGACCGAACTTAAAGAACGGACTCTCTTCGGGATTGAAAATAGATATGCATTTCATTTCGAGTCCATTGTCTGTCTTATCGGATCTCCATTTAGTCAAAACAGAACAGTGTTTACTGTTATTCTTAGCTCTCATACTATACTCGCGTTTCATTTTTAACCACAAATCAGTTAAAATATATGGAATAAATACAGTAAGAAGTTCTTCATGTGAATCAAATTTTATGACTTTACTTATGTCTTGTAATTGTTTTTCCATTGATATATTACTATCCTTTGACTCCAAATCATTGCCATTCAAATCCAACAAATAAGTCATAAACTCTTTGATATTCATTGGAATCATTTCAATGGCATCACAAGTAGTAGTCAATCGATTATTTGAAACAGATTTTGGTTTATCAGTTGGTTCTGATTTAATCCGTTTGTTTTGATTATTGCTTTCAATGAACTCATCGGACGATCGTTTGTGTGATCGTTGAGTGGCGGAGTCGACCACTTGTGAAGTATTAACAATATTAGTGGCACTTAGATCAAGAACCGGTGCATTAGTAGTGGCCGATTGTTCTTCATTATTGTCTTCCTCTTCGTCATCCAATTCATATACTTCTTCATTTCCGTACATATTTTTCATGAAATCATCCGACGATTCGTTGCCATCTTCTTCTTCTTCATTATTATTATTATTATCTTCACCCGACTGTTGTTGACCATCGTTGACAATGTGTGTGTAATCATCTGTATGTGTATTATCTTGTTGTCCATCATTGGTGTCATTCATGTCATTCATGTCTCTATCGTTTGTCTCCACAATTGTCTCCATTTATGTCTAAAATCGCTGTAAATGTGAACCAAATGTCGAAATCATTCGAAAGTATCAAAACATTACATAATATTTAAATCAATCGTTTGGCCGCTTAAGAGATCAATACATAAATAACGTTTTATATACAAACAAATTGTATTTATTATTTTAAGTATAAATAAATAAATCAATTAAATAAATAAAAATTTTAATTTAAGATTTTAAAAATAATTAAATTAATTTGTTGTAAATATTTGATAAAAAATATTTATAATAAATAATAAACCATTTATAAGATAGAATTTTATTAATCATTAAAATTGCGTAATTTATTTACAATTTTATTGTAATTTTTAATATTAATCATACTTTACAAACATAGCAATTGAGTCAAAACTGCCAATTGTTATGCAGTAAAGTAATAGCATTAGGGGTCAAAACTATTATACAACTATAATATTATACATATATTAAGATATTTTCTAAAAACATATTTGAAATAATATTGTTTGTAATAAATGAGAGAAATATATGATTTGATATAATATTCAATGAACTCATAATAAATATTAAATATTATTCACAAATCACTGAATTGTCTGTCAATTCATCGATACATCACTTGAATTGATTCACTTATCTGAAGATATTTATACAGATAATGGATGAATGGTTATCACGTCTTGAGTCGATGCAACTCAAGAGGAGTGAACTAAACCTTTTAATTATGGATTACTTGATGGCCGAGGGATTTAAAGAGGCGGCCGAACGATTCAAATGCGAGGCCAATATAGACACCGAAAAGATGAGTGAAATGGTTAACATCCGCGAGACAAGTGACCAAATGGATAGAAGAATTGAAGTAAGGAATGCCATTGAAGACGGAAAGATCAAAGAAGCCATGAATAAGATTAATGAATACTATCCCGAACTCATCGACAATAACAGACACTTATATTTCAAACTACAGGTAATTATAATCAATTAACTTATAAAATAATTGTTCCCATAATTAATGGTGTGATTTACAGCAACAACAACTGATTGAACTGATCCGCGATCATCTGCTTGAAGAGGCCCTACAGTTCTCACAGCAACAGTTGAGTGTCGACGGAGATTATCTACAACTTCCAGAGCTTGAGAGGACATTATCACTGTTGGCCTTCGAGAAGCCGGAGAACAGTCCGTACGCAGACTTAATGCACGCATCGCACAGACAACAGTTGGCCTCTGAATTAAACGAAGCAATACTTAAGGAGGAATCGGGTGAAGGACACGCAGCAAAACCCAAATTGGTTTCACTCATTAAACTACTTTTGTGGACACAAAATGAGTTGGAGAAGAAAAAAGTAAAGTTTACTAAAATATCAGATCTCATGTCCGCTTCCTTTTCTAATGGCGACTAAAAATCATTCACTTTTTTGACCAAATTTATGTAATATTATTATAATTAATAAAATTTTCGTATTTGTAATTATCTTTATTATTATTATACAGTATAAGTAAAATTATTTTAAACTAATGTCATATACTTTTGTTATTTTCTAAAATTAAAATTTATTTCGCGATTTCGCACAAATTAATCAAAAGTATAAAACAACACTTTATATAATAACATTTTAAAGACATTTCAATATTTGTCATAACCAGGCATTGGGAATGTCTCAGCAAAGGCTTCTACTTTTTCTCTCAGCTCAAGAATTTTTGCCTTAAATTTGTCGGAATTCATTGTCGCAAAAAAGTCTTTAAGCAGAACACCAGGAGATGCCGTTTTGATCTCTTTGGCTAATTTCAGACCTATTGAGATAAATAATATGTAATCAAACCATAATAACCAATCTTTTTATCTCTTTCATACACACCTTCATCAAGGAATTGAACAACTTTTTCGATGTCATTTTCTTTAAGTCCTCTTGTGGTAAGTGCAGGAGTTCCCAATCGAATACCTCCTGGATTTAAAGCGGATTTATCGCCGGGAACTGTATTCTTATTACAGGCCACTGATATTTCCTCCAACACTCTCTCAGCTCGTGCGCCATTAATACCAGTTGGTCTGAGATCAACCCACACGAGATGATTATCAGTACCGCCGGTCACACAGGTATAGCCGCAAGCAATCAAATTCTTTGCCAATGTTTGCGCATTACTGATAACTTGTTTCTGGTATTCAACAAAATCAGGACTCGAGGCCTGTTTCATAGTAGTGGCGATGCCTTAGTTTTATTTATAGATTAAATTTAGATAATTTTATCAAATGAATTCAAATGTCAATTACGGTAAATCAAAATATCAAACAATACCGGCAATAGTGTTGTCATGAGGACCTCCTTGAAGGCCAGGAAAAACTGCTTGATTTATCTTATCTTCGAAGTCATAAAACTCCTTCTCTCCAGATTTGGAAACAGATTTAAGTCCTTTCCTATAGAAGATGACACCAGCGCGCGGACCTCTCAAAGTTTTATGAGTAGTTGTAGTAACAATATCGCAGTACTGGAATGGTGTCGGAACTAATTTGGTGGCCACTAAACCACTTACATGTGCCATATCTGCCATCAAAAGGGCACCATTTTCTGAAGCAATTTCACGGAAACGTTTGTAATCAAGATTTCTTGGGTAACAACTGATTCCGGCAATTATTAGTTTGGGTTTAAATAACTTTGCTGTTCGTTGAAGTTCATCGTAATCTATTAAACCGGTTCCGACATTAATCTTATAAGGCATCGACTCAAAGAATATAGAAGTGGCTGAGATCTTCTTTTTTTCGGTAAAGTATCCATGAGTCAGATGTCCGCCATCAGGTAAATCCAAACCCATGATGCGTCCATGAGGTCCAACCAGTGCTGTATAAACAGCAAAGTTGGCCGGAGATCCCGAGTAAGGCTGAACATTAACACCCCATTCCTCGGGGTTCAGACCATATGTCTCGAGAGATCTTTTTTGTGCCAAACGCTCGATCTCATCGATGATCTCATTTCCGCCATAATATCTAATCATATAATCAATTCATATTTGGTTTAAAAATTTAATATAACATTAAATCTAGTTTCATATATTTATAACTAAATAACAAGTTTTTTCGGAAAATATTTTTAGTTTAACGTATATTCATTAAGTATATGCATAGAGACTCTGTATTACATATTTTTTATATAAACTAATACAGTATTTTACATTTATTTCTCATAAGTAAATAATTAATAGTTAAGCAATAGTCTGGTAATGATAGCACAAACGACAGTTCAAAACTGGTCTATAGAGTCAACTGGTTTGCCGTTTGAATAATAAAATTAATTTTATAAAAACTATTTGATATTATCTAATACTTTAAAATATTAAAATACAAATTTATAACTATAATAGTTAAAAAAAATATTTACAAAAAATGCTTTATTAGTTTTAATAATCAATAGATTGATTGAATATAAAAATTTTATTTTCAATTTATATGATAAATGTTTTCAATGTGAATAAATAGTAATATTTATCAAATCATTTACAGTACTGTATATTAATGTATAGAAATTGATATCTTTTTGTGTCTTAATGTTTGCTTATCAAACAAATTATAAATAATACGAAAAATTTTTGGATAATCGATATATTAAGACAAACCTCTGTCCGGGATATCCCTCGGAATACTTGTTGTGAAGACAAGTACTGAGACATTGAAGAACCGAAAGACTCGTGAAGTTTTCGGAGGCAATCATCTCAAGGCCTCGGATTTGTCGCTTCTTCTCCTTATAGATTAACCCTAAGAGCTCGGGATCGCTCTCATCGAGTGATTGGTTGAGATACCACTTGTTTGAAGACATTTTACGGACAGTTTTTGTCGTTGCAAACAATCGATTGATTTGATGACTTCTAGCGAAGTATCGATGAAAATGGTTAGGAATGTGCTCTAAGACTGCTGTAAAACAATGTAAAGCAAACATTAAATGTTATGGAGATATGGCTTATGGGTTGTCACTAATGCTATGACTTAAATCACATTAAAATGCAGTTATTTTATTCAATCAAATATCTCTTTAATGAAGAGAAAAAAAGTTTTGCAAAACTTTTGCAGACGTGTTATTGCTATCAAAAAACTTGTATTTAAATCAATAGTATTTAGTAGTGGAGGACCAGTATTGGCACAGACTTATAGTCTAACATTTAGTTAAACCAATTGAAGGACATCTCTCATCTGGTTTTGCTTTTTGTAGATAATTTCAAAGATAGACTAATATCGCAAAAGTCATAACACTGTAAACAATGATAAGCGACAAATAATTTGACGATTATTAGCTACAAATCAGTAGATATTATGTTAATAGCACTTATGGTTGACAACACTTACATCTAATAAAGCAATTAATTGTTAAAAATATTTTTTAAACATTGAATCAAATTACTATAAAAGAGATCAACTTCATATACAATACTGTTTTAACAAATCATTTATAATTATATATTTCATACATTTATTTACTTTTCTATTGGACGACAATATATTCAAACAAAAGTGCGCTAAATATTTGTATGATTTTTGCTAATAATAATGACTTAGATGTTACAAATGATTCCCAATTTGTCGTTTATACATGACTTGAACCATTTGATTGGATAGTTGTTATAGCTTTGTAACTAAATCGGATCAATTAGATGACTAAACATATAAATTACTATTTTATATAAATTGTTATATAAATAGATAAAATTGTTAATTATATGATATTAATATATTTTTTAATAACTACAGTATTTATCAATTTTAAATCAATTATATCGTTTACTATTATAAACAATAAGTGATTGTTTTTTAATATTATTTTTTATAATTCATTTAAATTTACTTAAATAGAATTATTACAATTTGCTTTATTAAATTAATAAACTTGAATAAATTTATAATGTACATTAAAATTAACAAGGTTAAATTAATGTGTCAATTGTTGCAAATTGTAATTAAAATTAATATACTGTATATATAATAACTTACTTGTTAGATTGTTTTTATTAGTTGATGTATTAAATTATTATACAAAAATTTATTTAATAGATTTAATATAAAATATAATACCTAATGATATGACAAAAATCAAAGTAAAATCTAAAACAATATTACAAACCAATTTTATTAAGCATTTTATCCTAAAAACATTTAATTTAATAAAAAAATATTAGTACTTTTACTAAATCTTTAAAAATATTAGCTTTTAATTCAATTTTCAAACTAAAGGTAATTTTGGTCCTAAATAATAATGTCACTAATACTGTATAACTATTAATAATAAAAATGCAAACTTCTATACTACCTATAAATCTTATTATTTATTGGTTTGTTTTTTTTTTGTTAAATCATTTTTTGTTGCAAATTTTTGCATTTTTCATCATTTATTAAATACAATATATATATATATATACTAATATAATAATACTTTATATATAGCCTTAATATTTATCATTTCTAATTATGTTATAAGTTATGTATAAAAACAATTTTTATAGTAATATATAAATCTCATTAAACGTTACATTATTTTAAATAATAATAATAATAATCACATGATATATATTGATTTGTATGATAATATTCGCATAAATAGAGAACTTCTACTGTTTTTAAGTTATTATTATTTATAAATACATTAAAATATAAAATAAAATAAAATTTTACTATTCAATATAAATTATGTAACGCCTTTATTGTATAATTAAGTTATACTGTACTAAATATGAACTAGTTTACTTTATTTCTAGTTTACTTTATTTCTAGTTTCTTTATATTTTTGCTTTTTGTAACACAATTTAAACATATTTATGTCATTTTTATTAATTATTTATACAAAATTTCATAGAAAATTGTCTTACATTGTTTCAATATATTAGCAAATCAAATATCATGAGTTAAATATACTGTATATGATATATTTAATTTAATTATTTAATAATATACAGTATAATAAATTATAGTATTTAGTAAAGAAAGCTACTAAAATTTCTATATTTGTATATTATTAATCTATAGTATTTGAATTAAATATTATAATTTAAAGTTGTTTTTTAAAAAATATCATTTTATTAAAGATATCCGTTAGTCGTAATAAGCAATAAATAACATGTGATAACTAGTTATTATTAACAACTGTTAAACTTTTTATGCTGTAATCGTATAAAAAATATTTCAAAATATTTTAAATAGCATATGTTGTTTCAATATAAAGTAACGAAATGATTAAAAAAAAAACATACAACAAATTTAATATAAAATGTAATTATCCAAGATATATTAGTTAACTTAAAACTAAATTTCAATTAAAAAATTAGTTGTATAGTAATTAATACCAGTATTGTTATATTTAAATATATTTTTTAATTATTTTATTACCGATAATTAGATTGTTTAAAAAGTTATATCAGATTGACTACAAATTTTGTAAAAGCATTATTTAATTTTAGATATTTTTGTTTTGTTTATTAATTCTAAATATTTATACAATAAAAATAGTGGTCTTTTATTTTGTAATTCTATTTTTTTGTTGATAAATACAGTATAAATAAATACAAATCAATCAATCAATATATACTTATACTTATATTTTAATAGTTATTTAAAAAATATCTCAAAAAATGCTTATATAAAATTGTTATTATAAAATCGTAAATATTTTTATATACAAATTGAAAATTAAGTTATTTATTTGTACTAATTGTATGACTTGTAAACAACTTTATCATAAAACTTAAAAGTGAAAGTACAGTACTTTGAATGCTAAGATAAATTTTTGTTGATTTAGTATATCAATAAAGTTTACATTAATATAAAATTCAAATTATAAATTATCAAATATTATTTTAGTATATTTAAAATCGACTAATGTTCGTCTAATTAATATATTGTAATGATTGCAATTATAATATGTTTTTAATTTTACTAACAAACAAGTCTTAATCTTAAATAAAAAGTTTATAAAGTATTAATTGAAAATAATTTATTTAAAAAATACAAAATAAAATACTCATTAAATCAATGATTTCATTACAATCATTAACAAAGTTTATATTATGTAAGACATGAGGGAAAAATTAAATCTAAATAATAAATAGTTATATGGTTTTACTTAAAAAACATTTCTCAATATATCTATTTTGTTTATAAGATATATATTGTATGTCCACTATAGAGACAATGCATTTAATTAATGTTTTATATTTTATTCCCTATCAATGATTATTTGTCTTTTAAAAAACATAAACTTTTGAAGTCATAAAACTAATACTTCCCGGTTAGCGATTTATACCAAATTTGATTTCAGAGTACTATAACTATAAACAAATAATAATTAATTTGTACAAACTTTGTACAACCAAACCCTAATAAGTTAAAGACCTCCAAACTTGTCCCATATGTTGCATCAATACTTAGTCCTCCAATGGAGTACTAATGGCAACAATGAATCTGACCTCTTATTGGTAACTATCAGAGCCATAGACCTCAACAATATAAAAACAACTGTTAATTAGATCCCTATATGGGATATAGGATTCATTTTAAGAGATCCACTCATTTATATATAATGTTTTATATATTCAATAATTATCTAACTATTACTTTATATTAATCAATATATTTAATTTAATTGTTATAATTTAATAAATCACAATAATGTTTATCTAATAACTTGTGTCACAATTAATTTACCACTATTTAATACTATTAATTAATAAATTTTTTTTGTTGCTTTTATCACATAATAATTAATAATTTAGACAACTTTCTAAAACTTCAATATATTGCATATTCATATATATTATAATTAATTTCATATTTAAAACAATGAGAATAATAGAAAGCATTGTCAGAAAAAAAATTAATGGCATAAATAGGTTGATAACCATTAGTATTAGTCATAGCGGCTATACGTTAGGTATTAACAATTTGGTCACAACATACATAATAATGATAATACAAATTATAAATTTTGATTTTTTTAAAACCTTCCATAGAGTGCTATACTCCCAGTTAATTGTAATTTTAGTCGATTTTTTAAAAAATCAGTGGTTATTATGGCAATACTATAAAATACATAATCAGATCAGTTCATCCATTGACGACATGCTATACCATAATATCCAAAATTGATATCTCCCTCATCGTATAGGATGTACTCTTTTATTGACCTCAAAATGAGTCTCAAAATAACCGAAAATTATATGCAGCCATATCTTTAGTAATTGAAATCATAAAATGTGTTCAATAATAATAATACTAATTTTAGAAACATTTCGATTATAAAAGTGAAAAATTTATATAAATTTAGTTTTTATAAGTAATACTCGAGATATCGATATTTAAAAAGTTTATGTTTGGGCTTAAAAGTCAGTTAAAAGTAAAAATAACACACAATATTAACATTTAAAAATAGTGTCTAAAAATTAGAAATTTATTAACAATTTTCGGTATGATTTTTAAAAATCGGGTTCCGTGATCTGGTCACTTTCGGTGACGGGATCAAGTTGTTTGGACTTGAATATTAATTGTCTTTATTAATCTGATTTTAAATAAAAGTTTCATTTTTATAAGACATAATTCCGGGATTTAAATATTTAATTTTTTTAAAAATTCTAAAAAATTGTCAGGTGGTGCTTAAATGTCATTTTTTAGTCATGAATTTTACTTTTATTTAATTTTAAAAATTTGAAATCAGAATTTCATACTGAAATGCGACAGACAGACAGACAGACAGACAGACAGACAGACAGACAGACAGACAGACAGACAGACAGACAGACAGACAGATTTATGCATTTCGATAACAAAACTTTTTCAAAGTTTAATAATTTGTGTTACCATTTAATGAACACATTATTTATTAATACAAAACTAAGTTATAATATTATAAACTAATTTTGCATTTATAGATATATAGTTTAAACATTTGTCTTTTTATAATTCTAAGCCTAGAATTATCAGATGAACTTCAGGTTCAGTTTAGGATCAGTGATCAGTCATAATATTGTACTCAGAAATAGTGAACATAAGAAACGTGTACTCAGTTTTTAAATTTGGTTAAAATATAATTTTTCATTTAAGATATTGTATTCAAGTGGTAGTTATAAACCATTATTAATAAATTATTTAAAGCAATAATAATTTTTATTCCAAATAATTTGCTAAACGACTAAAATTTTAAAGTATTATTAATATAAGTTACAGTATTTTAAATGACAATTAATAAAAAAAATATTATATAATATTGATTTATTATATATTATAAATTTTCAATAATTAATCAATAACATATATTTTAATATTACAATATACAGTACTGTACATACAGTAAAATAAATTATAATAATATTTATGAATTATAAGTATTTATTGATAACAGACTCGTGTATATTTGATAGAAGTTTGATTGTGTGATTAAATTAGCACTTTTTATATTAATAATGTGTAAAATTAGTAAATAAATATATTTTTAATTAATTGATAAACATTGACAGCTATTTTTATTATTTTTAAATAAAATACATTACAATTAGATTTCAATTTTGGATTGAAGTCATATTACCGGTAAATGCTCTGTTTATTAGAGAAAATAACTTTTTAATTTGAAATAATTATTTTCAACACATATTTGACTTTTTAAAAAATGAGATTTAAAAAAGGGTAAAGACCTGGGATATTGAAAAACTCATTAATTTAATTATATATTATTATACTTATGTTTGTAATTACGACAAAAGATACATTTCATGTAAATCTATCAGAAATGAGTCATAAAGTGTTTGAATATTTTATAAAAGATATCTACAAAACAATTATTTCAGCTTAAAATCAAATAGCGTTTAAAAATGTTATTTTATGATGCATTCACTGATTTTTTTATAAAATATATTTATGACAAATTGCTTGTATGTTATATAAGCTATTAATATGTAATTTTGTATATAATATTTAAATGAATTAGATTAACAATAATAATAACAAAATCTCATTAAATGTTAATTAATAATATAATGTATGTGATAGTTGTTTTATTTATTATGCTATAATATAATGTTATATACAATATATTTAATTATAAAATGTTTGACAACAAAAAACAATAAATTGATAATAAAACAAATGACAACTAATATTACAATTTAGAGACCAATTGAATGAAAGAATTACAACTTTACAAGTTTGCCGTCTATTGTCACTATAGTGTGTATACACTGTATAAGTCTCTCAATTTAAATATTCTGTAGTTTTTCATTGAGTTTACAATTTTCAGAGCAAATACTAGAAAAAGGGTGTCTTTTGAAGACATGTCTGTGCGATACCAGGAAAATGATATTATATAAGACATAATGGCCTTCAATGTAATGCTATTTCTAAATATTTATTCACTTTTAAAAAAACTAATTTTTATTTTAAAAATACAATTTTTTCTTCAATTCATATGTTTTACATATTCACGATATTATTTTAATTATCTAATCATTGATTGTATGGTATTTGTAATTTAATATATCTTTTGGCTCTATAGTGAAGGTCTCTATTTAGTTACAAATTTCAACACTTTTTTCCGATTCAAATATCATTGATATTTATTTACAAATTTTATTATATATCACAAAATATTGTATAATTAGTTGATAGTTAATGAAAAAATATTTTGAATAACTAAATACACACTTTATATAAAGTACTACATATTGTCATTTAAAACAAATATTGTGGTAATAATAATAAATAAATAACTAAATAACTAAATAAATAAATAAATAAATAAATAAATAAATAAATAAATAATTGTTAATATTTAAAAGTATATAAACTAATGATTAATTATATAAAAACATTGATCAATATTAGCGTTAATTAACACAAGTTTGTTAATCTACAATATAATAGTCTGTATTAAACTTCAATACAGTATATAATATTAATGGCAAATATTAGTCTATTTTTATTTGTTTCAGTGTTTTAACTGTATATTCAATTTATAAAATCTAGGTTTCAATGATTATATACAGTATATTCTCGTTATATTAGCGTATATATAGATTAGTAAGAATTGTATTTTAATTATAGTTATTGTATTTTTGTTAGTATTATATATATATTAATAATATAATTATATTTATATTATTAAAAGTAAGGATTATTTGATTGAAATCTATTAAATTGTTTGATATATCCGATGGTATTATATATGTTATAAAGTATTTGATTAATAAATGTGTGTCTATTTGTCTATTTGTCTATTAGACTAATGCTATAATATAAGCACGTCTTGAGTACCGATAGTCCGATAGCAACCCATTGACAGTAGAGAGAGGAGAGTATATGCCATATACTATATGGTATAATGTTATGTATAATGTATGATATACTGTATATTGTAGTACTAATACAGTATGCGTTGGCACTGGTAGTGACAACACAGACAACAGGTTTGCAGTGTTTAAGCCAATCGTGTTTAGCGTTGCGCTCAACACTAGAGTATATGCATTGACTGATTGAATGTAGTGTTTGTATGTTATAATGATATCTAAAATGGCTTCACTCATAGTCGGCCATATCGTTGTCCAACTGTTATGATATTTCGGTCATCACTACTGTGATTACGGGTAAGTCTATACCAATATCAACACCAATACTGTCACACTATATATCTATATATATATATATATATAGGAATATATATTTATTATCATATATCAATTGATAGTGTGTATGTGCACCAGTATGTTATGCTACCTGTGCCAACATCGTCACCCGTGACCCGATAACTAGTGTTTTGAAATACCTTAAGTGCTATTAAGTGACAATCCATTGAATGACACTGTTATGTAATGATGGCATTGATGTGTCTTTTGATTTGTTTGATATGTCATATGATTTGCATGTTTTGTGTCCACCAAAGCCTCGAAACCTTTTAATTAAATGCATTTAAGTCTTTAATTTGTATTTCATTTAACATTTTATTGTTTATTATTATTGAATGATTTGTTATTAATATTTTTATACAAATTGTGTAACAAATAGTGTCTGTATTTATGTTATGTTTTTGTTGTCTTACATATTATAATCGAAATATTATATTATTATTATTTATTAAGAGAGCAGAGAGAGAGAGAGTATGTATTGAGTGTGTGTGTGTATACAGCAGTGTGTGTGTGTATAGGAGAGTATGCTGTCAATACAGTAGTGCTATAAATGTTAAGCAATGGTAGTGCCAATAGTGCTCTACTATAGCTAATAGCTTGATATGTATGTATGTTTGGGCACATAATTAGAGGCATAGAGTTGTTGGTTGACTTGTGTGTCTCATATGAGTTCCATCAGCAAAGCATATATTGACTATATATGAGCGCAAACTCACAATAAGCTAACTGTGCTCTTAACACAACCCAATCTCAATGTATGGCTAACCAAATAGTCTAAGAATTTAACATTTTATTAATATTTATAATGTTTTTAATTAATATTTTTAAGAGTAATTATCTATTGCTATACATATTTTAATTGAAGTATAAATGGTGTTAATTATTGTGAATATCATATATTGTCGATCTATTTGACAAATTGGTGATAATTTAGTGACATTTGTTGGTAATGATTGACTAGTGATGTATATATTATTTTAATACAATGTTATATATGATTGCAGACACAAGTAATCAACGAAGAGATTTAATCGTTGATAGTCTTGAAGATTACTCATAATTTAGAGCCCATTGTTGTCACAAGTGATTTGTTATAATCGCAAGCAATGGGTCTTCACGGCGGCGGTGAAGAGTCAGTGACGAGTGGATCGAGTGGTTGGGGATCTCTGCCACCGATGAGCTCATCGTCAGCCGAATGGGGCAGTAGTGGTAATACTGCAACTCTTAATTCAAGTGCTAATCATTGGCCAAATAATAATTCGCGACAAAACGCGATCTGTGATCAAACTCTGTCGACATCTCCCAAGCCTTCGAGTTCATGGGCACAGGCGGCAGGTAAAGGACTGAACAATGGACCAATTGGACCAAACCATGATCTCAGTGTGTTTGGCAATAATGACAATTCCACTAAAAGACAAACCAATAGTGATTTGCAACAATTGTCTAATGATAAAGACACGGTTCTCATCAATGACAACTGGGGAATAACTGTAAGACATATACAGTATAACAGTATATGAGATATAATGTAATAATACATTGATTAATAGGTGATAAACCAGGACAGCCCCTGGAAACTCCCTCCGTCCCCTCAGTCGAGTCCAAAAGAGTGTAACAGTGGTTCGCAGTGGAAGAGTAGCACAAAAGGAACTGAGATCTGGGAAAATACCGTCCGTCGCAAAGGACCGACGCCTACGCCCACATCAATGTCCTCGTCGTCATCATCCTGGGGTCACCACACACACACTCACACTCCCTCTACTCATATCGGTGGCACCTGGGGTGAGGAAGAGGACTCTAGCAATCACTGGACAGGTGTTCCTCAAGTGAATAATAATAATAACAATCCCAATAATAATAATAATAATATTAATCCCAATAATAATAATATTAATCCTAATAATAATAATATTAATCCTAATAATAATAATAATAACATTAATAATAATAATAATCCCAATAATAATGCCAACAATTGGACGAACAATGGTTCGAATAATTCTAATAATGGCAACAATGGTAACAATAACTCAAATATGCAGTGGAATCACAACATTGATAAGGTTGAGACCAATTCAAGACACAGTTCTGAAGGTAGAGAAAATAGACCGAAAACTAATCATAACTCTAATTGGTCTGAATTTGGTGTAACAAATGGTGAGTCAATTTGATGATAATGATTGATAAAAGTTGTTACAAATGAAATACTGTTTAATAGAACAAAATGATTCCAATGGACCCGACTCTTCATGGAGTGAACCCAAATCTGATCAGTCGTTCGGCACTTGGGCTCCGGAGTCGACTCATAAAAAGGATCCAAACTCTTCCGGTTGGGATAAAGATTCAAGCGACAGCCACGGCGGTAATTTTGATGACGGAACCGCTGTTTGGGGTAATCCTGTCCGTCAAGGAAAGGTATCACATTGGAAGGAACAGTCGCAAACTGCCAAACAACAACAACAACAACAGCAACAACATCATCATCAACAACAACAGCAACCCATGAACCCACAAAACTCAAATCCAAACGGCAATAACTTGAGTGGAATTTCTGCAATGATTCCTTCTAGTCCTGGAATGATTCGATTGCCCGCCGGTGCGCCCATATCTGGTAAAAACGGTGACAGTTGGAGTAAACCCTCTCCGCCCATTCAGACTAATAGAGGTAACTCATGGTCAGAGACATCTACTCGTGATTCTCCGTCAAACAATTCGGTTTCACTTTGGGGTGATTCCGACAATAAAAACAGTTCAGTTCGTACACCGAATACTCCGAATTGGGCCGAGTCTTCGAACTCTAGTCCACTGGCCTATTGGGCAGCAAAGCCAAAGGCAACTAATAATCCCAATGCAAACTGGAGTGACGGCCAGATAGACACAAGCAGTTGGGGCGGACCTAAACAGGGAAAGCCTCTCTCCAGAGATATTATATGGGCGAGTAAACAGTTCCGCATTCTTACTGAAATGGGCTTCAAGGTATTGGACAGTTAGACACACTGATTGACCACTTATTCGTTACTAACACATAATATCTTATATTAATTTAATGTCTAATAATTTGATTGATTTCACAGAAAGAAGATATCGAGAATTCTTTGCGTAACAGTTCGATGAAACTCGAGGAAGCAATTAGTAAGATATTGATTACAGTTAGTAGTAGTAGTATATTAACGAAATTATTGCTTTTTAAGTTGAATTGAAGAACTCTTCCACTCGTGATTCAAATGCCATGGATTTGGATGGTTTGCAGCGGTTAAAGGTAATAATAATTAGATTATACTGTATTAATTATTTTTGAAACTAAAATTACCGGTAATAATAAAATTGTTAAAATAGGGATCAGGAATGGGTTCGAGCAATACTCCTAGTCTACTTAGCAACACATCAGGCATTGCCAACTCTAGTCTTTCCAGTATTAACCGAAACCCTTTGGGATCAATTCTACCGCCACCACCACCACATCAATCAACAGCTCAGACACAGTCATTCACACAAGTAGTTTATTATATCGATGTACATATAGTCCATAATTTTCTAAACATTGTTATTGTTAAAATTAGGCCAATCAGGTTCAAAGTGCCTTAGGATCGAACCCGAATGGAAGTCGCATCGGTGGTAGCGCACAGTCCAATCAGCCCAATGCAGCTCAGCTCCGACTTTTGGTACAACAGATACAGCTGGCAGTTCAAGCCGGACATCTCAATGCACAGGTAGGCATCAGATGAAAGGACTGATTAAGTATTTGTTGAGTAATTATTTTAAATTTCTTACAGATCTTGAACCAACCTCTGGCACCTCCAACATTGCATTTGTTATATCAGTTATTACAACAAATCCGAATCTTACATCAGTTGCAAATCTCAGCAAATCAGCACTTAAGCAAAACCGGTCCCACAAATGCTGGTGGAGTGCCGGCCATCCAGTCGTCAATTAATGTACAAATCACTCAAACGAAACAACGCATTCTTAACTTTCAGAACCAAATCGCTGCCCAACAGGCGATCTTCCTGAAGGAACAGCAACAGAGCCAACATATTGTTACACAAACTCCTAACTCTATGAACAGCGGCGCCAATACATCGACGCCATTGATTTCACAACAAACTGCAAATAATGATTTTTTTAAGAGTCCACAACAAGACAATACACTTGTGATAAACAATGACAGAGAACTTGGCCCTCAATCGTTGTCCCGCTTTCAGACCACTTGGAAGCAAGGATTTACAAAGGATGACATGAAAGTGAATAATATAATAACCAATGATTTTAGTCGAGCTCCCGGACCTATGCCTAAACACAATGGCTTAACACGAAATGATGTCTCCAATTGGACTGCCTTTGGCCAAACTGACGAATTAGGCGGTTGGCCTTCGGATATGACTGTTAACTCACTTTCCGGTGCGACTCTTCCAAAGCACAATGACTTAAAAGATATTTCAAATTCTCTGTCCAACGCTATTCCCGATGCTTATAATCTGAATGATTTGGTGCCAGAGTTTGAGCCGGGAAAACCATGGAAAGGTAACTCGAGTCTCAAAAGTATTGAAGACGACCCGACTATTACTCCGGGTAGTGTTAATCGTTCTCCACTTTCAATTAACACAATCAAAGATCCACTTTTTAATTGGCCCTCAAAACTAAGTCCTGGAACTCCTAATACAAATGCTGATTCCTTATTGTCATTGTCTTCAAGTACATGGGCTTTCACTCCGCCTTCAAATTCGCACATTTATAATACTGTTGACAATAATAAAACAAAGAATAACCTAAAATCCCCGTCCAATTGGGCTGAGCCTCAATTGAACTCATGCACTGATAATCTGTGGAGTGGCGGTTCTGTTTCCAAGACAAGAGGACCCCCTCCAGGATTAACGCCTCAGATCAAAAGTCCGGCCACAACTCTGTCTAACTCTGGAGCTGTCAATCAGACAGTGAGCTCAGCTCACACTCTCTGGAATTCAGACAATCGTCATAACGGCTCGGAGTTTCTCTTACTCCGCAATCTTACGCCTCAAGTATATCCTAGAGATATGAAAGTTATGTTTAATAATTAATATATATTTTGTTAATTTATTGAATAGATTGATGGTTCGACCCTCAAGACATTATGTCTACAACACGGGCCGTTGCAGTTATTTCACTTATTTTTAAATCATGGCATTGCACTGACTCGATACTCAACCCGTGAAGAGGCCATCAAAGCGCAGTCAGCTTTGAATAATTGTGTTTTAGGCAATACTTCAATATTGGCTGATATTCCACAAGAGGCTGAGGTTCAACAATATCTGCAGCTTATTCAAGGTGGTGGTCAACAAATTGCATCGAATCCCCTAAACTGGTCTCAAAACGGCCAAAACAACAGTTCATCAAATGGCGTGAATCAGTCATCGAGTCTGTATCGTAACGCCAACAGCTCTCTCCAATTTGCCGGAAACTCCACATCGAATCCATCAAAGATGGAGTCGAGTACTACCTCTCCGGGTTGGAACACATCAAGTATAGGCATGTGGGGATTTGCCAATTCCGGCAATAACTTATGGAGCGCTCCCAGTGCTCAAGACAGGAGCACTCCCTCATCAATCCAAAGTCTATTACCCGGCGATTTACTTGGAAGTGAAACTAATTAACTGCTTAACCGCACCAAAGGTAGGCCTCACTCATGCGACTCCTTCTCATCTATACATTTCTTGCATCTTATTTTATTTATACATTGATATATATAAATATATATATAAATATATACAGTATATATTTGTTGTTTTAAATTATTAATTATGTTTGATATAAAAGTATCAGAAATTGCATAGACATGAGGTCCGACCAAATTATGGTGTTTTTAATGAACAATTTGACAACAATTACATTACACACAAAATATTTTACAAAATATAAAACAAATCATTTTAAACAAACACAAACATTGACACACATTTGTATTTTGACATATTTTGAACTCAAATTAACATTAAACCAATGATTTAAATGCCATTACATTCTGAATAGCAATCATTTGCAATCAATTTATATAAAGTGATTGCTATCGGAATAATCGCCAAATTAATTGTGCTTTTAATGAGCGCTATTTTGACGCAAACAAATCAATACAATAATACAATTTATTTAATTATTATTATTATTAAATATTATATTATTAGTATATTATTAAAAAAAACATTTTTGTGTTTTATTTTCAACGTTTTAAATGATAGTGTGATTTACTAATTTTAGAGCAAATACCACTTCTTATTATTATTTTTATTATTATATAAAAAGAAATATCAAATTTGTGCGAATTATTAAACCCAGAATTGATGACTCTATTTATTATTTTATTTTTTGAGAAAAGCGATGAACTGACCACACGATGGACCACATCATCACACACTTGTTGGCCATCACCGGTCGGATCAGTTCATTGCAATCTTGTGATACTTCGCGTGCTTTATAGTTATTGACGACTTTCCAAACAAATTCAATATTAATATTAATAAATAGTGTATTATTATTATTATTCATAAAAAGTGAAAAAATAACAAAAAAAAGTAAAAATAGTTTATAATTTTGTGTATATATTATTGATATAAATATATTATTATTATTATTAAATGTTCTAAATGTATGATATAAGCGGGTAATCGTTGTTATTATGGTTAAGACTATACGTTAATTCCTTTTAATTTTAAGGTTGCGGTGCTTTTTGCTCAGTGATCACATGTGGGCGCCGTATACCACAGTCTACGATATTTTCTAATTTAAATGTTTAACATAAAAACTATTTGACAAAATAGATATTATCATCATTTAAATTGGCTCACTATTTCATAATTTAGTGCTGATTTTGAATCAATATTTTTTGTCACAAACTTTGCTAATCATTACGAGAAAAATGCACAATAAAGCGAAACAAATATTTAAACTATTGAAACTGAATTATTATAAAACAATAATTTGTAAAACACTTATTGATTGATTGATAGGAAATTAGTTATTAATTTAATTAACTAAAATAAGAGATGTATTTGAATAGTTGACATATAAATATAGTGCATAATTGTTAGCAATCATTGATGAGTCAAATTGTGATTTGAGATACCATTTCAAGTGCATTGATGTATTGATGTTCAATATTTCATTACAAATCCATTATATCGATGCACTAATAAATGCTTAATTTCATTAAATCATTAGTTCATTATTACATAGTTTTTAGTTCATTAATCGGTGAATTGCATCTATTTCTCCATATTATTAATATTATTGCACAACTAATTGAATGATATAATTATCACTATTTTATCAACAAAACAAACAAATAAGTCAATACTTCAGTAGAATCGATGCATAACTGTATCGATAAATCTCTAATTTATAGGCTCTTTCTGTGCCTTTTGATTAACAATCGACCTCTCGGTTATTGATTGATAATAAATATATTGCATATATTTATCTCAAGAGCTCACCAATTGTGATGTCCCACCAAAAAGGACATGGATTCTCTAAATTATATAATTCAATATTAATTGATCAAAACATAGTTTTAAAAATTATTTAATTAAAATGAACTTTTAAGATGCATTCAGAACTACTATAATTTATTACAATTGTGTATATCAAAAGTTAGTCTAAATTTTATTACTCGTATCACTTAACTTATGCTCTGATTTTAAATCATTAGCATTTATATAATGAAATAAATAAGATTATCATTTATCACACACACATATATATTATATATATAAATATAATTTTTAGAAACTTAAAGTGATTAATAAAAGTCTTACAAATAAATACTTGAAGAGTCATTCAATTATTATATACATTCCTAAAGAATATTCTGTTTTTATTTTAAAAAATTGCTTCAATAAAAGCATTAATTAGTTATAAAAAGATATTATTGTAAATGTAATTATAATAATTATTATATGTTTTAATACAAAAGCGGTGCTTTCTTTTTTAAGTCTAAGTTGCTTTTAATCTTCCCATAAATCTATGCCATAAACCCAAACAAATTTCAAAAACGACGACTTGTTGTGAATATACTGTTGTTGATAATTAAATAAATTAACAAATAATTTATTAATTTAATAAATGTGACATTTTTATAAAATTAATTATTAAATTTTATCACATATTATCTAATCAGGCAATGGGATACACACCAGTTAGTTAGCCTTTTTTATTTAAAAATTGATGAGTCCATTGTCCTCATAAATCCCAGGTTTCAAAGCTGGTTGTGTATATCCAAATGGTTGACTGGCCATCAACTCTAGCCTCAAAATAGCCCACTGCATATACCTTAAAGTATGGCACTGTCATATTAGGTCAGGGCTGGACAGTGTCTTCCCTTTTTTGATGAGGTTTTTTTTTGGTGCACCAAAAATGTTGTGTTGTGTTATTAAGTATATTAATATATAACTTATAATTCTTTATTCCGTTAAAGCATTTCTTTGTTTTTAAGTTTATTAAAATAATTAAAATTATTATTATTATGAAAAACAATTTTGAACGCATTTTCAACACATTGTGCTGGCTAAATGATCTCTCATGACAACTAATTATTATGAATAATTAATTATATAAATTAACTCAAATAACAATAATTTTGACACAAAATTAATAAAAAGCAAACAAAAAGTTTTTTTCAAATGATGTATGACTTATGCATTGAACGAATTCATTATAATAATGAGTTTACTCTCAAGTATTTCATACAATCATATAAAGCCTATAATATGAACATATTTTTGGACTAATTTTGCAGTTATTAAATAAATTTATTACAAAAATATAGGTTTTATTTTGTTCCTACATTTAAATGTCCAAAAAATTGATTTTTATTGTAATAAAAATATCGAAAGCCTTAATTGCTATCTATATATTATAGTTGGAGCCAAATAATTACAGTAAAAATTGTTTGATTTAGTCAATGACTTTGAAAATAATTGATTTTCATTAACAATTGATTGCTCTTTTTTGTTAATATGCAATCATTGTGTGTGCATTTGTGTGAATGTGTTATTTTTATATTAACTAAAAGTGTGTGAAATTTGTTAATGAAAATTCAACTGAGTTTTTCATAAGTTATTTTTGACTAATTGAAGCAAATTTTACTTTTGAAACATTTAACAAAAAAATGATAGAATTGTTTTAAAGCATTAAAATTGAAGATAAGATGATATTAAATGATAATTAATTGCATTCCACACATCATTGATAGTGTTGTATGCGATAAATGCATTATTATTATTATTATTATAATATATTACTTATATGATTGACTTTAATTAATAGATTATTTAATGATATTATTCTTATAGTGAATTGTACTGAAATATTATTATTATTATTATTAAAGATATTATAAATCTTTGTTCAAAAGCCAAAATCAAATACTTTTTACATCTCTTATCTCTCAATAATAAGTAGTATTGTATTGAATGACAATTTTATAGAGTTTAAGTTGATATGATTTGATTTTATTAATTGTGACAAAAATTTCTATTATTTTATTATTATTATTTGTTTATGTATTTTAAGTATATTAAAGATCTCAACAAATTATTTTAACTAAGACATCATTTCTTTGAAATTATGATCTAAATTATTGAAATTTATAATTAAAAAACAATTGTAAAACCACTATTATAATCATGTATGGGTTGATTTTAACGATTTTATAACTTAATTGTAATTTTATTTTTGTTTTTATACACTACACATACAAAACACAATAAAATTTATATGTAAAACAAAAAAAAAATGATAATTAATATCTAGTCATGACATTTGAATCACAAAACATAGTATTGAATTTCCAGTATATTTACACCAAAAAAGGGTTACATGATATATATATATATATATATTGTATATACAGTATATATATACATATATATAAAAATTGAGAGAAACGACTGTTATGACAAATTATATGTCAAAATATATTTTAGATTTTTTATTTATAAAAACAAATTGTATAACAAAAAGATGCAAAAATACACTCAAAATATGTAAACGAATACAAAATTATTTGCCCGTAAAATTGATTGTGGTTTTTGTTACAATAATGTGTTACAAAAAATATATAATTATTTTAAAAACGATATCAAAAAACTAATTGTTAAACTTCTGCCAAAAATGCAAAGTATAGATATTGTATGTATCGAAGTGCTGCCTATTTTTAAAAAATCCAAAATATGGCTCTAATCCTAATCTTATCGCTTAATACTGTATATCAATTATTATTATAAGTTAACAATAAAATTAATTAAAAATATGTTTTGTTTATTTATTTATTGATATTATGCCATTATATAACTGATAATTAATGTTTATTTTTAAAGATAATTTATATCAATGTTACAAATAAAAGGTGTTTATCCTTAAAGGTAAGTAATTATATTTGTGAGTAAATATAATATATTTCAATGTTATTTATTAACATTTTTATTATATAACTTTTTGTTATGAATATTTAATTTACCAAACGTTTTATTTACTAATTAAATTTCTTTAGTAATGTGTTTAAAAAATCATAATATTTTCCTAATAATTGTTTCAATATTACTAACAATTATTGTAATTAATGTATTGATGTATTCACCACACAAATTAATATAACTTATTTATTACTAAATGTATGCCAAAATGCTATTCATCTTTATATACAGTACAGTATAGTACAGTTTATTTATAAAAAAAAGTTATACAAAAGTTGTTTACATTGCAAGTAGTGATTTAATTTTTAGTATATTTAACTTTATTTTATGTATTTTTAATAATAAAAATTATATTACCAATTGTTATTAATTTTATTGTATTTTATGCTAAATTATAAATAAAATACAAAATAATAATTATTCATTGAATATATTTATTTTATTTGCCAAAAAATTCTTAATTATATGACCTCCAGTTTCCTTTGAAGACACCCATCATTATAAAGGGTAATAAATCGGACCAAAAAAACAAACAATATATATATAATTTATGAAATAATTGTTTAAAAAGAAGTCTATAGTCGTGAAAACCTTCGAAGAAAATAATCACAAAATTAAAAAAAAACAAATTTAGGCTAAATTTTGGTCAATTCTGGTGAGAACCGGTTGAACTTGAGATACATTAATAAGCAATTAAATACACATTTTAAATAAAAATAATATTTTATTGTCATATTTATTGCATAGTTTTTATTTGACATAAATTCATCAAAATTAATATATAATAATTTTGATCTTTCCCTTTAAAGTCGTATTACTTATACTAAAATATATTATAATATTATAATATCGTAATTATACTGTAATATACTGTTAAACAGCAATTAAGTCAATAATTGGGAATTTGTCTAAAATATTGAATAATAACGATCACTGCCATTGAAATGATAGCTAAACTAAGACTCAATTGATTTCTATGAATATATGAATTAAATGATTTCATATTCAATTAGTATTTCTCAGTTCAAATTGCATTATAATTATACATTACAAACAAAACGTGATTTTTATTTTGTTTTCTTTTATTAAATTTCAATTTAAAATTACATTTACACAAATAGTTGACGACTTATATTTTGGAGCAAAATAAAACTTTTTAATATTTAATATCATAAAACATTTTCATTTGTAGTTTTGATTTCAAGTTATTTCGCAATAATATTATTTGGTGTTATGTCCTGCAGTGTATAATACACTGTGTAGTATGCAATCTATAAAATACTTTAAATTAATTATTTGTAATCACAAATTATAGCAAATTTTAGGTAAGATATATATTTATTTTATACATATTTTACAATATTGAATTAAGAAAAATATTTGACATAACTTTAATTAGCAACTATTAACTCAGCTATTATTTTAAATAAAATATTATTTTAAACATAATTTAAATATTATATAATTATTATCAAACAAAAAGTAATCATACATTTATAAGTATAATTTATATACAGGTAAAATTGTTAATGGCAAATATTAAATTATTAATGTATATTATTAAGTTAAATGACAATAAAGAGTAATAATCAATTAGTAATAACAATTTATTTATACATAATAATTAATAATTGAAAATATTGTTTTTTAAATTTTAAACTCGATTTACATTTTATAATTATTTAATTAAAAAATATTGAAATTTTAAAAAAATTTAGTACTTTATTTTAAATAATATTTAATATACTCTATATGACATTATCAAATATTATGACAGATTGAAAATTTTTCATATTTTTATAAATTAATAAAATTAATAAACTTAAAATAGAAATTATTTATCAATTAACCATTAATTGCATGTTTAGATATAACTTAAATATAAATAAATGATCAATCATTTAAACTATTTATGAATTAGAGATTTCTTAATTTACAGATTTCATTTATTTATCATTTTTTAATAATTAAATATTTTTTAATACTCAATTTAATTATATTAAATCTCTATAATAAATGTGAGAATTATGACATATTTCCGGACTGTTTTGTCTATTTTATAAAACTTTTGAAACAAATCTACTATTAAAAGACAATCAATATATGACACCAAAAATTACAAATTAATATTAACTTATAAACAAATTCTTCACTATTAATGATAACTAATAATATTATTCTAATTTAATAAATGTTTAGTCATAAGTTGTGTTTAATATTTAGGTATTATTTTATTTTAAAAAATAATTTGCATAAAATATACTATAAATAGAAAAATATAATTATAAATATAGACATGTAATTTAAACGAGACTTATTTTCGTTTTATTTTCTGATTTTGTCAATTTTAAGTTTTTAATTTCCAATCGATTTTTGACAATTTATTGTTCAAATAAAAAACACTTTAATACTAACATCAATACTTATCATAAAATAAATTATAATTTATTACATTTGCAAATAGTTTTATATTGAATTACAAATGATGTTTTGAATAAATAAATATTATTATTTTATACTAAAAATAAAGTATTATGTGTTTTACGAGTTGTTAGTTGTTATGTCTATAGTTATGTAATTATGAATATATAATTTATTTGCTAAAAATTGTTAATTAAATATAATATATAATCAATACATAAATTATTTTACGTAATAAATACTACAAAATATTTGTAGGATTATTTAAATTTTTATTTTATTCTATGATAATTTTATTTATTAATTAATTTGTAAATTACATTTAAAATTGATTATTTCATTACTACTTTTATTTATTAAAATTGATAAAACATAATTTAAATTAATGATATTTTTATTACTGATTTAAGTTTTGTGTCAATTATAATATAAAGTTTTATTAAATAAATAAAAATATTTGGCATTTGGTAAAATATGAAGTTTTTGCAAGTTTCCATAAGTTTAAAGACTAAAATTTATAGTATAATTTTAATATTAATTATCTAAATTTAGTTTAACAGTTAAACACAAATATCAAATAATTAATTGATGAGACTTTAGAAATATTTTGATAATAATTATTATTAAATTTAGATTTAATAAAAAAATAACATATAAATACTTTGTTACAAATCTTAAAAATTTCAATTTTATAATAAGAAATATTAAAATCTGATAATTAACTTACTATTAGTGATGCAAAATTCAGCTGAATTTATTTTAAATTAAATATTCAATTGAAAATTTTGAAAATTCAGATAATTTATTGAATTTGTAAAACATTAATTACATTAAATAATTAAATTAAATTTTAATAAATATAATAAAATATCTTCAAGTAATCTTCGATTATCAATTAAAAAACATTAAACTAAACAATAAAACGATTAAAATAATAATTATTTGTTAAATACTTATTTGTGTAATTAAATTAAGCTTTTATTTTATATTTATTTTAAGAAATTTATCAAATAATCTCGGTTTTCATTATATTAACCTTCGATTTTCGAAATTGCTTTTATTGATAATACATTGTAGAAAATTATTTGAAAATATTTTATTAAATTAAAAAACATTTCAAAAACCTTAAATTTATACCTTTTTAAATAATTTAAAATTTGACACAAAAGGGCGATTGAATTAATTTATTTTTAAACCCTTGAATATTTAGCTGAATTTTCTGAATATTCAAAACTGAATTTTCATTTTTTTCAATCGCTTACATCCTTACTTACTATGATATTGAAAGTTTAAAAAAAATATTTTGTAAATTAATTATTAATTATTATTAGTTTTTTAAAAATTAATGATTAACCTGGTAATAACAGTATCTTAATTATAAATAATGTTTGAATAAATAACAAATCAAATTATGTTTGAGAATAAAATTTTAACTAACTTTGAATGCATTAGTTATAAATAAATAATCAAAACATATTAAAGGATAGAAATGTATTATTAAAGAGGAATTTAGCGCTTCATTAATAATAATAAATTATCCTTGAACATTTTATTAGTTAACTAATTTTAATATAACACAATATATTAAATTTAAGTTTGTTAAAAGAGTCAATTTTAGTAACATATGATATATAAATATAACAATTACAGTATAATATTTGCAAACTTAATACCAATTTATAGGACACTAACTGAATGTTACAGTCATTGTATGGGATTGTCAGACATTCAGAGGCAGATCCTATTGTTGCTAACAATTACTGTTGGCTATAATGTAGACCACAAACAATAATTGAAACTAATCTTTGAATATAAAGTTTTTAACTATTTTTTCAAATTTTTAGTTTCAGATATTCAGTATATTTATTCAGTGCATAGATTGTCAAAGAAATAATAAAATACATAATAAGTGGTTTTAGTTGTCAAGTATTTTTGATAACTGAGATCTACAGTACATTACAATACATTAGTGATATTATGTGTTGGTTTTGATAAGTATTGATTTATGAAGTGATAAATTGTTATTATCAAGTTATAAATATTTGATTTCTAGCTAAACAAGCACAATTTTGTAGCTAAAATTTATAACCATTCATATGATTTTACATAAATTTTTGTCAATTGTAAGTAAATTTTTCTTGTTTGTGATAAATACTCATAAATTAAATGTTTTTTTGTGATTGAAATGCAAATTAAATCAATATATGAAAAACTTAAAACTATAAATAGTTATCAAGAGTTGTGTAGAATATTAAATAAAATTAATCACAATTAGAGCAATGATTTTGCATTTTATACATTTAATACTAATATATCAATAATACTAATAATATCACTGAAATTATATTTGATTTATTTAGTCGTTTCGTTTAATCTTTAATTAACTTTTGTTTGCAAATAGTGTTTTAGTGTCCGATAAGCATAAGACATATGTATTGTAAATATTTTTATAGGAATTAAATAAATATTTTAAGCAAATTTTTTTTTATACTAAATGTTAGTAAAAACGTCATTTAAATCATACATAATTAAAAAAAAATTATCAATTTATTTTGTTATAAAAAATGATAATAAATTTGTTTGACATATAAATAGTTAAACAAAATAATGTAATGAAAGCATTCATGGAATCTGACGGCGTTTGGAAAGAACTTTTACCATCAGGTCTTCGGTCGCCGACATCTGATTTGGTCACTGAAACCGAGACACCGAACTCAACCATAACTACCGAACACTCCAAGAACTACTTGATCCGAATGCGGGCACAGGAATTGCAAAAGACTCTGACATTTTCGGGTTCAACTAAATTGGGTGCAAATGATGGCCAAACGTCACCACTTTATCGGACTATCGATAGCATCAAACAGACAAAGATATTTCCCGGAAGAATAAAGAAAAGAGTGGTTCTGAAGAATGGAAACGTCAATCTTTGCAAAGAACACATCGATAAGAGAAGCAAACGATATCTTCAGGATTTGTTCACAACTATGGTTGACATACAGTGGCGATGGAATCTATTGGTATTTGCAATGGGATTCATATTAAGTTGGTTAGGCTTTTCAGTCTTATGGTGGTTGATATGCTTCTCGCACTCGGATTTCGACAATTTAGACAATAATGAGTGGATTCCATGTGTTATGAATGTCAAGTCATTCACGAGTGCTTTCCTTTTCTCCATTGAAACCCAACATACAATTGGTATGAATTAGTTTACAGTTAATTTGAAAATTGTTGTAATTATATTGATAAACCCAATACAATATACTTTATGGCATAATATTGTAAATAAATTTTAACACAAAGGTTATGGTTCGAGATATACTACTGAGGAATGTCCGGAAGCGATATTTGTGATGTGTATGCAATCAGTGGTAGGAGTTATGATTCAGTGTTTTATGGTTGGCTTTGTCTTCGCGAAGCTCTCGCGGCCGCAGAAAAGATCTCAAACATTGATGTTTAGTCGCAATGCAATCGTTTGTCTTCGCGACTCAAAGCTGTGTCTTATGTTTAGAATTTGTAAGTATTTTATAATTTATTTTAGTTTTTAAAATAAATTTTATTATACATTACATTAATTAACAGCAATTATTGCAAAATAAATCCAAAACTAAACAAATATTTGCATTGAAGGCGATGTCCGCAACCGGTCGCACATAATCGGCGCCTCTGTTAGCGCACAAATAATTAGCCGAAAAGTGACACAAGAGGGTGAAGTCATATCATACTATCACACATACATACCGGTCAAGTTTGACAATAGCAATGCCAATGTCTTACTCATTTGGCCCGCGACTATAGTTCATGAAATCGACGAAAAAAGTCCTTTTTATAATGTAATTATTTGTTATAAACTATCCATACATTTCTATTTATAACATTATTTAATTTTTTCAAAAATCATTAGTTGAGTTCCGATGAAATGATGAGAGAAAAGTTTGAGATTATTGTCATTTTGGAGGGAACTATAGAGTCAACCGGACAGTCGGGTAATTTAAATAATTATGTTTACTATATTTAATTAACAAAATTATAATATATATATGATTCATATACTATAGTTCAGGCTCGCAGTTCATATTTGCCATCAGAAATACTATGGGGTCATAGATTTGAACAGTTAGTCTCTTATAGGAGAGAGTCGGGTGAATATCGTGTAGATTATGGACGATTCAACAATACATATGAAGTGGACACTCCTTTATGCAGTGCTAAAGACTACTATAAATATCAACAATTTATAGCTGAACAGCAAAATAGTGTTAACCGAAACATCAATTTTATTGAATTTGTTCCCAAAAGAAGTAATTCCGACGAAACGAGAGCCCATTCAACTGATTGCACTGTTTGTAGTATTAATGGTAACACTATTATAGGCTCATCCCTATCCAACAGACAACTTCCCGAAAATACTGTTTGATAATCATTTAAATATTCAATAAGTTTTTTTAAATAGTAAACTATTACTGATAGTATAAAAAATATATATTTTATTATATAAATAATATTTTAAAACTATTTTTTTATAAATCTATTTACCATTTAGTATTAAAAAAAAAGTTTTTACGATATTTTGATATTTTAATTTACCAGTAATTTAAAGTTTATAATCAATTTTAATCAAAAATTAATAACATTATGTATAATATACCAACTTTTAAATAAAAAGTTAATTAATTCAATTAAACTAAAATATTTTAAATTAAATGCAAAAAAATAATCTTAAATTTGTATCATTAATAATTTAACAATATTTTTTTTAATTAATTACAAATTTACTAATTAGTACTCAAATGTTAGACAAAATAATAGTAAAATTATTGAAAAGTTTGATTACATTTAATAAATTGATTATAATATTAATGAAAATTATGACAAATAGATGGCAATACATGTAATATTAATGTTATTCATGTATTAATGTTCAATGAATTAGCAATTATTGTGAACACAAAACACAAGTCATCTAAACATTGCTTTTCTTTAATCATTTGTCACTGACTTTGTTGTCATCACCGGTAAAGATATGTCTTCAGACATCACATACGATGGCAGTCGACTCCTTAAGATGGAAGTTGATTATAGCAATACCGTCGATGAGAAGATACCAGTTTGTGAACGATTAGCTAAAGTTAGTAACTCTTTGACGAGTCATCTCTTATAATCATTTGATTCATTGTTCACTACTTCTTCACTTTTTTATATTTATTGATGTAATTTAATCCGATATTTATTTTTATTGATTTGGTTTAAAGGAGGGAAAACTTAGTGAAGCGTTGGACATATTATTGTCACTCGAGAAGCAAACCCGAACCGTAAGTATAACCACTGAATGATCATTGATTTCGAAACCAATTATCAAATCTTTGGACATATTTTCTAGGGATCAGACACTCACTCGACGAGCCGAGTATTGGTCGCAATCGTTAAGCTTTGTTTTGAGGCCAAAAACTTTAAGGCGTTGAATGAAAACATCGTTTTGTTAACTAAAAGGAGGTCTCAAATAAAGCAATCGATAACCAAAATGATTGAAGAGTCCTGTAGTTATGTGGATCTAATTGACGACAAAGCAGTTCAACTCGAGTTTATCGATACGTTGAGGACAGTAACAGCCGGAAAGGTATAATAATTATTGAATGAATATATTTGACTTATATTTATTTAATTGATTTTCTTAGATATATGTTGAGGTAGAGAGGGCTCGACTGACACTAAAGTTGGCGCTAATGAAGGAAAAAGAGGAAAAAATAGAAGAAGCGGCAGATATTCTTCAGGAACTTCAAGTGGAAACATTTGGTTCAATGGATAAGAAGGAGAAAGTGGAACTTATTTTAGAACAAATGCGTTTCTGTTTGGCGAAGAAGGACTTTGTCAGGACTCAAATTATCAGTAAAAAGATTCAAACGAAGTATTTCGAAGATCCTGAAGTCCAGGACTTGAAGTTCAAATACTACAATCTTATGATCCAATTGGATCAGTCCGAGGGCTCGTATTTAGCCATTTGTAAACATTATTTGGCATTATTTAACTCACCATCGGTTCAATCGGATGTCAATAAACGAACCAATATATTGAAGAATTGTGTGATTTATATAATATTAGCGCCGTTTGATAACCAACAGAGCGATCTCATCAATAGAGTTAAAGGGGAAAAGGCTTTGCAGGATATCACTCGTTATAATGAACTCATTAAGATGTTCACCAATTGGGAACTAATCAATTGGCGCTCAATTGAGGTGTCATTGCAACAGCTTTTACGTGTTGGTGGACCAGATCTTGAGTTACAACCAACCGGTGCTTTTGATGCCTCTGAAAGCGGAAACAAGAGATGGAATGACCTCAAGAATAGAGTTGTTGAATATGTATGATATAAATAACTAATCTTTTTTTAATCAAACTAATGATTAGGTAATTTGATTTCAGAATATCAGAGTTATGGCTAAATATTACAGTCGTTTACGACTTCAACGAATGTCAGAACTTTTAGGACTTAATCTTAAGGTACGTTCAAATTAATAAAAATTTATTGGTTTAAGAAAACAGTGATTAAAATAAATGTTATTTAAAAGGAAACGGAAGAAGCGTTAAGTGTTCTGGTAGTGAATAAAACCATTTGGGCTAAAGTCGACCGATCCTCAGCTGTCGTAAACTTTTCTCAACAAAAAGATCCGAATCAAGTGCTTAACGACTGGTCCAAAGACATCAACTCATTGATGCAATTGGTTTGTAAGACTAATCATCTGATTAATAAAGAAGAGATGATTCATCAAAACTACAGTCCATCACAAGTCGAGGCAAACAATTGATTGATTCAATGCTTTTATAATACAAATATAATTTTGTTTTTTTCTAAACTATCCATCGGTTATTAGTTTCTTAACAAATAAATACTATAATAAACTAAATTTTATAATTTATTTGATAATTAAAATAAATTCATTATAAATAACTTAACTTTAAATAAATAAATAAATAATAAAATTATTATAAATATTATTTAATATAATTTATCAAATAGAAAATAATCATGATCAAATTGTCATATATTATACACTGTACTGTATTAATGTAAAAGTGAGTTAAGCTCTTTTATTATTTGTTAACACCTTTTAAATAACTGTAAGTTTGATGAAAAAAGGCATAACTATTGAATACATGCAAATCAATGGTATAGTATTGGCGCCAATCATGACATGTGAAGCAACACATCATTGACTTCACAACCAATTGAGTGATTAGACCACTGCTTTGGGTCACAACTTGAATGCGGACACAGACTCTGTATAAAACAATTTTGATAAACCAATGCTTAATGTGTTTGTATTATATAATCCATGTTTCAAATGGTGTGTCTGTTAAGCCATTGTAGCGATGAGTGCACTGCCGGCCAAACAAAAGCCATTTTGAATGTAAACACAATTTTTGAGAGATTTCTATACATTTCTGCACTTTATTTATATATTGAATGAATAAAAGTAATTGTTTTATAGTTTTAATGTTTTATTATTTATTTATTTTATTGTTTTTTACAAATTTAATACTAAATTAATATATTTGTTATATTTATTGTTTGATTGAATGATATAAATCATGTGTTATTTGATTGATTGCTAATATAAATGATGCCATCGTTTGAATTGAAAGACCAAAACATTAGATTTAATTGAAAACAAATGATTGCAACAAAAGTTTTTTGACATTTGCTTTGAAATCAATGTTTAAATTAATTAACAATTGATTTCAATTAATGAAATAACTTATTGTTTATAACATTGTTTGATATAAAGGGCTATATATTTGAAACACATATAAAATGTTTATAAAACAGGTATTTATCACCGATTGGTGTCTTAATTGATAATTACTAACAATTGATTGGTTGATGTCTTTATAGGTAATAATTAGTGGTTTTCGGTCATATCGGGAGCAGACAGTAGTGGAGCCGTTCAGTGCCCGACATAATGTGATCGTTGGTCGCAACGGTTCGGGAAAGAGTAACTTCTTCTACGCCATTCAGTTCGTACTGTCGGATGAGTTCTCCCATCTGAGACCCGATCAAAGACAACAACTGCTTCACGAGGGACCCGGACAGAGGACAATGATTGCATACGTAGAGATCATCTTTGACAACAGCGACAATAGACTGCCCATCGATGAAGTAAATGTCACATTAAGACGACAAATTGGTCTAAAGAAAGACCAGTATTACTTGAATAAAAAGATTGTCACCAGAAGTGATGTGATGAATGTTTTGGAAAGCGCAGGATTTTCCAGAAGTAATCCATATTATATCGTCAAACAGGGAAAGATCAACCAAATGGCTACCGCACCTGATCCACAAAGACTTAAAATATTACGAGAAGTGGCCGGAACTCGTATTTATGACGAAAGGAAAGAGGAATCACGGGTTCTTTTAAGAGACACTGAAAATAAATTGGAAAAAATTATTGATTTTTTGAAGTACATTGAAGAACGCCTTCAGACATTGGAGGGCGAAAAGGAAGAGCTCAAAGAATACCAGAAATGGGACAAAATGAGACGTGCACTCGAGTATACCATTTATAATAACGAGTTAGAGGACACTCGTAAACGGCAGCGCGAGTTAGATACCCGACGAGAGACCAGTGGCTTAGTTACTGAGAAACTAAGAGAAGCGCTTCAGGGGTCGACCGATAAAATTAAAGAATTTAGTCGTGATTTACGTGAAGTGAGAACCAAATTACAGAGCTATAGGGATGAGAAGGAAGCTCTTAATGTAGAGCAGTCATCATTTCTTAAAGAAAAAACACGACTTGAACTACATATTAAAGATCTTAAGGATGAAGTCGAAGGCGACGCCTCCTCTAAGAAAAGAGCTGACACTGAGTTGGCGACACTTAAAGAAAGAATTACTGAAAAACAGGCGGAATTGAACCAAATTAGACCCGAATATGAAGAAATGAAACGTATGGAAGAAGATTGTACGAGAAATCTAAGTCTTAAAGAACAAAAAAGATCAGAATTGTATGCAAAACAGGGCAGAGGATCTCAATTCACATCCAAACATGAAAGAGATAATTGGATACAAAATGAGTTAAAATCTTTGCGACGCAATATTCAAGACAAACGAATCCAAATTGACAGACTTAGAGATGATCTCAAAAAAGATGCCAAAAGAAAGGAAGAATTGGAGGCCAAGATTGAAGTATTTTTTATTAAAGATATTTAAATTTATTTAAAATTTGAAATAATTTATTAAAAATGATTTGTTTTAGGAACTAACTAAAGAATTAGAGAATAATCGGTCGAGTATTGACAATCAAAACAAAACATTTTATGATATGAAGAAAAAGAAGGATACGCTTCAAAATGAAAGAAAGTTTGTAATCGACTTATAATTATTTTGTTAATCAATATTAAAAACATTTATAATTGTTTAGTGATTTATGGCGTCAGGAAAACTCAATGCAACAAAACCATAATATGCTTATTGAAGAAAAGGCCAAAAAAGACCAATTGTTGAGATCAATGGTCGGTAAAACCATTTTGAATGGAAGGGATTCAGTTAGAAGAGTATTACAGTTATTCCGCGAAAGAGGCGGAAGAGACGAACAGGTGTCCAAACATTACTATGGAATGCTTATCGAGAACTTTGACTGTGGAAAGGAGTTCTATACGGCCGTCGAAATGACCGCCGGAAACAAACTGTTCCATCACATCGTCGAGAATGACAAAGTGGGGACAAGAATACTACAAGAAATGAATAAAATGAAACTTCCGGGTGAAGTGACTTTTATGCCAATTAATAGACTTTTCTCCAAAGAGATAGCATATCCCGATTCTGGAGTTAGTAATCGTCAAATTTATAGTATTTATAATTTATTGCTAATTGTGTTACCATTTTTCTATTGCTTTATAGGACGCCATTCCTATGATAAGTCGATTAAGTTATGATAGCAAACATGAAATAGTAATGAGATTTATATTTGGAAAGACCTTAATTTGTCGGTCCTTAGAAGTGGCCACTTCTTTGGCTCGAAGCTCTCATTTAGATTGCATTACGTTAGACGGCGATCAAGTGTCACATAAGGGTTCTCTAACCGGCGGTTACTTTGACTCTCGTCGCTCACGTCTCGAACTTCACAAAACACATTCATCATTAATGTCAGAAATACAGGAACAGAAGCAACAGTTGGACGGACACCACCAGAAACTTAATGATGTCGAGTCACAAATCAATCAAATTGTCGGTGAAATGCAAAGAGCGGAGACCAAGAATAGCAAAAACAAGGATACGTTCGATAAAATGAAAACCGATATCAGACTCTTGAAGGATGAGTTGTCGACTATTGAAAGGTCGAGACAACCGAAAGAAAGAAGTCTTGTAAGTCATGAATCGAGTTTGAATTCAATGGAATCCTTAGAAGAATCACTAAGAAATGAGTTGCAACAGGACTTACTGACCCATCTATCTGTGACCGATCAACAAGAGGTCGATCGTCTTAACGATGATATAAGACAATTGACTCAAAAGAATAAAGAAGCGTTTAGTCGACGTATGCATTTGGAGGCACAGAAGAATAAATTAGAAAATTTATTAAATAACAATCTCTGTCGTCGTAAAGACGAATTAGAGGCCGCTTTACAGGAGATCTCTGTCGAAGATCGCAAACAAAAGTTGGAAAGTGAAAGACAAGAACTAAATGTAATTAGTGGTCGAATTGATGACGTGAACGAACAAATTAAAACTATTGACGAAAATCTTGAATCGATGACTAAAAAACAAAGAGAACTTCAGATTGATTTAGAAAAGAAAAAGAGTGACGAAAGAGACACAATTGAAAGGATTAACGAAGACTCGAAAGATTTGGAGAAAATGACTTCAAAACAGGCGGTGTTCACTAAAAAAGTTGAAGAATGTATGCGAAAGATTCGTGAGTTGGGTACACTTCCCGGCGATGCTGAGACTAAATACGCTAATCTTAGTCTTAAACAACTGTACAAAAAACTACAACAATGTAATCAAGAGCTCCAAAAGTATAGTCACGTTAATAAAAAAGCATTGGATCAGTATTTAGAAAACTCTGAGAAAAAAGAAAAATTATTACAAAGAAAGGCAGACTTAGACGCCGGTCATCGATCTATTGTTGACTTAATGACAGCTTTAGAACAACGCAAATATGAAGCAATTCAAGTGACTTTCAGACAGGTCTCCATGTTTTTTGGTGAAGTCTTCAAACGTCTGGTACCAAGTGGTAGAGCACATCTCGACATGAAAACTGAAGACATCAATCATGACACGGGATCGCAATCTCAGAACAACTCGGGTCCGCCAACTTTCGACAATTTCAGTGGTGTTAGTATTAGAGTCTCATTTACCGGAAGTAATGCAGAAATGAAAGACATGCAACAGTTGTCCGGCGGACAGAAATCATTGGTAGCGTTAGCCTTCATATTTGCCATTCAGAAGTGCGACCCGGCGCCATTTTATCTCTTTGATGAAATCGATCAGGCATTAGATCCACAGCATAGAAAAGCTGTCGCAGGTTTGCTATATTAATAATATTATTATTATTTTGTCAAATGTTTCAAAATTATTTTGTTGATACCATAGATATGATACATGAGCTGTGCAAAGACGCCCAATTTATTACAACTACATTCAGACCCGAACTGTTAGAAAAAGCGGACAAATTCTATGGCGTCAAATTCAGAAACAGAGTATGTTTTTTAATAGTCAATCGATGGTATTTTTATGTCTAATATGTCTTATTTAATAACAGATCAGTCATATCGAAGTCGTTTGCAGAGAAGAAGCACAAGACTTTGTCGAAGACGACACAACACATACATGAATCACATTACATGTGTGTATATATAAGTTTTATATATATATATATTTATATATATAAATGAATCACTCATATGACAACCCAAACAATACATCAAATTGTAAATTTTGTTTAACATTTTAGATTTTTAAGACATTATTTTTACTTTTTTAAACATTTTAACTTTTACTTGAATAATGTATTTAATATGAAAAAATGTTTTATTATATATTATTATATATGTATACTATATATAAAACTCATACATCATATGTTTTACATTTGAACCATTACTTCATTATATAAAATATGAATCGCTATTAACTATAAGCACTACATGTCTATGAAAATAATTATTAATTTTATGTCAATTTAGAAATATTTCCTTAATTTAATAGATTGATGTGTAATATTCATAAAATCATTGCAATCAACTGATTAAAAAAAATATTTATATTAAAAATCATACCAATCACTAGAAAATAAGGATTTATTTATAAATATTATTAAAATTAAATATTTACAATAAAAATTAAGTTTAATTTAAATGATTAAATGTTATGAATATAAATAAATAATAAATGTGATGATCGCTTTGTTTGAATTATAGTAAGTTTATCATAAATTGTAAAACCAATCCCCAAATTGAAGACAAGAGTCCAGGTATTCAGTATTGTAATAAAGTTGGGTTCACTATTCATTTAGTTAGTTAAATGACAAAAGTGTTTAACAAATGTCTGAGCAATTAACTCCCTGTGCAGAACAGACACACTTTTTGCATGGAGTACTGAGTTTATCAATTTGCTGATCGATTTGATACATAATTCCATATATGTTACACCCTATATAACAATTAATTTGTATTAAATTTTTAACAATAACTACACTATAATTTTATAGCAATCATGTTATAAATACCTGACACTCGGAATAAGTCCCATGAGTTATGGTTTTTATTTTTATCTGAGTTTTCGACATTAGGGATATTTTTTGGTATTGTAGTTGTAGTTGTTGTAGTTGTAGATGAAGTCTTCATTAATAATACTTCATCAGTGCTTTGTGTTAACGATTGTGTTTTTGTTGTACTAAATGTTGGTTTGGCTGTTGTTGTCGTCGTTGTTGTACTCAATTGATCCAACTCCGGCTAAATTGCAAATAAAATTATAAAATTCAATAATTAGTTTTTCATATAAAGAAATCAAAAAGTTATTTATTACCAAATGTGATGTCAATTGAATCGGTCGAGTGTTAGTCTCATTTGATGTTACAATTGGTATCTTATTTTCATTGATGATTGCAATCGAAATATTTTTTATCTCAGGTTTTGAATGATTGACATCGGATTGAACGGTTGAAACAATGTTTGGCGGCTTATGTCTAATATTATTGACTGATGGAGTGTTTGGAAGAAGGAATGGTGGAATTCGTAAATTAGGATTTTGTGGACTTCCCAGTGATAATTGAGGTCCAGTTGCTTGATTCATAATGGGTGCCGGCTTTAAGCGAAACTTATTTGCATTGTTATATTGATTGTGTAATGGATTAATAATTGGTTTGTGCGGTGGTTTGTGAGCAAAAACAGGTGAATTCTGTGGAGACATTGCTGTCATTGCGTCCGTAAGTATTGGCTGAGAAACAAATGGATTATTATGTCCACTGTCACCGCCAACCGGAAAATGTATGCGATTTTCGGTTTGCTTTTTATGTCCCAAATTAAATCCAGATATTCTTTGGAATGGTTTAGGTGTCACTTCCAAGAGTTGTGGTTGTAATGGTTGCGGTGGCAATATATTTGTTGCTAATGATTGAACACCTATTCCTCCACTACCTTCAGACACAACTTGAGAGTGTTTGTCTTCATTGGTGTGTTTGTTATCCAATTTATTTTGTGGCAAATTTTCTGAGGAAATCTTGTCATTGTTAAAACTGTTAGTAATTGAAGTGTTATTTGTATTTATATTATTAACATCTGCTGAAAACTGCGGTCCTTTTCTTACGGGCGACACATTTGAAATGTCTTGAATTGGATTCATTTGATTGACAACTCCTTCAACTTTCGACGGCTTTTGAGATGCCTTTGAGTCTTCACTTATCCCTTAATTTTGAACAAAAAATATGACAAAATTAATATATTATTGTATATTTTATAATAATACTGTATTATGAGATTTATAAACTAACTGCATATATATCTGGGACAACAATAACCGGACATTTTTTCAGGTACACAATCTTTTTCAGGAGGTCCCGGACACTTCTGTTGCTGACACAGCTCTTGACCATAGAAACACCGACAGAGAGTACAGGGATCTGGTTTTGGTATGGTTGCACCGTTAGGATATTCAATGGAATTATATATACACGAAACTATATTAAATAATTATAATTAATTAATGTTTAGAAAATTTTTTTTATATATCTAATAATATATATACTTTGTTGACTTGATTTTGGGGTAGAGTTAGGAGTGGCCGGAGGTTTAGTGGGCGATAGTCTTATGAGAAACGATCCATTCTTCTTCTTCTGTAACTGACTATTGAGCGCATCATTTACTTTGAATGGAATAACTTTCATCCGATTTGAAGAGTTTTCAAATTCAAGTCTCGGCTTTTTATCAAAATCGGGTCCATTTTGATCGAGTATGACATCCATGTCATGTCTTCTAATATCTTGATTACTAAGATAGAGTGACTCAACTGGTTTGTGTGATTCTGGAGATTCTTCAAACATTGGTTTTCGGGCAAAATTAGAGTTAACAACCCGCCAGTCATTGTTTGGTTGCACAAAGTGTTGATAATTAGATTGTAAAGGCTTTCCGTAAACGGTTGCCCTATTGTTTTGTGCCAATACATCATAATTTTTATCATTTGTTGGACTCGAACTTTGGTTTACAGTCGAAGAGCTAACTTTCATTGATCCGGGCGTTAAATTAATCAAAATAGACTGACCCGGACTCTCATCAAAATCATAAAAAGCTGTCTTTGCAGTGATAATCTCAACTCCAGAATCAGATTTATAGGGCATTTCATTGTTATCGTCATTGATTAGAAAGGAAGACGAAAGTGATGGACCTGTTTTGCTATCACTTCTGGCAGTCAAATGCTTATTAGTATTAATTTGTTTGTTAACTAATTCATTGGTTAAACTATTATTTTTAATTTTTGGTTCCAGTGGTATGTGTTTATGGAGTTGACTATCGATGACATTAATGATACCTTTCAAGAATTGGTGCATCGAATCAAATGCCGTCCCATTTTGATCATCACTTTTGGCACTTTTATCAATATCTTTAATATTGGTATCATTTAAAACAGTTGTCAATACATTTGGTTCTGAAGTAATTAACTTTTCTGACTGTGTTGTGATCACTGAAGTCAATGGTATCAAAGTTGTCGTTAAGGTATTTGATTCAAATTTGTTATTAACAATAGTATCATTTTGGATGTATGCTTCAGCGCTTGGTTGATATTCAATTGGATCAGTTATGACTTCAAAAACACCGTTAGTTGTGGTTTCTATTGATATAAAACTTATTGGAGTAGTTGTCGGATTTAAATTATTGTTATCTGAATTTTTAATTATATCATAATTTTGATTAACAATTAAATCCTCTTTTCTTAATTGTTGTCCATTTTCCATCTGAATTGTTATATTTGAAGAATTAACGGCAGACTCTAATTTAATGGTTGATAAAGTGGTTGTTTCAATGTTGGAAATGTCATCATTTAATGTGTTGGTTGTGTTGGAAGTGTTATCGGAAACAGTTGTGTCAACAATCTCTTGAAAGTTATTTTTAGTTGTATTCAACTCATTGTTTGTATTTTTGAAATTATTATTGAAATCAGTGACAACTTCTGTAGATTCAGTACTTGTCTGATGTGTTATAAGTGTTGTTAGGGTTGGCTTTGCAGTGGTCTCTGTGTTAAAGCTCATCAAGTTTTCTGTTGACGTCTGAATTGTTGTATCTGTTATTTGAATTAGTTATTCAAATGTTAACAAATAATATCAATGTGTGATTAGATGATTATCATAAACTAATGTATTTTCAAATGTATTCAATACTGACTGCACTTGTATTCAACTGGACAACAGTGCCCATCAGGTATGACAGCAACACATCCATCCATTTGAGGCGAACACTCAATGGTTTTGCATTTCTTGATACCCCCTAATGAACAATAGCATTGTTTGCAATGTTCATCACTTGCCATGGGATCACCCACTTTGTACTCTATGCCGTCCACCACACAGGCTATACAAGCATACAAACTGATTAGTTAGCATAAACTTATCATAACTGATATAAACTTAATTCATTATAACTTTTGAATTATTAAATTTATATGTTTGACAACTCATGTTTAGTAAGCATTTCTTTTATCAAAATTATATTTTTAAGGTATGAAATTCATATTATGAATCATATAATTCATTTTTATTCAATATATGTATTATTATAATATTGTTGTACTAAACAATATACAGTACAGTGAATACTATTCTCTATAGTTATAACTATTATACTATTACTAAACTATATACTATCTATTACTTTACTGTATGTATAAAACGATCATTTATTAACATTTATTAAAAATATAAATTTATATATTGATATTAAAACATATTGATATTATTGCTTTTAATATTTTTTGATAATAGTTACTTTACCTGCTTTTCTACCAAATATTCTGATAGATTCTGTACTCATTGTTGTAGTAGTAGTAGTGGTAGTAGTAGTAGTCATAGGGAGCGTAGTGAGTGCTTCATCGCCTATATTTGATAATTTATTGTATAAGTATTTTTAAAAATTCAAGTTATATATTATCTAAATTTTTATAATTAATTAACTCTATTATTGTAAACATACCACAAACATAACTGGTAGGACAACAGGCATATTGACTGGTATATCGGGGCAAACAGCCTAATATGGAGAGATGGCACCGGGGTCTTATACACATCCTTTTAGATCTTTATTTTATATAAATTACAATAAATTTAAATATTTATATATATATATATATATATATATATGTAATTATAATGATAACAATAATGTTGTACTAAC